GTGGAGGTGCCCCCCCCCCCTAGCGCTAAAGGGGTGGGGTGCGATTTTTCACATTTGGGCCCCCCAACAAAAATTAGTGCTCACTACCCCCCCCCCCCCCCCAAAAAAAAAAAAAAAAAAAAAAAAAAAAAGGTCCCCTATAGTTGATAAGCATAAAAGCACACACATGCTTTAGCAGTTAGGCAAAACAAACAGTCGCAAATTATTATTCAATAAAATCTGAGAATGTACTTGGTACTTGGTACTTGATAGGATTCCTCCAAAAGACGCCGTAAAGGTGTTTAAATTGGAGGTATACTATTATCTAGATTTATAAGGAATACATAATTTTCAAAGTCATTACATAAATTAGGGTAAACCAAAATTATTCCATTATTATGACCAACAGTGTAAATCATTATAAATTGGCACAGTGGTAAACACATAGCGGAGGAGTCTATTTAAAAGGCATGGCTTGTATGTTATAGACCCCTTGATAATAAAAAAAAATACAAGTGCTCTGTAATATAATTAGAAAATATATGTATACAAATGCTTAGGTAATTCTACACCCCCCCCCCCCCCCAACGCTACAAAACAAAAAGGTTGTCTTTAACATTGGTATATTCACAGAATTTGTACAATTACCGGAAATAATAACAAATGATGACCTTTCTAGCAGTCTAAGAGACTACTACTATTACTACGACTATCACTACCACTACTTCTTCTACTACTACTTCTATTATTATTACTACTACTACTACTAATAATAATATTGATAATGATAATGATAAAATTGTTAGTGCCGATTTTATTGAATAGCGCCAACTTGTGCTAGAGTCTAGAAAGGAGCGAAATAACTTTGTGACAGCATGGTTTTTTTTTTACAGAGATAGGACCCGGAAGAGACTATAATGATAATGGAAATGACAATAATTTAGTGCCGATTTCATTTAATAGCTCCACCTTGTGTCAAGGTCTAGAAAGGAGTGAATTAACTTTGTGACAGTATGGAGACTTACAATTTGTCAACCTTCTCGTTTTTGTTCGATACTGTAGCTAAATTCACACTTTAGTAATTCGGGAAGATGGAATGATTCAAAGTTTGTTCGTCAGTTCTTCGTTAGGAATCAACTAATCAAGGCCATTGAACTCAATTAACATTGTGATGTTTCAATGGGGATCGAATGGAGATGTGAAGCATGAGAGCCCGGGTTATTACCATTTAGATTAGCACCTACAAGAATGATAATAATAATAATAATAATAATAATAATAATCTAATAATAATAATCTTTTAAAGTCCACTCCAAATTTTATAAAGTTAAACCGAAAATGGAAATTCTTTTTGCCCAATTGATCGTGAGCCCGGCAGCCACTGAGCAGCGCCAGATCGACGTTGCTCTATCCCTTATTGTTGAACGCCAAACAAGGTAGCAGCAACTCCCGTCTTTTAACGTATTTTGGTATGACGCGGCCGGGGTTCGAACCCATGACCTCCCGGTTGTGAGGCGGACGCTCTACTGACTGAGCCAACACACCGGTATTAATAATAATAATGATCATAATCATAATCATAATCATATTAGTAATGATAATAAATGATCATGTATCTCGATAAAATAATGTGCGTATATTAATCATAAGAAATGCAAAAGGCACCTTAAGTGTTTGAATATTTGATACCTCTACAATAAACTTATAAGTTATATAGAAGAAAGGATAACTCAACATTGGATGTACAAATTTGTAAAATATGTTGCAAATTGAATATTTTTGTTAATAATTTTTTTAACAAGAAACAAAGACCCGCATATATGAGAACTTGAGGGGATATGGCCAATTAGAGAAAATAGGAAACATATTCATTGGCAAATAGTACATTGAGTTAACGAAAGGCTTTTCATTTATGAAGAGATATGAAGCTCAGTTGAAAGCAAGTAAAAGTACTCTCGTATTCGGTAGTAATCATCCAACTTTGCTTTAAAAATAGGGCAGCCTTAATTATTGATAGTAATAATAATAATAGCTAGTTCTTATATAGCGCTTTTCGGGATCGAAGGCCCTCTCAAAGGGCTTTACAAATATTACAAATAGATATATATATTATTACAACGGTCATCGGATGCAGGCTTACTCTCACACAATGTATGCACATTCTCCACTCCCTGGGGAGCATTCCAGCCAGTCGCCATTTTACAAGCCCACACTTGCTCTTCCAACCACATCAACATTCGCATCCTATCGGGTAACCATTTAACACCTGGGTGGAGAGTAGCAAGTGCAGGTAAATATCTTGCCAAAGGATATTAGTGCCGTGTCGGGATTCGAACCCTCGACGTTCGCATCTCCAGTCAAGCGCCTTAAACAACTCGAACACGACAATCCCACTGATAACAAATAACTTATAAACTTAGTATTCGTATTTGAATTCATGGCTCATTTGATTAGCATCATTGAGTATATAATAGTAATAGAAATTTTGACGATAACAATATTAATGATAATATAACCAATGTTATACTGACAAAAACAATAGCAATGTTGATAATGGTAATAATAATAGCAATTAGATGGTTTTACTAATTATAATGAAAATAAAAATAATGGCAGACATCTAAGCACTCTGTGACAATAGTAGTAATGATACGGTGACCTCAAACAACCGTTTCATTGTTAGAATTGTGTGTTGCTTACATATAATATCATCAATCTCTTTGCAACGTTTGAAAAATGCAAAATGCAAGGATTTGTGAGAATAATAACACTAATTCACGTCTAGAAATAATAATTTCACCAACATATAATGTTTGTATTGTACTTTATGAGAATTTGTTATGTAAAAGTTTTAGGGAAGTGAGAAAGCCTGCGTAATCGTCGTCGTTAAAAATCGATAAAAAAAATCTTTTTTCCAAGGCTTCACATCTACATTAGAAATAGCTTAAAACTGATTAGGAAGGCTTGGGTTTTCGTAAGTCTTTTTTTTTTTTTTAACAGATGGGTATTTTTCATATATATGTTACGAAATGTAATGATGTGATCGTCTCTCAACTGTATTTTGACATCATCGGTGACGTCATGGTTTCGGTTCTACATGGTACAGTAAGAATGGCCCATACTCAAATTGATCATAGTACTTCCCATTAATCACATACACAAACAAACTTACACACAAGCATGTCAAGTTTCGAACCCACATTACTTTCTCCTTAAAGAAATTCCGACGTGGCACAATGTCACTATCATTTAATTGATTTAAACAAATACTTGAATAATTTAAGGTTTATTCGTATTGACGGATAACCGGGTATTAGTTTATCAAAGTCTGCAAATTGTCATTATTTGAGATCTAACGTCTTAACACCTATAAGGCATCTGAATAAAGAAAAAAGAGTGAAGTTGCTTAACCCTTAGCACCCCCACTCCTTTCACCGTCCCTATCACCATCATGGCAAATATTCTATCTTTCTTGTTCTTCATATGGTTATATATTTGTTGGTATTTTTATTTTTTAATAACGAATATGCTTTGGCACCATTTACTGGATTGAGTGACTCATTATATTTTCCCATGCTTTTGACAAACGTAATCATACCTGTTATGTATGGGCCACATACCCTGATTGTTATTGGTCAGGTCAAGTTTTTTTCATGAAATATGAAGCAAAATATCAGTATCAGATTTGTTAGCCAATAGGTCCACCTTAACAATGCTACAAAACATGTATACAGGGAAGTGGATTTATAAGCCAATGAGTCTACCATGAATATGCAGAGAAGTCTTAGGGCTGCCCATTATCCAGTCAAAAAACCTCCTCATGAATATGCAACGAAATTATCACGCCTGTGAACGGAAGATTGAAAAAAGAAGAGAATGTAATAGAATAAAGAAGGAACAACAGAAAGAAAAAAGAACTCCTCTTGAATATAAATATGCTACATATTGGTAGGTAAAAATACTTTATCATAAATACAGGCACGTAGCCAGAGTTTGATGTTGGGGGGGGGGGGGCACATACATGTAATCGATCGAGGTAAAAAAAGGGGTCTAAAAAAGTTCAACCGATCTTGGAAATGTTGGGGGGCACGTGCCCCCCCCCCCCCCCCCCCTCCCCGTGGCTACGTGCCTCCATACATATGCAATGAACTCGTTTGGCTTTTAAAGGTAAATCAAAAATTATGCCTCTCATGAATAAGCAGCAAAACCAGCGGGGCTGTTGGTTGGTGCAGGATAAACGTCTTATGAATATGCATCACCACCACATACATAATATGCCTCTGCGATGGCTTTGTAGGGAGGCGCGACGGCACAGTGGAAGAGCAGTGGTCTCGTAAACGAGAGGTCCCGGGTTCGAAACCAAATCGATGCGCTAGTACCCTTTGGGGCTTGTAAGGAAGCACACCCCGCCCCCGCCCCCACCCCCCCCCCCCACTCCGGAAACGGAGGGACCACATGCGTGTTCCCAAAATCTCCGGCTCGTAACAAAAGAAAAAGGTCTACCCGTTTTGACTTTACACACCGAACTTATGCTGAAAAGGGGGTGGGGGTGCTGAAAAGGCTCGTATAACAGAAGAAAAAGGTCTACCCATATTGACTTTACACACTGGACTTATGCTGAAAGGGGGGGTGCTGGGAACACGCATATGCGTACTGCGTACCCTAAATAACACTGAGTGTGGGGGGCAGGAAGCACACAGGCTTTCTTAGCAGTCAGGTTAAACAAAAAACAAAACAAAAATGAACCTCACCACCTGACACCTGGAGGGTCAATGTCTAGTACGTCATTTCTATTCCACCGCCAGATAAAGTTATCAAAATAATGAAGTTCATGCTATTAATACACATCCTGTTTTGAGGATTGAAAAAAAATGGTAATTAAAGGTATATGTACCGGATGTGTGCTGAAGTGGCAGGAATGAAGGCCGCTAAGTGCAGGCCTCTTGCACTCATTCTTCTAACACAATCGGTCTAGTTATGATTGGGTGCACAGGCAGAAAACGGAATATGAAACTCTTAAATCCGAGTCCAATAATACCGACAGAAACTGAAACTTGAACGTTGATAAGACTTGTATATTCTAAATAGAGGGGAATTTATGAGGAAATTTACATTTCCACGCGAGGTATACGTGGTGCTGGTAAATTATAGAGAACGACTTTGATTACAAATCAGCGGTTGTTGTCGGATTTGGTATAAAACAATTCAACGACGGCTTTAGGCCAAACACTTCTGTTGTGGTTGGGGTGTGGAAACGTTTCCATTTTGAGGGGATCTCTCGGATTTACAAGACTGCAAACGGTAAATATTGGCCTCGTCTTACTATCTTTAGCAGTTTTCTTGGTTTAAATTCTATTAGGGAATGATTCAAGAGAAGAAATGTTATTATGTTGTACGGCTTTTAACAATGAGTCTAATGGATGAAAGTGAATATGTGTGAACACTGATTTATAGAGCTAATATCTTTTAAAAGGCAATAATTTTTTACTTTTTTAGTGTGTTATTTTACTGTATCATGTCAGTTAAGACAAAAACATATTTACCCTAATTTTGTATCATCTTTTAAAAAAAACTATAGAATACGGCATTATTTTATAATATTGCTGCAATAATCTAATAGTCTTTTTTTTTCATTTATTAAATTGCCAGTTTGTTCTGCTGTGGGAATAATTACGACTCAGCGAAGTAGTAATTGCATTACTTGTTGTCATGGCGACAAAGAAGACATGTTGTGATCGATCAAGAGACAGGTGCTCCCATCTCATGTACCAATCATCACTAGAGACTCAAACGGCGGTTTCCTTAGGGGATATGGTTTATAATAAGCCCAAGTCAAGCCAATACATTCGTCCCTTGAGCCAGTCCAGCGAGGCACTCTGTAATGGATTGAAACGTTTGAGTTCGAACGGTCCTGATAACGGTGAAATAACAGAACACCAGCACGATGATCAAGAGGCGACATGCGCGCACTCTCAGACGCGCACTGTCGTGAACGGAGATACGGAATTCCTCAATGGCGGTGGCGACAAAGATCATCTTCTGACAGGCTCACATGGCAAGCACAATCATTACGGACGAGATAGATACGTGAATTGCATATGTCGACCACGTTACGACAGCGATTCATATGATGGCGGGAAGGAGGAGGAGGAATGTCTAGGTGAAGATGAACATGATGGAATAGTCACTGACTTGATAGTACATACCAAACACTTTGTTCGATCATTCTTTGGAAAAAGTTTCTTCAGATTCCACAGAGAGGTAGGCTCCATAATAAACAAATATACCATCCACTGAGAGGCTCTAGTTAAAATTATGGATCGAGGTGGAAGGAGTAGATAAATAGTGCTAAATTCTGTCGCCGAGGAATCCATAATTTCACTGGTGGCTTAAAATAGTGCATGATTCAGAGACGGCTGAAATATCCGTAAATATAACCATTTCTAAATTCGGTAATTTTGAGCCAGCCGTTGAAAAACGAGCGCCTTATACGTTTTATTCCAGTCAATTCCAATATTAGCTTTTTGTTGGCCTTCTCCTGTTGTTTATAATACGCACAACCAGCCGGCCCGTGTATTGTTATTATTAACGGGATAGTTGAGCTCTGTTGCAGAGGGCCCTAGACAAAATAATTTTGTTGTGAGTTAATTAAAAACTGAGTTTCAAATTTGAAAGAACATACAATTTAAATGACAAAATCATTTTGTTTGATCAAAATCGGTTCAGAGACGGCTGAAATGTACATGATTATAACGATTTCTAATATTTGTGTATCATCACAAATATTCCATAATTTGAAAAAGCCGTTACAAAAACGAAATAGCTAATTTAGGTCCTCAAAGGGCACTAGAACTGTCAAAAGAATTATTTATAAGAATAAGAGCAATATCCATGCACTTTGGAGGCAATTACAGTCTGAAAACAGAACTCAACTATCCTTTTAATTGATTAACGGTCACCGTATATATTTTGAAAGTGGAGCTGAATTGGTATGATCGTATGCAATATTCCTCAAGGACTTACATTTCAAAAGTGAATCTAAACAGTCTTGATTACGAGTACTTCAATCTGAAGAGTCAATTTCTGGTCAAAAATAAGATTAAAACATTTCAGTGATAAGAATATTAATAAATCTAATTTGTGCAATTTATATATGAAAATCTGTATACGCACTTTTTATGATTTTTCCCTTATTATTAATTCTGATAACTTTTGTTGCATCATAAGTACTTCAGGATTTCCCCAAACCGTTTTATATTGACGTCATTATTCCCAATGAATATCGACCATTATTGATGAGATGTGATTTGTATAACTTCCTCCCCCTCAGCATTCGACTGAAAAGATGGATGATAGTAAGAAAGCAAGGAGTGTGATGAACAACATCTTGGTTCCAGGCCCATTTCAGAATGGATTTGCATGTCTTGGTATCCATATTGAACAAGAGGAGATGGGGTTAAGGATCGTACATGTCTTCAGTGATTCACTCGCGTGTAAAGCTCATCTCAAGTAAGATTCATAGCCAATTATTCTTCATTTCTACGTTAACTTTGGTCTATTCTCAAACTATTAAGGCATTTTTTCATTTTGTATGTACATCAACAACAAAATCTACCCTTATGACTACCAGTGGCAGGGGCGGATCAAGCCGGCGGCAAGGGGGGGGGGGGGGGGATAATTTGTGAGAATTTTTTTAGCGGAGAATCAGCCGATGAATAAGGGAGGGAGGGGGGGGGGGTAATGAGCACTATTTTTTTTATTTTACTTGTTTTTGTTGCCAGGGGTGGGGGCTTGCTTCTTTTCTTTCTTTTTAAAGGTAAAATTGTGGCTAACATCTTTGTTTTTTACCTTTTTTGCCAGAGGTGGGGGGCCGTGCCCCCTGGCCTCCACCCTGGATCCGCCACTGACCTGTGGCGTAGATAGATGGCACATAAGGGGCAATACGCCCCCCCCTTGAATGGCGAAAAGGGGGGGGGGGCGAAAACTTTGACAAAACCCCTCCTATTCGTACGAGTGACTTCAATCAGAATGTTGACTTGTTTTATGTATCATAATATACAAGTAATTATCCGGGGGGGGGGGGGGGGGGGCAAGCGGACACTTTTTTTTTTTTTTTGGTCTCGAAATTTCAAAATTTGACATTTTTCTTCGTTGGGGGGGGGGTAAGGTCACCTTTTTTAGGTTAACGTGGGTATAATTTTTTTTTTTTTTTTTTTTAATAATTAAAAAAAAAAAAAAAAAAAAAAAAAACCCAAAGGGGGGGGGGGGGGGGGGGGGGGGTTTGGTTTTTTCAGGGGGGTTTACACACATAAAAATACCAAAGGGGGGGTTTGAACCCCCCAAACCCCCCCCCCCCCCTGCGTACGCCCCTGCCTGTTCTACATCACACACCGTTAACCTGGGTTAATCTTTTCATTTACATGTGCTTCTTGCGCTATGTCATTCGTTCTGATGGACGTATCTTTCCATTTGTTTCGATTGATTTATCCTATAAAACAAGGCTAAATTCATTGTATATACTTCTTTAGTTTAGAATGGGGCTGATTAAAGGAACACCATGTTCTTCTGCCATGCAAATACATAGATTACAGTTTAGGAGGTAAATGAACCAATTACATACACGTACATGCTCTGGATCTTACGAATATGATGTATGATAATGCATTGACGAACAGGATTGTTTCTCTTTTTTCTTTCTTCCTAATTGTCTTTCCTCGATTCTTTCTTTCTTTTTTAAAAGCCGGGAAAGGAAAAAAATGCTGGGGATTTCCCAATCTTTCAACAAATGAGAAGTTCATCTAGAAACATCCGGAAAGGCATGAACAATCTTTGTAAATGTATTTATTGCTACCTTCCTTTCTCCCTTCCTCCACTCTAAATATTAGTGAGGTTCTTCCCTAAGGTTTTTATTATAAAGTTGTTTAACCTTTGACACAAACAACGATCAGCTGATTTAATTCATCTTTCAGGGAATCTGATATTCTCACCCATCTAGACGATAAAGAACTGACCAATCAAGAGTTGGACGACATTCGAGGGATGTTCCGGGGAGTTCAAAAAGCATTCAAGCTGGTATGGATCACACACAAACAACTACAACTAAGAAGTATTTGTATTAGTTGAGAGTTATATTTCATAGACGTTAATTGGTAAATGTTGATTATGTAGGAATTACTGGATTTTATCGTTTAAGTGTTAACAGTAGGCCTAGTTTCCTATTACCCTTTCCTGAAACAATTATATTTTAATTTAGCGTCAAGGTAATGCAAAGTTTTGGGAAATTTTGAAAATTGGATGGATAGTAATTCTTTAAAATGTTGATATATTTGAATGGCCCTGTGGATGTATTATGCACTAGAAAATGTTACCCTTAGAGCGCCACTGTCCTACTTGTAGCTACTTGCTCCCTCTATATAGAAAACTTCCCCAATCGGTGCCTGAATCATTGAATATCATTGAATCGCATATGCTTCCAATATGTTCATTTGAACCAAATTCATGATCCCATACCGTTGTATTACCTTTAAGAATTCACTTTCAAATATTACTGTTTCCGTGGTTACAGACTATCTGGCGAGAAATCCATGAAGGAACCACGAATCGTTGGACTCAACTTACAATAAAAATCTCTATCACTGAAACGGGTAAGTATTGTTTTTTCTTTGTTATCGTTACCAACTGCATGAAAAATCATCAAGAACTAAATATTTGATCAAAAGTATGCTCTGAGAGTAAAGGTTTTGGAGTTGGCATCTTGTGTGTAAGTATTCTATAGTCAATAAAATGTCACGCTTAATGTATCTCTACTAATATCTGAATACTAAAGGTTTTCATTCGTAATTATTAACTGTTGTACCACTTTATTGTAAATTAAATCACATCTCTATCCTTGGTTTCTATGAATTCTTATTACGGTGTTTATCATGAGTAAAGATGATGTTTATTTATAAAATATATAACTTTCGACATATCTATTTACCCTAAATTATCTTAAGTTACTCGTACTAGCCAAACTAATCAGTACTTTATAACAACTCTTGATGGTCAGAAAGACAGCCATGGTGAGACATCGAGCCAAAGTTTTTTAACTGCAACGAGACCTATCCCGGATGCGTCAGCCATCCTATCGCTTCATTTGATTGGCTCAATAGGTATACGTCATGCGCAAGTCATCAATATTAATGATACGCACGCACACAGAATCTGATGCGATAATTTATCAAATATGAGACTTCATACAAAAATTAGAAATACAAAGCTAAGGTTACTTTAAATAAGTGACATTGCGACAAACCCGGATACATCCTCATTTCAGTTTGTGTGTTATTTTTCCTGTTCTGTATGTCTGGTAAAAATCACCTCTCTCGGATCGATCTAACGTATTCGGTTCTATTCCTTGTACTCACTATTATTCACTTTGTTTTCATCATGTGTCTTTCTCTCCTGTCTATATCCTTCCTACTTCCAATTACTTTGTCCGCGTGACGTCTTTAAAATGATTTGTTTTCTCTCTTTTTTAATTCTTCACGTTGTCCCTCTTGCTCTGGTTGTTTACAATTATCATCATATCGACAGATAATTACTTTGATTATCTCTTTAAAATGTTAACTGGTTGTGATAGCATTAATTGCGTTTCAGTCTCTTTAGTAATTTGTTCTGTTTTTGAGTTATTTGCCTTTGGAAATCTTATATTTATGAAAAAAGAAACAATTAGCATAATTATGATTTTTCCATGTAGGCTCACGTTAAATTGACATTGTTTGTAAAATTTCCAAAGAGGGAGAAAAATTACCCAATCATAATCAAATCAAAACTAATTCAACTTGTACTAGGAAAGTTTCTAGTTCATAAACAACAAACTAAGAATGATCTACACAATCAATTGAACTAGGCGTTGTGGCGTGCGCCTGTAATCCAGCTAACAGTGGAATTAAGTTACAAACTGATTCAGCCGAGGACGCAGGCTCGAAACGTCTTTCGGATGGTGACGTTTAAAGGTCGGTCCCCAGGCGTAAATAATCATATCTGATTGATACACGTCTGTAAAAACACAACACACACACACACACACACACAGAACGCACCTCTTCGACCCATGGTTCTCATCAAACAAGAGAAAAATCAATGCTGTGTAAATCATGTTGTCAAATTAATGAAAAAAGATCACGAAATATTATGACTGAAAGGATGTCATCAAACAAGGTTGAACCGAGCCGGAAGAAATACATGTCAATATAATTACCTTTCTGTTTAATTTGAATTGAATGATTGCATTTGGGTGTGGATCATGCGCGCTGACCTGTGATTGCCCTGTCATGTGAGGCCGGCCTTGCTATATGATGGTCGAGAGCATGATGATGATCAGGGACCCGTTTCACAAAGCCTTTTTGCAATGACAAATTACCAAAATCAGTGACAAATCTGCTGACAACCAATCAGAAGCAAGGATTTAAGTAGCTTATAACAAAAACTGTCATCTGTCACTGATGACAAGTTTTGTGAAACGCCCTCCAGGAACATCGTTTTCTAGATTATTTTAGGTCTAAATATTTCTTGCACAGTGTCACATCACTGTCCATACGGAATGAATTACTCGAAAAAGATATAGCGCCAATCAAAATTGTAGACGTACCATTGCCTTTTTCTATCAGTTCCTTTATTTCATTCGGTCAACGCCTATGACTGACTACTTTTCTGAACTATCTTTTCACGATCTATTTAATGATTCTCCTTCTTCTTTAAATTGTTCAGTTTGTCGTTCTTTCGAGATCGAAGTGATCGTGAGTCGTGCTCCTATTAGACCCATGCCAGCATCAACTCAATGTCATTTCATTACCAAAGACCGGATGGTGGTCATCAGATCTACATGCATTACGATGACGATGGCTCTCTCAACATGAGCGAACTCGTTCATGAAGATCCCGGATGTATAGATAGAGGTATGTTGCAACTCTGAAATCTCGCATTTCTATTCATGCCTTGATCTTTCCCTTCCGCTTTTTTTTCTCCCCTATTTTATTTAATCAGTCTGTTCATTTTGTATAAATATTGTAATCAAAACTCTTTATGCAATATTGTTATATAAATAAAGCGATACAATGCCTCGTCTGAGGAAAAACGAAAAGAAAAACTCTGAACTCTCCGTGTACAGAGAGGGGGGGGGGGGGTTAACATTTTTAAATCGGACCGAAAATTTCGCAACGACTCAGCCAGCCGCTGAATAAGGGGGGGGGGGGGTAAGAGGACACTTTTTTTTTTTGGTCTCGAAATTTGAAAATTTGTCATTTTGCTCCGTTGGGGGGGGGGGGGGTAAGGTGAACTTTTTTAGGTCAGCCATTGGTATATATTTTATTTATTTTTTAATGAAAAAAAAATTACCAAAGGGGAGGGGGGGGGTTTCCTCTAAAATACACACACCCAACCCCAAACCCCCTGCGTACGCGCCTGGGTGTAGCTATAGGTTATTGTAGAGATAGAGGTATGTTCAACTCTGAACACTCCCATGGTTACCTTGATATAGCTGTACTGGTGAGATTGAAAATGGTGAAATCCGAGACTTTTCTGGTGAAACCAGTTTTCAACGATCATTAATATTTACAACTTTAGTAAATGAACAAAATATGCTTTGAGGACATAATCATACAAATTGAAAGTAATTCATGAAAATGACTATAATTATCTATTTCTCTATTTCAGCGTCGTTTTACTTTGACTTCTACTTCTGCTCACGATCTCAATCACGTACAATCTTAGGACAGCTATGTACACTACGACACCGAACCACTAACCATGGGGACAAAGTGTTCAACTGTACGACTGGCTTGATGGAAGTAAGTTGACATATTCATGTACAAGAATAATAGAGAGGAGAGAGTGAGGAAGGGAGAGAGAGAGGGGCGGGAAGAGGGAGAGGGAGAGAGGGGGAGAGAGGGATACGTGTGTATGCGTGTGTGTGTGTGTGTGTGCGTGCGTGTGTGTGTGTGTGTGTGTGCGTGTGTGCGTGTGCGTGTGTGTGGGAGGAGGGCAGAGTTAGATTTCGGGTGAGGGGGTGATGTTATCATTAAAGGGAATTTTCCATGGCAGGAAAGGGTAGTCTTGGCTAACTAATTGTATTTAATTAATTGATTTGATTTACCTCATTAACAATTTACTTCCATTTAAAAAACTTTACAATGATAGCATGGCATGATTACAAACTCTTATCTTTATAGTTGAGCTTTGGTGATCTTACATGTATATTGAGATAGTTGATCTTTGTTGATCTTACATGTATGTTGGTATAGTTGATCTTTGGTGATCTTACATGTATGTTGAGATAGTTGATCTGAGGTGATCTTACATGTATGTTGGGATAGTTGATCTTTGGTGATCTTACATGTATGTTGGTATAGTTGACCTTTGGTGATCTTACATGTATGTTGGTATAGTTGATCTTAGGTGATCTTACATGTATGTTGAGATAGTTGATCTTTGGGGATCTTACATGTATGTTGGGATAGTTGATCTTAGGTGATCTTACATGTATGTTGAGATAGTTGATCTTAGGTGATCTTACATGTATGTTGGTATAGTTGATCTTTGTTGATCTTACATGTATGTTGGTATAGTTGATCTTTCGTGATCTTACATGTATGTTGGGATAGTTGATCTTTGTTGATCTTACATGTGTGTTGGGATAGTTGATCTTTCGTGATCTTACATGTATGTTGGTATAGTTGATCTTTGGTGATCTTACATGTATGTTGGGATAGTTGATCTTTGGTGATCTTACATGTATGTTGGGATAGTTGATCTTTGGTGATCTAACATGTATGTTGAGATAGTTAATCTGAGGTGATCTTACATGTATGTTGGTATAGTTGATCTCTGGTGATCTTACATGTATGTTGGTATAGTTGATCTCTGGTGATCTTACATGTATGTTGGTATAGTTGACCTTTGGTGATCTTACATGTATGTTGAGATAGTTGATCTGAGGTGATCTTACATGTATGTTGAGATAGTTGATCTTAGGTGATCTTACATGTATGTTGGGATAGTTGATCTTAGGTGATCTTACATGTATGTTCGGATAGTTGATCTTTGGTGATCTTACATTTTTTTTTTTTTTTTTTTTTTGTTTCTTTTATTTCTTTTATTTCAGAGTTTGCCGTCGGGACGAACTCGAGACATGCGAATATACCTTTTGGATCGTATCCACACTCCTGATGAGGAATATAAGTTTAGAGTCTTTCTACGGAATGGCAATCAGGGTAAATTCAACAAGATAGTGTTAGGCCATTAAAACAAATATACATGTTTAGCGACCCCGCCCGCTTCGTTTTTGGGGGCCGCCTCCTATTTTTTTTTTTTTTTTTTTTTTTTTTTTTTTTAAGAAAAAAAAAACATGAAAAATGCTGCTAAAATGGATCTATTTCTGATTTAAAAAAAAAAAAAAAAAAAATTGTCGGGGGCCATCTTGAAAAATAGCACGACTATCAGGGAAAATGTACCGAACGGCCATTTTGGGCGACCATTTTGAAAGAAAAGAAAGAAAAAAAAAAGGGCCTCCTCCTTCCTATTTTAAAAATATCAGGACGCCAAACATATTTTTAAAATATTTATTTGGCCTTATATTTGCAGGATGGGAATAAATCAAATGGAAATAATGACACGGAGATTTAGTTATGAAGTCAATAAGCAGAAAGTGGCAGAATATTGCTCGTTTGATTATCTCAAAACGTTCGATTACCAAATTTGAAATGTAAAAATTTTATTCATACGCGTTGACAAACCGTATTTATGAAGGTTGCCAAATTAAAGAAAGTAGCGCAAAGGTGCACAATATTCAGGGCTGCAATTAAAGTTATAATATTGAACCCAGGAATTATGTTATTGTGTCGCTTCAGAACGCGAATTAAACTTATATTTCCAAATATATAGGTTCGTGATATTAGAACCGAATCCGAGGCACAACAGAAAATGTGTGCATGTACCCTTTTTGAAGAAAAAAAAACTCACCTTTCGTTCATAATAACATACATAATATGTGAGAAATTAAAATGTTAATTGTCAAAATTTCAAAGATAATATCATCTTCTGCCTCTTATTTCCTTTTTAGTTTGCAAAAACATACTATAAGGAACGGACATTGATTAATTTTCCAGCTTCCTTTAATTGTTTTCCCCTTCCTCTTTTATCCCCACTCTCTCTCTCTCTCTTTCTCTTTTCTTCTTCCCATGCCTCTGTTAATGTAAAATCATTCTGATCTCTCATTGAACTGTTGCTCTTCTTTCGTTTGTTTGCTTCTTAATATTCTCTCTCTCTCTCTCTCTCTCTCTTCCTCTTTTTTCTTTGTTATTCTTTTTTTCTCTCTTCTTTTTTCCTTCTTATTTCTTCTTTTTTTCCTCTCTTTTTCTTCTTCTACTTCTCCTTCTTTTTCGTTTTTCTTTCTTTTTCTATCTGACCCAGATCAATACTTGACGAACGTCGATGGTAAGATTCAGCTTCGTTCTATGGATCAGGCCCGGTCAGATGCTCTCTTCAGAACTTACGATGTTTAGCCATCTTTAAAGATAAAGGCCAGTTATGGTAATGCAATTACTTTGTGAAAGAAACAGTGTGGAATCGATCAGAAAAGGGTTGATCATCTAGCATATAAGTATCGGTGTGTACTGCAAGGTTCTGGAATCATCAAAATGATAAGAAATTTGGTCCAGTCCTGGTAAAGTTACAAGCACTTTTCACATAAAGATGTATATGGGACTACGCGACACGTGCGCGATATCTATCAGGTCCAAATAGATATAATAATGTACCAAATACATTTTTGCTTCCCTTTATTTTTTTTATTTTTTTTTCTCTTCTTTTTTTTTTTTTTTTTTTAAACTTTTGTTTGTTTGTTCGTTCTATGATGGTGTGTGTTTTGTATACTGTTGTAGTTGTACTTGTTATGTGTTTAAATGTTGTGTGGGGAGGGGGTAGTAGGTGTTTTCTAGCTCTTTCTCTTTTTATATATATAATTTTTTTGTCTCAAAAGGAAAATTAAGAGGAATATAGATTAACAGAATAAAGTGGAAAAGAAATAATTTGAGATTTATAATCAAACTGATCGAGAAAATGGTACAAACGTTATTTGCGATTTTTTTTTGTTTTTGTTTGTTTGTTTTTTGGGTGGAAATATAATTTTGTTTATGTGAATATTTTTCATCTGTAAATGTGTAACTTTAGTTGGAACCTTGAATGTAAATGTAAAAGTTCATTTGCAAATTTATTAAGACCTATGTTAAAATTATTTGTTAGTTTGTATACGATGTCATAAATTATGTACAATTTTTCTTTGTGAGAGAAATTAATAAAAACCTATGAAAACAAAAAGTATATCAATTAGTAGGCGGTTTCTCGGCAAAATTTGTATCATCACGTATTAGTCAAAACATATTCTTTAACATGATTGGTAATAAGAGCTTCCATTTCATTTTTTGAGAGAGAGGAATTTCCAAAACTGGTCTTTACCTTTAAGGTTAAGTATTTGCCTCCATCCCGGCTCGGATGCTTGACCAACAAACGATATGGTCACAATTACAAAAAAATATCACAGATACACGTTTGGGAGACAAAATAGCCAATCATAAATATTTATTTTTCTCTTGCTGTTTGTTGTTTGAATGTTTGTTGTTTTTGTTGTTGTATATGTTGATCTTGATGCACATATCGTTCCGTGATAGTGAACTTTATTCGTCAGAACCCGTGTTGAGCTTCAAGAAGGAAGAAAAAAACCTTTGCTCTGTCCAGAATATTGGTAATTTCTCTAAGACGATAGGCAGTTTAAATCGCTTACGGTATAGGACTACTATGGATTACTTTGTAAATGGTATTAAGACGATATGAACTGGTATCAAAATGACTGCCAAAATCCTAGATGTGCTTCATGAATACCCTTTGCTTAACCTCTTGAAAAGAATACTTCCACCTGCACATTGGCAGTTATTATTCTAAGATGCTCAAAGTGGAACTTCTCCATGTGTAAAAGATCTGTGGATATTTTGGGTCATTTGTATCATGTGCTATCTGTAAATTCCCTTAACACCAGTACATATCACATATCATTTGATCTAGGCAATGTTCGATCCGGTTCTAAAGAAGACACCAATTCTCATATATTCAGTCAAGTGTTTTTCTTGTGATATAATTATTTTAGTGTCGATTTAAGACGAAATAGAAAAACTGCACATGTACAATTATTTGAGGTATCTGTTTATAAGACATCAGGGGCGGATCTAGGTGGGTTTTGGCGGTTTACCCCCCCCCCCCCCCCGCGGTCAAGTAAAATTTTGAAAAAAGGGGAAAAAGGGGGAGAAGAAAACAAAAAAAGAAGTATAACAGTAAAACGGCGCGATTTTTGGAAAATCCTGGATCCACCGCTGGGTCAAACCAACCCCTTGGCAAAAAGCTAGATCCGCTCCTGAACATCCCTTAATATTCCTGTATATACTTATTAAACTGTATAAATATATGTTCTGTAAATATTATAATAGTTTTTGTAAGAGATTTAACAAAATTGTTTCCTTCACTATCTTGCCTGTACAGATCGATTAGAATGATTTCCCGTCTTATATCAGCTAATTTCTTAACCCTATTCTGACTGCACGAAATCTACGACTACGGCGCAACCGCTGCAGATCGCGACTTTCTTTTTCTGTTAATTTTTTTCTTCCAAGTGTGCCGCAACTTTAGAAATTAATTAGCTTGCAAAAATCGGATAATCCTTTACGATTTTGCATGTTTGTGTACAAAATACTGCTTTTCCTAAATTGCTGTCCTATAGTCCTGCCAATTGTGTTTTTTATGCACGTTCTTGACCTTATATGTCTTAAAATTCATCAAGATGCATTTTTAGAATATGACAAATCATTACAACAAAGGAAATACATTAAAAAAAAATTAAAAAACGAATACATAAGAAAGTGTTTTTTTTTAATTAAAAAAAAAATTGATTTGAAATTTGACAATTTTTCAATACAAGATCGTTGACCATCGTAGGGCTACTTCTCAACTGTTTTCGAAAGATTGACCTTCATACCTCATTTCTAAAGTGAATATTATAATTATTTAAAAAAAATTGTAGGCATCTGATTTTCATTAATTATAATAAGGTAATAAATAGCAAATAATAAACAAATTATACGTGTCAATTTCAAATTCTTGCGTCAACTGGACTTTCCGCGGCAGAGATCTTGGGGTAGGGGCAATTTGACCCCCTCCCCCTCCCAGTCAAAACTTGCTCTCATAAAGCCCAGTCAGGCAAGGGTTACAGCTAAATATTATCACATGAGACAGCGATTGTACTACATATAGTGTAATATTAAATTGTAGTTTGGTTCAACAATGAATGATGAATGCGCGCATGGAAATGTATTTATGAAAGTCTTTTTCCTTCTTCAATCCTTTCTTTCTTTAAAGCTTAACGCCACAATTTGAGAGATTGAAGTCAGGTCTGCATCTTTTACAAAAAAATGTACAACATATGAAAATTAAAAATTGAATGATGAATGTGATGTTTATTCCTCGTTTGAGTTTGGCACGTTTTGTATAAACATGTACTAGCTGTGTAGTTAATTTTGATTCTTTTCTTCATTAATGACTCAATAGTGAGCAACATTATTATTTTGCTCAACAGGGGGGGGGGGGGGGGAATGGAGCAACATTTTTTTTGTAATCAACACCCCCCCCCCCCCCCCCCCTCCTCTTGATCAAAAAAAAAAGGGGGGAGGTTTGCGCGATCGAACCCCTTGTTTGTACGGGGTGCTGTAATATACACAATTATACTTCCGAATATCAAGCAATGATTACAGACATGTATATTGTATGTCAATAACGACACACCAATAGTCTCCCTTAAGTAAATGTGAGATTTTATATAACAAACAGAATCAGGTTAAAATGCTGAAATTTGAGTTGGTGTCCGGACAACTTATAGCATAATCAGGTGCAACTAAGATGATATTTTGCTATTTGATCAAATTTTTTATAAATTTTGATCGTACTTGGACATCATTTTTACTAGATTTAAGCATTGCCTTGTTTTAAGTTAAACGGACACACTGCAACATTTGCACTTGTATGACAATTAATTTACCCAGTCGGTCCATTTTGTGTTATTTGTTTGACGTGGTATAGGAAGTTCATATTTAGATAAGGCTATAGTACATATACATGCTAATCGCAAGACTTCACTACCTTGAACATTGTAAATATTTACTGTATGTTATATGTAATAATATTGCTGTATAAAACTTTTAAGTGTTAATTGTTCGGTATCAACGAACTTGAGCCTTTCTTGTTAGTTGGTTTTTAACATTTCAGAAAAAGTGTAGCTGTATTTTGCATGAATCTATCTACCACGCTGTGTATAAAAACATAGAAAGTTTTAGGCGAAAGATTAATCTATTTTAGACGAAGGCCTCTGTATTAAACTGAATAAAATAATTTGTATTCCATATTTTAGATTCTTAACTTTTCTTTTTGCAATCCGACAAAGGAAAGAGAGAGAAAACGTGTTGGGAAAGAGATATAAGATATAAAGAGAGAGTGAGAGAGAGAGAGAGAGAGAGAGAGAGCGAGAGAGAGAGAGAGAGAGACAGAGAGAGACAGAGAAAAGGCGGGAGGGGGGCGGGGGTGGGTGGTAACGGACTTTGTAAATGGCTTGTGCATACCTGTTGCTTATATCACTTCCAACCATTCCCCCTCTCTCTCTCTCTCTGTCAGTCTGTTTATCTGTCTCTGTCTCTCTCTCTCTCTCTCTCTCTATCTCTTTTTTTACCATTCTATTTCAACAAGGAAAGACACGCCACCATTTACATTGATAAACAAGGTAATCACCATGACAACCTCCCCTCCCCCCCCCCCCAAAAAAAAATGCCTTTCCTCTTTTATTTCTATATTCTGTTTTCTTCATCAAATCCCTCTTCTTTCTCATTTGTTCTACCCACATGAGAGAACATCATATTTAAATTGAAAAACTCAAAAGAGTAGCATTAGAATTGCAACATTAAATATTAAGCAGTTTTAACTGCATTTCGAAACATAAGGCTGCAATATGCAAAACAAATCAAAATAATTCACACAGCTTTACTTACACAAGAACTGTTATTTAATGAAATATTTTTTTCTTTTCCTTTTCGAGACAATTGGTATTTGATCAACATGGTCAAAAAGACTTGATTGAAAATCACATTTTAATACAAGATAGATTTATCAAATGACAGAATATTAAATCATTGGGTGTAGATTTACACATTTGAGACAAAGATAAAGATCCAAACCTCATTCATTATGGTAAAGAAAAAAACACCCAGCACACAATAGACCAGTTCGTGGTTGGCACATGTCCCAAATGATCCCGAATGTCCACAGATCTTAAAAACATGGAGAGGTCCCACTTTGTACATTTTGAAATAATCAGTCCTACAGCGATGGAGGTGCTCCATAAATAGCTTGTGTTTCCCCCTTTCAAAGAATACTTCCACCTGCGTATCATGGATTGTACTGCTTGTGCATAAATGAATAATGATTACATAACTTCCATGAGCATGTATCCAGTATCTTGTCTCTGTGTAATTGACAATTTGGTCTGCAATGACCTTTATCTGCTCATTCTCAGACTGTAACTATGAATTGGCAAGTGAGGATGACAACAAAGTAGTTCTGCACATCAGTAGCCTTCTAATGATGCATACTCACCTCAGTGTTATAAGATACAGAAATGTGAAATGTGCTACTCCTAAGTATTTACCTTTTTATCTCCCGCAACTTCTTTTTTTTTGGGGGGGGGGGTCAGTTTACCATGTCAAGTTTTAAAGAAGCTAAAATGTCAAAATGCATCAATATTTCAAATCCTGAAAATTATCATTCTTGCTATAAATATTAATCAATCTTCATCATGATTTCCATGAAAATTAGCCATTTTCCTAAAAACATGATATGAGAAAAATATATTAACATGAAGTAAATGTATTCATTGAGATGGTATTAATAAACAACTCAGAATTTCCCTGAAACGCAACAAGGGTTTGATAACAGTAGTTTTTATCTTATCATGGGGCAACTAAAATGGACTGACGAATGAATAAAAACAGTTTGTTTTGTTAGCCCATTTCATTTGCCCCTTTGAGACAAATCATTGCTTGTTTTAAAATGTGAAATAACGTAATTGTTATCAATTTAATATGTAATTCATATACATGTGATGCATTATAAATGGAAGACAAGTTACAAATGAAAACACACATACAAATGTCTTACATTTGATTTTACATTTGATTTATTTCTTTGTTTAGTCTTGGGCAAACAAAAATCAGCCAAGTTTGTTAGCATGACTGGACAACCAGGAATTCAAGATTAAAGATAAAGTTGAGTTCTGGTCATGTGATTGCATTGTGAAAGAAACGGTGTGGAATCTTTTAGAAAAGGTTGATCCTCTAGTATATAAGTATTTGTGTGTATTGCAAGGTTCTGGAATCATCAAAATGATAAGAAATTTGACCAAATCTTGGCAAAGTTACAATCACTGTACACAGAATGATGTATATGGGACTACACAAACACATGGCAAAAAAAATCCTACCTGGATTTTTACGATGTTTCATGTCATATTTAGAATATGAAGGCATTTGAAGAGCCATGCTTTTCAGGTAACATGTTTAATCTGATGTTCTTCCATCCTTGTATAATAACAATGATAATGCTCACAAATTGTTTTTTTACCTCTTTCCAGAATTCAACCTTCTCTTTAAAGGGATAGTTGAGTTCTGTTGCAGAGGGCGCTACACAAAATATTTTTTGTGAGATAATGAAAAACTGAGTGTCAAATTTGAAAGAACATAATATTTAAATGAAAAAATCATCTTTGTTTGATCAAATTGGTTCAGAGACGGCTGAAATATAACGATTTCTAATACTTGTGTACCACCACAAATATTAGATATTTTGAATTTTTTTTTAAAAACCGTTGGAAAAAACGAAATAACGCCTTTTACGTCATATTTCAGCCAATGGCGATGTTGGCTTTTTTGTTGACATTTTCGTGTTGCTTATATTACCCACAGTTAGCTGGCTCATGTATTGTTATTTTTAATTAAATAATTAATTAACGGTCACCGTGTTTTTTTTTAAGTGGAGCTGAATTGGTATGATCGTATTGGCTAAATTTCACATATTTTGGGGTCTAAAATTACCTTCATAGTAATTTTAGGTTCTAAAAAAATAAGAGCAATAACCATGCACTTTGAAGGCATTTGCGGGCTGAAAACAGAACTCAACTATCTCTTTAAGTTGACTCATCTAATTCTATTTATCAGAATATATTTGGGACTTATGACCCCATTATTTCCAGACATTAAACTGACTCATTTGAGTAAAAAGGAAAAAGAAAAAGAGGACTCGGGGGGGGGGGGGGGGGGGAATGGCATCTAACAACATTCCCCCCCCCCCCTTTTGAGTAAGAAGAATTGGGAAATAATGGGGTAAAATAGAGAAAATAAGGGGAAAATCGGGATAAAATCGGGGGGGGGGGGGGGGGGGGGGGGGGGAGGGGAGAATCGGGTAAAAAATTATTTAAAAAATCGGGGAAAAAAAATAAAATCAGGTTTTTATCAGGGGGGGGGGAATGGCATCTAACAACATTCCCCCCCCCCCTTTTGAGTAAGAAGAATTGGGAAATAATGGGGTAAAATAGAGAAAATAAGGGGAAAATTGGGATAAAATCGGGGGGGGGGGGGGAGGGGAGAATCGGGTAAAAAATTATTTAAAAAATCGGGGAAAAAAAAATAAAATAAGGTTTTTATCAGGGGGGGGGGGAATGGCATCTAACAACATTCCCCCCCCCCCCCCTTTTGAGTAAGAAGAATTGGGAAATAATGGGGTAAAATAGAGAAAATAAGGGGAAAATCGGGATAAAATCGGGGGGGGGGGGGTGGGGGGAGATGCGGGTAAAAAAACTATTTAAAAAATCGGGGGAAAAAAAAAAATCAGGTTTTTATCAGGCCTGCAGACAGAAAGCAATCATGAACGTTTCTGCTTAGATACCAACAACGAATCTAGGCAGTGTCAATGCATGTTTCAAAGTACCAGGATGACCATTAAAGGTAAAGACCAGTTTTGGAAATGCCCCCCCTCTCAAAAATTGAAATGGAAGCTTTTATTACCAATCATGTGAACAAATATGTTTTGACTAATACGTAATGATACAAATTTTGCTGAGAAACCGCCTACTAATTGATATATTTGGTAAAATATTATATCTATTTGGACCTGATAGATATAACGCAAGTACCATCAACCCAACATTTGCCTATAAATTCATTTCATGATTCATATTTATTAGGCATGTTTATTTATTGAATGCTTCAAAGTTGATTAATACTGATCGACGAAGGAAGGTTTCCTTGCACAGCACTGTATAGGTATACAACCTGAAAATATCAACCATTGCTTCTTGGAACTCAAATTATCTTGATTTTCCTTCCTCCAATAACATTATAATTGTCCACCAGCTTGGAAGCTGGATGTTAAAGGTCCTCTTAAAGTGTTGAGATTTCACTTAAATTGTATCATAATTTGAAAGAGGATGTCATTTAAGACACACTTCTGCAAAGATTTCCCCAAAAAAATTGTTTGAAGACAACTATTGATAGAAGAATACAAAATTGGGGTTTTCTGTTGTACATGTATGCAGAAAAAAAATTTTTGCACTCTTTCATCAATATTCGACTTCATACACATTTGTTTTGAAAATCCTTGCAAAAAAAGTGTCTTAAATGACATCCTCTTTCACATTATGATACAATTTAAGTGAAATTTTGCCATCAAATTTTGGGGGCTTCCAACACTTTAGAGGGGCTTTAAGTCTATCGAGGTTGCAGAAACCTATCGCTCTATTCCTCCATAATACCACTGTATAGAACCAAACAGACTTGCCTATGATCCTTGAGTAGAGGCTTGGCATACTTCTAGTATCAGTGTTATACGTAGGTCCAGGGGGGTGTTTCACAAAACTTGTCATCAGTGACAAATGACAGTTTATGTTAAAAGCTACTGAAATCCTTGCTTCTGATTGGTTATCAGCAGATTTGTCACTGATTTTGTCATTTGTCCTTGAAAAAAAGGCTTTGTGAATCGGGTCCCAGGTGTTGCTATTGTCATTGTATCTCAAGCTTGGCTAGATCTCTCCTCAGCTCAGTTTCAGCGCTTAGTTTATCTAACTGATTCTTCTCTAGCTCCTTACCGCTCGCTTGCTGCTCTTTCAGCTTCTCAATGGCTTTCAGTTTCTAGAGGGACAAGAGAGATAAGGCCCATAAATCATTATAATTATACTTCCCTGACTGAGCAATTACACTTTGCATTTGAGGTGTTCACACTTGTACAAGTATTGCTTTTTAGTGGACCCTTCTGTTTCCAACATGTATTTCTTAGATTTGTAATGTTTTGTTGGAAACATGAATATATATTAAATTTGAATTTGAATTTGAAATTATAACCGTTTTCTTTTAAACTGAAGCTCGCTTCTATTGATTTTTTTTTTTTTTTTTGTAAAATGAATTTATTGATAAATATATGCATTTGAACAAATCAAACAATCATACACAATCAATTGAAATAACATCATAGCATCTAAACATAGTTCAAATAAAACATGTTTCGTTTTCTTGAATAACAGTGTTTTCAAAAATGCATAGCTTTTTTGTTTTACAGTTCCTTTCGCTTCTATTGATGACCAGACAGCTTTCCACATGTGAGACAACAGTGTAGATTTTGGATTAACTGTGCACATTATACCTCAAACTCTGTTCTGCAGGTTCTTTTTAAACCAGGAGAAATTTGAGGACGCAGTTCATTCTCCAATAAAAGACTTATGTATACTTTCATTATCGATCTATTGATGTCCTGGTTTTTTTAAGCAAAACTTTGTAATAAAATCCCCCAGCCCTTTAGAAATCACTCAATACGCAGTTTAGCTAGTCAAAAGAACACAATTCATTTCATACAGTCTAATATTATACACTAAACATAAATTGTCAGTCCTGATATGAAAGCACACACATGTCTACTTCCTCCTACAGTGTAGTTTGCTCAAATTGCTTTTAGTTTCAGTTTATGAAAGAGATAACAGGGCCAGGCTCAAAGCGTCAACAATCTGCTCTCATTACTTAGTTTCATTATTTTCAATGTCTTCAAAATATTTTAAAAAGCTTTGAAGGGTCTGCACTGTAATTAACCAGACTGCAGTTTTCTTGTAGTATCAGGATGCTATAAATAAACGGACAATTTGATAGTAACTTATCTCACACTCAAGATTTATATCAATGTGAAACTAAAGTAAAACACTGGTGGAAGGTTTGCTATAATTTTAGTCTATTAGTTTCAAGAAGGAAAGGGGCAATCAATGTATTCTCCCTTCCTCAAATGGAATGAGGGGGGGGGGGGGGGTAGTGTGCATCTGGGAATTGAGAACTGTATTAAAGAGAAGGTTGAGTTCTGGGGAGAGGTGAAAAATAATTTGTGCACGTTATCATTTTTATTATGGAAGTGTGGAAGAACATCAGATGAAACACGTTGAGTGAAAAGCATGGCTCTTCAAATGCCTTCATATTCTTAATATGGCATGTAACATCGTAAAAATCGGGACAGACTTTTACGCCAAGTGTCCGTGTAGTCCCATATACATCTTTCTATGTACAGTACTTGTAACCCTACCAAGACTGGGCCAAATTTCCTATCATTTTGATGATTCCAGAACCTTGCAGTAGACACCAATACTTATATGCTAGATGATCAACCTTTTCTGATTGATTCCACAACATTTCTTTCACATGCAATCGCATGACCATAACTGGTCTTTATCTTTAAAGAAAAAGCTGATTTCTGGTCATGCAGTTGCATTGTGAAAGAAACGGTGTGGAATCGATCAGAAAAAGTTGATCATGTAGCATATAAGTATTGGTGTGTACTGCAAGGTTCTGGAGTCATCAAAATTATAAGAAATATTTGGCCCAGTCTTGGTAAAGTAACATGCACAGTACACAGAAAAATTTATATGGGGCTACACAAACATGTGGCATAAAAATTGGGCCTCATTAATAAGCTACTACCATACTCTGAAATTAGGAGGGCAATTTCTAACAGAATAAGAAAATCCTTCCTAATGCCATCTTGCCATGGGTATATAACGATGAAGTATTTCTTACCTTTCTAAGGGCTTTAATCTTCTTCTCAGCCTCTACATCTACTCCTACTGCCGGTGCTGGGGTGGGCTCTGAGAGAATGAAGGAAGCCGTTGCTAGGGCAGAACGTTGCTCAGCAGACCTGTTATCCTGAGATGTAGACAGACACACATCAGCAAGTGGATAGCCAATTTAATCAATATTAAAAACACAGGTCTTGAATTATGACCAGAACAGAAATATGAGATCACAGAATCTATATGCGAATAGCAAATTAGTAATTTGGTGACTGGATTCTGATGAAGTCATGGACAACTCTCCTTTGTGTCTCGTACAAAAATATTATAAATTTCCATTTTTCTCCCAAGTTGTCTTCTCTAAAAAAAGAAATGACCATCCCCTGCATCATTGGCATTTTAGTCATTTTGTGGGTTGGAACGATTGATAGGTTGTCCAGCACTTTGTTACATTGACACTGCCAATTTAGCCAATTTGAAGGGCCCATACTTGGTAGTGAATACACCTTTCAAAAATTCATTTTCTAGTTTTTGTGCAATATTTTCAAACTGTCACCATTTTTTTTTAGAGTAGTATATTATTAAGGTTAGGGTTTAATGGTACAGACTACAGATAACGATAAAGATACTCACTGTGATTCCTGGTTTTCCTTTGTTCTTTGCCTCTCGTTTCTTCTTGTTCTTCAGCGCTGATTTAGACAGCTTTTGTTCTAAAAACAAATGAAAACAACTTACGATAGCTAATAGCTAATTTTTCATCCCTGTCATAAGTTTTCAAAAAATCATCTTACAAGATTTCTGGAAAGATAACATTTATACTTTGTCAAGTGTTTTATTGAATAAAAAAAATAAAAAATTGATATGTTGGATTTCCCTTTAGTGATTCAGAAGAATTGAATTTATCAAACTGAACAGAATGGTGGAAGTTAATGCAAATTTGTTCATTGCATTTCAATGATTTAAAAATATTATTCTAATCATTGTATTGACAGTCCTTTCGCACAACAAGTATGTAATAGGACAACCAGCTTTTATACTCAAGTGTTACATTTGTTACGAATATGCAAATGAGATGTTGATTGATATGCTAATTCCAAGATGTGGCTCGAGTTGAGAGTAATAAACGGATCAAAGGTAACCAAATCGTCTTGATTTTCTTTATATATGAATATAATGGTGAGTTCTGGAAGAGCCAATGTGAGTTGATTGCCCTGACTCAACACATTCATGACCTAATAAGCAATAAAGCATAAACATTTAGAAGTAGCATTATAATATGTCAAGACTTGGCATGAGATTTACATTCTATTGATTCTTCTATTCAGATTGAAATATCCTCTTTAAAGAGAAGGTTGAGTTCTGGGAAGAGGTGAAAAATAATTTGGGATCGTTATCATTCTTATTATGCCAGTGTGGAAGAACATCAGAAAAGGCAATGTTCCCTGAAAAGTATGGCTCTTCAAATGCCTTCATATTCTAAATATGTCATGTAACATCGTAAAAATCCAAAGTAGGATTGGTGCCACGTGTTTGTGTAGTCCCATATACATCTTTCTGTGTACAGTGTTTGTAACTTTACCAAGACTTGGCCAAATTTCTTATCATTTTGATGATTCCAGAACCTTGCAATACAAAAAAATTCTTATATGCTAGATGATGAACCTTTTCAGGTCGATTCCACATCGTTTCTTTCACAATGCAATCGCATGACCAGAACTCAACTTCCTCTTTAAGTTTGATTAGAATTATATATCAAATTCTTGCCTTCTGTTTGTGGAGCATTCTGAGCGGGCTCTTCTTCATTCTGAAATAAAGAACAAATTAAAAGATTACAAGCTGATCTTTCAACTCTCCTTTTACATATTAAAGCCCCACTGTCCTACTTGTAGCTACTTGCTCCCTCTATATAGAAAACTTCCCCAATCGGTGCATGTTGGTCCCCCATGATCCTCTATTTCTTATGTTATTTGAGAGCTGAGTTGATGAGATAGCCACCTGTCAGTGACCTCGCTGTGTGGTCTAATCCCTCCTAGCCACACTAGTGGAAACTGGAAAGAAATTGTTGCATTTAAAATGAAGGGAAAAAAAGAATATTCAACCCAAGAAAAATCAATTTACTGTAATTTAAAGTGAACCTCAAAAAAAAGTCTGATTCTCTCATCTTACTTTTTTTCTTCTTATTTCATTATTTCAAGTACAGTTTGCATTCTGCTAAGTTTATAAAAAAAAAAAAAATGCACACACACACAAACAAACGTTACAATTTTTGTTCAATTCACGTTTTCATTATTTCAAGTACATGTACAATGTACATTCTGCAAAGTCTAATAAAAAATATAAACTATTAAAAACAAATTATAATTTCCATCCAATACTTAGAACAGCAATCAAACTAACATTTCCAACACATATCCTTCCTCTGGCTGGTTTTAGTTCATCTCAATGTTTCATTTACATTGCTATAGGCTTGGTAACGCCTGAAAACTACTTAGACATACCACCCATCCTCGCCAACCAGCGCTATAGTTCTCCTTAAAACTATAAGCTAAGAAAGATAACCAACAGTCTTTTTCAGAGGCATGAATATTCACTTCTGAATGACAAACGCCTATAAACTAAAACAACAACAACAACAAACAACATTTCAGGACTACACACAATCAAGAAAGAAAGATTACTGAGAGTCCTTTTCAGGACTTCCCAATCCTCCCCCTCTCACATGGTGCAACTGCAGGCCTACTGTATACTTGGGCGTTGTCATACATGTATTGAGGGGATGGAGGAGGGGGAGGGGGAGGGGGAGGAGGAGGAGGAGGAGGAGGGGGGAGGAGGAGGAGGGGGAGGGGGAGGAGGAGGAGGAGGAGGGGGGAGGAGGAGGAGGAGGAGGAGGAGGGGGGAGGAGGAGGAGGGGGAGGAGGAGGAGGAGGGGGAGGAGGGGGAGGAGGAGGGGGAGGAGGAGGGGGAGGAGGAGGGGGAGGAGGAGGGGGGTGCTGATACATACCAGTTTGAATGATGCTGGTTTTCCTCTTGCACCTGGTGGTCTATAAACCTCTTTAGATGCCTGAGGTTCCGCTGATTGGATGACCTTACCCTGTGGTTTAGAGATGGGTTTGTTCTTAAAGAGATCCGCTGGTAACGTCTGCCATGAAACATTGTATATATGAACATTGTCTTGTGGTACAATGTACTCATGGAGGAGCGAGCCAGACACATGCCAGATCTTGAACCTGAAAAAAGGTCAAACAAAACCAAAAAAAATGAACAAAATTGGGATTTAATAAGGAACACAGGCTTTATAAAACAATGTTTTTCATCTCAACTAATTGGAATCCACATGAGATTGTTTTTAAATGTAGGAAACCTCAGTAGAAAATTTGAAATATAAAATAGGCTAAGAAATGTTTAATTCTGTTTGAAAATTTGTCTTTATTCCCAATAATCCTTTATTTTTCTCCAAAAAGTATATATTTAGTAGTTCTGTCGTAGTATCAAATATATTTAGTAGTTCTGTCAAATCTTAGGTCAAAAGGTCAGAGTACCCCAACATTTACCAATCTTTAAAATGACGGCAGATTTGGAATCCTTATTGAATTCCCTTTCCAACAATACCAATTTTCTGATGATTGACGCATTAGTTCCCGAGATACAAGGGTTCAAAGGCAGACGGTCACCCCCATTTTTGCCAAAAATCTCAAAATTTGGAGGCCGTATCTCCCAAACCCCTCACCTGATTGACCTAAAATTTGAGATTTGGTGCTGTGAGATCACACTCAACAAGTACACCAAGTTTCATCAAAATAAAAAATGGTCAGGTCAAAACCATTGGGTGATTTGACATGGAATGACCACTTACCAATTACCAACCCTTAGTTTAAGAGCACAGATTGCTATAGCGTAACACTTACCCATTACCAACCCTTAGTCTAGGAGCACAGATTGCTATAGCGTAACACTTACCCATTACCAACCCTTAGTCTAGGAGCACAGATTGCTATAGCATAACACTTACCCATTACCAACCCTTAGTCTAGGAGCACAGATTGCTATAGCGTAACACTTACCCATTACCAACCCTTAGTCTAGGAGCACAGATTGCTATAGCGTAACACTTACCCATTACCAACCCTTAGTCTAGGAGCACAGATTGCTGTAGCATAACACTTACCCATTACCAACCCTTAGTCTAGGAGCACAGATTGCTGTAGCGTAACACTTACCCATTACCAACCCTTAGTCTAGGAGCACAGATTGCTGTAGCATAACACTTACCCATTACCAACCCTTAGTCTAGGAGCACAGATTGCTGTAGCGTAATGTTGACCATCTGGTGACCATTGGAAGAATGTTGCATCAGCTGCTTGGCTTTCAGAAATCAACTTGAAACTCTTCCTGTCCCAAAATTGCTATAAAAAAGGGAAAGATGGTAGATATTAAGGAAGGTTTTTAAATGGTCTAGGATACATCTTCCATTATGAGCAGTGTTGTAGCTTACATCAAATGTGTGAAGTTTACAGCTCATGTTTAGTCCGGACATATATACTTGAGCACTGTTGATGCAGAAACCTTTATTTAAACAAAGATATTCAGATATCACAAACCTCCAGGAATATGAATGCCATAAACCTACACTATGACCCTGACCTACAGTTGAGAAATAAAAAAATAAATGTCCCAATCACAAGGTATTCATAACTTCATATATTTATATTTTATATATTTTGGTCATGCTAAGACTCTTTGCAGCGCTAAAAGAAAATGATAGACCAAAAATGCAAATATTGTGATGCTATAATCATTTTATGAGTTTATGGGTATAAAAACTACATTGTCATCACTGATATCATTTGCTAAATTTATAAGAGAGACAGAGATTTTGACAAGATTTGTTAACTGCCACATGAAGAACAACATGAGCCTTTTCATTCCCTACATTAGGCCTAAAAAAAGAAAGATGTTGTATCACCCTTGCGACCGACCCAACAAAAAGTTATTAATTTCGCTTTAAATTTGTATTAATTTTTTTTGTAACCATTTTTTTTGAAAAAAAATGCATTAAAGGCAGGCTTTACTACTACAGCCAGAAGGGATTAGACCGCCCAGCGAGCCAGCGAGGTCACTGTGACAGGTGGCTATCTCATAAACTCAGCTCTCATTTAACCCAAGAAAAAGAGGATCATGGGGGACCAACAGGCACCGATTGGGGAAGTTTTCTATATAGAGGGAGCAAGTAGCTACAAGTAGAACAGTGTGCCTTTAAAGCATTAGAAACAGAGAAATATCAGCCCAAAGAAGGAGTTTAAAAAAAGGAAAAAGATTTCCGACCGACCAACCCATGTTTTGGCACCTAAAGGGCAATACAACATTTTTGTTTGTTTTAGGGCCTTAGAAAGATGATAGGAATGACTTACAATGTGACCTCTCAGGTTAGCGAATCCTCCAAGGGCAATAAGTAAGATAGTCAAGGAAAGTTGGAGACAATTACAAATTATTGCTATGAACAACTACAAATCAACATAATCAGCTTTTTTTAATTATCAGATTAAAGAAAGTGGCCCTCATTTGCAGACCCTCTCTAATTTCGAGGAAGATTTATGGGTAGAAGTTCTTAGGCATGATAATAACCCTCTTCTTATTTTAGATCTAACGGACCAGTAGTTTTTAATCAAAAGTGATTAGCTATTTTTTAGCACATTTAAATTGACCTGTGACCTTTGACCCTTGACCTCTTGACCCCAAAATGTAATCAGGTAATCTTTACATGGTCATAAATACTCTTACTGGCTTGAATTCACAAAGGAGGTTTGTCGACAAATCTAGGTTTATGTAGTTTCACTACGATAGCACAAGAATAATTACGGACGGACAGACAACCGAAAACATAAAGCTTCCAGTAATCACTACGTGTGGCAGAGGCATAAAACCATACAAAGACATTACATAGAGGCTCTTATTATAATCTGTACACTCTCATCATCTACTTCATGTTATGCTGATTTTGTCTAGGTTAAAATATAAATGCAGTGATTGAAAGAGGCAAAAGGAAGAAAAAAAAACGTCAGAAATAAATGGCGAAGTGGAAGATAATTTGAAATGGAAGAAAGAGGTAGATGAACTATGACAAAATATCAATAAAATATATGAGGATATAATTAAAATCATGATTTTCATTGAAAGGATATTGGTTCCTTGAGGGTTGAAGTAGACACAATTTCTTGGACCCGTGCCGAAGTCAAAGATGGATTCACATTTGAGGTTGAATAGCGTTGCTTTAGCAGGCATAACTGAAGCAAGGTCAGTGTTAAGGAACTCAAATTCTAGAATCACTCTTGAGCTCAAATAAAAAAGTAACTTCAGTTTGAAAGTAATTAAGAACTTGACATTGTTTTCATTCAAATTTCACATTTAAACATCAAAATGGCTATTAGGTGGGGAGAATGAAGAAGGGTTCATCAAAAGCGTTAGTTAACATTTAAACAATACATGTTGGAAATTAGTCCATTAGGTGGTGCAAAGGAAAATTATTTTACTAATTCATGAAGTTCTACTCGTTTCAGAAAAGAGGTTATCCTCAAATAGGCCAAACATAACATTAAATTTCTTGTGGAATCTTGTACAATTTCTTGTGGGATCTTGTACAATGTAATGTATTTTTCAATTAATTTGTAGAAGCAAGGATACATCCATAGACCACACAGAACTCTGTTGAGTTTGGACTCCAATCCACACTGTACACCGGACCTTTCTTGCCTAAGAATTAAAAGGGAGGGTAAAAGAATACAAATAACAATTTTCGTTAAATGTCAGATTGAAAAAGAAAACTTGCAAAAGCAACTGCCTCGTCAAGCCCACAGCTCCTCGTTTCTGTTTTCTGACAACCAACGAATCTATCCAAAGCCCTAGTTCAAGAGTTGGTGCCATGCAGTGACAAGGTATATTGGAAAGACACAAGAAGAAGATATCATCTGTTGAAAGACAGGCGGGTATTAACTCTGTGTAAGCAGACAATACACCCCTAGAATATTTGAGATTCTAAATCAAATCCTTATAAACAGTCACAAACCAAATCCATATAAACACAGTCACAAACCAAATCCATATAAACATAGACATAAACCAAATTATAATAAACAAATTCACATACCAAATCCATATAAACACAGTCATAAACCAAATTATAATAAACAAAGTCACATACCAAATCCATATAAACACAGTCATAAACCAAATCCTCATAAACACATAAGTATGTCACCATGGTTGGGTTATTTCTCTTGAGCTTTGTCTTCATAAATTTCTTTTTAAGTTTATCAAGGTTTAATTGAAAGAGTGGAAGAAAAAAAAAAATAATGAAAAGTCTAATCGGTATTAGATTTAATTTGAAAACAGTTGAAAAGCATTATAAACTTTTAAGCAAAGGAATTATCGTCCGGCATGTTAAACAGTAATTTGGGCTTTGAAAAAGAGCGTAGAAACTGGACAGACTTTACCAAAACTTTAATAAAGTAATAAAATTTAAATCAGTTTGAAAAGAAGAAAGAAAAATAAAGGTTTACTTGGGATCCATCTTACCTACGGTAACATTAGAGCTATCTCCATTGACAGCCAGGAAGTGAAGAGCTGTCTCACCATAGTAGGAGCTGCCTGTAGTATCTACGTCCTGTGTAGCTACTATTAAGGCAGCAGATCCTAGGAAACAAAGATTGAAAGAGAATGATGAGTGGTGATGGTGATCTCATGATGATCTTTATTGTTCTACACCGAGTTTGTTGATACCCCTGTCACATAGCCTCACCTATTCCAAATGGACTGATACTCAGTACCGGTACGTATCTTGGCCTTTCAAGATGATGTTATTTATTATATAGACCGGGCATGGTGGCTCTGTGGTTAGAGCGCCCGCCTCATGAAAGGGAGGTCGTGGGTTCAAACCCCGGCCGAGTCATACCAAAGACTTATAACAATGGGACCTTCTGACTTCAAGCTAGGCGCTCAGCATATTAGATTGGAGAAGGGAAGTAATAACATATATTGTTATGCAGGGCCCGCTGGAAGAGCAGTTTCATAAATGAAGTGGCTACCCTGGGTAAATAAAACGTTATTATTATATTATTATTATTATATTTGCTGGTTGCCTGTCATCTGGTGTTGGGTTCATCATTGTAACTATGGCAGTAGCAGCAAAAGAGCTGTATTTTACATCTTGGACAGTATTTAAAACATTCCTAACACGAAAGACATTGTAGATTTTGTATATCACTTGTTAAAAAATTGCAGGCCCCATCACTATATATAGACTCAATTAAGCTTTAGACGTCTACAGATTCAGCATTTCATGATCATTTTTCTTGCAAATATTCTACAATGGACTTAAAAAAATATTAATATAGTAATGTACAATGTATGGATCTATTCTGTTCACCTTTCTTGTTCCATATCATGTTAACGCTGTCTGCTTTGTAAAAGCTCTTATTCGCTATCATAGATCCAGGCCCATCAAAGTTTGGATACTTGAACAGTCTTACAGCATGAGGAGCTCCCTGAAAATCAAATAACATGGTAATGATTATAACAATGAGACAAGGTCAAACAAAGCTCAAATGGGCTTTAAATTTTACTGGAAAATCCACTATTGTATACCTTTGAGAAATCATAGCTTGTAATTGCTGTACCTATCCCCCCCCCCCCCCACCCCTCCCTCAGAAAGTATCGACATTTGGATTGGATAAAATTAAAATAGGACTGTAAAGCATTTGAAGATCCTATGATAAATCCTGTTGAAGATTTCAGTTGGGATATGGATAGGGGAAAGATGATAGCACAGCTGAAGAACTATATGAGGGGATGTGATATAACCTTATTGCCTGGAATGTGAGCTGCTATATGAGGGGATGTGATATAACCTTATTGCCTGGAATGTGGGCTGCTATATGAGGGGATGTGATATAACCGTATTGCCTGGAATGTGTGCTGCTATATGAGGGGATGTGATATTACCTTATTGCCTGGAATGTGTGCTGCTATATAAGGGGATGCAATATTACCTTATTGCCTGGAATGTGTGCTGGTAAATGAGGGGATGTGATATAACCTTATTGCCTGGAATGTGTGCTGCTATATGAGGAGATGTAATATTACCTTATTGCCTGGAATGTGTGCTGCTATATGAGGGGATGTGATATAACCTTATTGCCTGGAATGTGTGCTGCTATATGAGGGGATGTAATATTACCTTATTGCCTGGTATGTGTGCTGCTATATGAGGGGATGTGATATAACCTTATTGCCTGGAATGTGTGCTGCTATATGAGGGGATGTAATATTACCTTATTGCCTGGAATGTGTGCTGCTATATGAGGGGATGTGATATAACCTTATTGCCTGGAATGTGTGCTGCTATATGAGGGGATGTAATATTACCTTATTGCCTGGAATGTGTGCTGCTATATGAGGGGATGTGATATAACCTTATTGCCTGGAATGTGTGCTGCTATATGAGGAGATGTAATATTACCTTATTGCCTGGTATGTGCTGCTATATGAGGAGATATAATATTACCTTATTGCCTGGTATGTGTGCTGCTATATGAGGGGATGTGACATTACCTTATTGCCTGGTATGCGTGCTGCTATATGAGGGGATGTGACATTACCTTATTGCCTGGTATGTGTGCTGCTATAAGAGGAGATGTAATATTACCTTATTGCCTGGTATATGTGCTGCTATATGAGGCGGTGATCCTGCTCCGGACATCCGACACATGACCTTGGGCAGATGTAGTCTGCTTGCAATGCTTTCTACAATTAAATAATAATCATTTCACACATGTCAGGTATAAGATATTTCTAGATGAATTTCATGTATAGCAAGTTATCACTGTGTTAAATGAGGCTTAAGCCCAATACAAGCCATAAATAGATTTCTTAACGCTTATTGAGATAAGTCGCAGTAAACTGCTGCAGTTTTTGTGGGTGTTATTAAATGAAAGGCAACTGTGCGCAACGAAAAACTTGTACATATTCACCGAGCTCTGTTTTATAAGATACAGAAAAGATATGGTTATTACACTTTACATCAGCATAAAAAAAACATTGCGATCATTAATTCACATATAGAAAGACTGGTTAAATTCATCATTTCCTAGTGAGATTCTCAGTCTCCTGCATTAAGTAATTTATCAATATTTACTAAGTGTTTTTTAAATGAAAATTATTGGAAAGTTTGTCTCAAATACTAATGCTAGCCATCAACTCTTTCAAATCACTTACCATAGTTTCCATTTTCAAAGAAGTGTATTTCACTGTTGGCTTGTATAGCACATATCCTCTCATCATCCGTCCATTGAGGTTGCCTGTAATAGTAGAATTTTTGGTCAGTTGTAAATGTTTAATATAATGTTTAAACAGGTGTAAAATAGGTTCAAACATGTCAAGACCATAGCTTGGCCCTACTACAGAATATACAGTGCATCCCAGAAAAAACAAAACCGAGAATTATCGATGTTTTATCAAACTTAATCACAATTATAATGGGTGAGCAAGGGAATAACAAAGTTCTGTTTGTTTAAAGTAATGCTTGCATTGCCATAATTTGACTAAAAAAAAATCGTTTTAACTGGCTGCCTGCCGTTGCAACAAACAGAGATGGAAAAAAGACTTAACTCCATTTCGTCGGCGATCAGCCTTGCATGATGAAGACGAAATCACAGTCTAATGAGTTAATGATCTTACCATGCTTCATTCTGTCTCATAATAAATGACTTCACACATCTTCCAGACGCTATCTCCCATATATGTGCATTAGGAGTGGGACCAGGTGAACTAGGTGTAGCTACAAAGAGGAATCACAAGAATCCCATGAATCACAGACTCACAGTATCAAGAGGAAGACATTTATATTTCCTATTCAACACACATAGCTCATTCCCTATCAATGTCATTATTGTCATCATCATTATAACCATTATAATCCACATTATTACTATTATTGATATAATAATAATAATAATAGTAATAATAGGCATTTCTATAACACCCTCTATTCCGAGGCCCATTAATTTCTACCCCAGCTTTGGCCTAGTTGCTATTACAGCGCTCCAGCATTTCAAGGAATTAAGTCCTGCCAGGTACCCATTTACCTCACCTGTGTCGATATCATGTTGATGATATGATTATTATGATTATTATCAGTATTATTATTATCATCGATAATGATTTGCCATCTACTGTGCCTGGGAGGGAAAATGTAAATATAATCACTATGACCCCGGGGCCAAGGACTCATCCAAGGATAGATGATCTGGGGGTGTTTCACAAAGACTAAACAAATAAAAAATAAAATTTTCTTATTTTTCAATGATTTTGCTAAAATGTGCAATTATCTATTGCTCTCTTTTTTGGGGTATTAAAACCAGCTAACTATATCATGATGGACTGCCCCTTCAATAATAACTGATCTACATTTAGTGTGTCTTATTCTATTGTTACACCCTTAATTCACTTTTATCTTCAGGGGGTGTTTCACAAAGACTAAGATCGACTTCAAGTTGGAATTAACTATGGCAGGCCGTTCATGCCACTGTTTGCTCTCACCATTTACTGGCATTGGTCTCTCAAGGGATGTACAAATCATGGTCATAAATTGTTTGATAATTCATTGTTGAAGGAAAAATATTATCTAAAGTTCATAATGGTGAGAGCAAACAGTGGCACGAATGGCCTGCCATAGTTAAGTCCAACTTAAATTTGTATCCACTGTTTGTTTTTAAAAAATTTTACATGTCTTCCAGTAACAGAATAAGTTGAAAAACCAAACGATAATTGATACTTTTAGGGAACTTATTTTACAAGGCCCTTTGGCCTTATTTTAGTTCCCCTTTTCTTATTTCCTACTATTAAATTTTGGTGTCTTTGATACTGTTAACTTGTACGATTGCATGTAATTTTTTATATAATATATATTGTTGTAATGATCTTCTGTTTTTATGGATATGGAAATAAATGAACAACTGAAAAGTCGATCTTAGTCTTTGAGAAACACTCCCAAGGAACTGCAAGAGTACAGTCCACTCACTACTGTTTACACCAATGGTAACTCTACTCTTTAAAAGGAAGGCAGTGGGTTCTTTATGTTCAAGAAGTGTGTCTCTCCTACGTACACATTGGACCTCCATCATACTATATCCTACTCAATTATCCCTTAACCCTGATGAAGTGAAAAAAATGCTTAACTGACTGTGTAATGAATGTAGGTATTAGCTAGGTGACAAACCCTGTTGTCTTGGATTCGATAAAAAACCACTATTGGCTTAACTCTTATTAATGAAGAGCAATGTAGATGGTAGTGCGTGGACTGTACTCTTGCAGTTCCTGGGGAGTGTTTCTCAAAGACTATGATCGACTTTAAGTTGGACTTAACTATGTCAGGCCATTGATGCCACTGTTTGCTTTCACCATTATGATCTTTAGATAATATTTTTTCCCTCACATTTTTTCTTCCCCACCCTTCCCGTTCACTTATACAACAACAAAAATCTACCAATATTGTTTTTTTATGAAAGAGGTTTCTACTTACTGGAGTAGACTTCCCATGTAGCAAGGTATTTGCCTGAGGGAGAGATGACTAGACCAATTGTTTTAGGTTTATCAAGCTGAAGTAGGGTTTCACATTTTGCAAGCTGAATCACAAAGACACTGCAAAGAGAAGAAAAATATGTTGATTTGGAGCATTTTAAAACTTTGCGTGTGTGTAATGACCTGAAATTGGCCGGACGGATCATGCTAAATATGATTGAGAAATTATTTGTTGTTATGAAGATATGATCATGAGTAGACTTTCAGAAAACTTCACAAAATGGCGTCTGGATGACATCACAATAACCGGATGACCTTTAAAATGTGGCTGTCACGTCTTATGACAATAAGCTATAACTGTACCAAAATTGAAAGAAATTGACAGTACTGATCTCGAGTTATCCTATGCACAAAAAAGTGCGGAGAAATAAATAAAAATAAATGAAGTAATTGACGAAATCAATAGGTGATCTGTCGAATACAACAGACAACCTAATAATACTCATAATAATCATCATAATCCTCATCATTTTTGTTTACCTGACGGTATTGCAGTAAGCAAACAGTCTCCCACCAGCACCATGCGTCATCACACTGCATTTAGAATCACTGTCAAAGAAGAAAAGATGGAGGCATTCATTAAGCTTTACATCAGAATCCCTAAAACAGTGTAATGCCATTTATAAATGTAATTTATTAATGATATTTCAGTACTAAGGGAGATATCATAACAGATCGAAGACCGCTTTAGCAGTGCTCTCTTGAATTCTTTCCAACTGACATTCCACCCATCCCCTTGGAAAAAGAAAAAGTAGAAAAAAAGAAAAAGTGGAAAATATCTTTCTTAAAACACCACAAGAGTAAAGAACATTAACTATCTGTCTTGTCAAATAAACAGGATTGAAATACATAGAAGTAAAATGAGGACTTTAGAAGAGGGTACAACTATTGTTGTTTTATAGATGAATTGAAACACTTACCGTCCAAATGATTCATTAAGAGCAAATGATGGAGGTCCACTGATCATATACACACCTTCAGATCCTCGGACTATGAAAGAAAAAGATTAAAGAAGGATCGAAGAGTGCCTGAACAATTACAATTGTATACCGACAAAGGGATGCGAGCAGACCCCTGTGCGTAAACTTCACACATGCTTGCGGGCCCGCATCCCTTCGTTGTGGTATGCAATTGTATTGTAATTCTGCAGCAGTTTGCAGTGAAATCTGTGAGAAAGTGTATATTATGATGTCACAAATAAGGACATTTGATGAATATTTACTTCCTTTTGGGAAAGTTTTATGCTTTTAGTAGGGTATCTCCACGCCGAGTTACGGGTCAAATTTTGGCTAGACTTCTGAACTAGCGCCATCAAATCACCTAGATATTTTGTATGCAGGTAGACTAAGTAAATAAATATGCTATCTGGAGATATAGACTATAATCGAAAAACATATTTCGTTACTTCGTTAAAACCTGACGCTTTGAATATTCAGTCAATCTTCGGTCGGGTTGCACGTAGCTCCGGTTCTGAGCATCGCACACAAAAAAATTGATGAACGATACCAAGTGGAATTTCCCCACCTGTGGATCGATACCGTATTCACGATGTAAGCGCTTAATATAGCAGCGCTATTGAGATTGGAATAGAGCCCTGTTGATGCACTCAAAATTGATCGTGAATTAAGAGCGCGGTGCCATATGTACCGCGGACGCGCCGATAGTCACATAGAGTAAAGGAGCCGGTAATCGGCCAGCTCCAGTTTTCGGCCGATTGGTTGGATGCAAGGTAAAATCCCTCTAAAATACATCGCATAATAGCATAACACATATCCCACACATACCATACCATGCCAGTGTCACTGAAGAACCACATTTGCAATGAAAAATATATCCTAAAATATCACATTTTAGCGATGTAATCGGCGGTCCCGCTACCCGAATCTGAAAAATCGAGTATCTTTACGCGTGTCTGTAAGAAATATGGGTACCATAAAATGAGCTTTATTTCAAGTATTTTTCAGATTTAGAGCCCGATTTTGTGCTAGTCGCAAGCTCAAAAGTATCTCATCGCATGTATTAAATCAATGCAGCCGCACACCGCAACGCACACACGATATCTCTGTCTAATTCAGATTCCAATATCCGATCACCGCAGTACTAGTTTTCGGCCTGGCAAGCTCCGCAGAGCTCCGGCGTGGGATATCTGCTCCGCCCGCTAGTGCTTTATATCAGCGCGGAAATGCACGGCGCGTGCGCGCGCTTCCTATTGACTTTGTACATGCGGCCGAAAACTGGTACGCTATGCCGAAAACTGACTCCGAAACAGTGAAAATTGAAATGAATATTGTCATGGCAATTCGTGATTTTTTTCTGGGATTCTTGTTTTGTTTAGATCTGAATAATAATAATATTTGCTTCATGATTTGAACAAAAACTGATAATAAATAGGAAGTGTAAAAGGGTCCAAAAAATAGGATTTTGTGTCAAGTGGCCGAAAACCAGCTCCTTTACTCTACACTATCGCCTAGATATTCACGTGAACCGGAAACATGTTTATGATGACGTCAATTAAACGCGTTTACAAATGATTGTGCGTTTAAGCTTCCCCAGAAACCATCTTTTTGGAGTCTTGGAGTTTTGGAGAAACTCTGATCCAAAAACGCACCTTTTTGTGATCGTCATCAGGTCATCGCCGTTTATCTGTGATTGTGAATGTGATTCTACGAGAATGAGAAAGGACGCAACCTTTTTTTTAACTGAACGCATATCAAAAGCCTCATTCTGGCCTGAAAAAGACGAGCATAAACACAACCTAAAAAGCCTGGCCTCTTGCGTGCATACGTCTACGGCTGCGCGCGTGTGTCGTGTTCCACCGACGTCGACACTGCACTTCCATTCCTGTAAATGTACATGCATAAATTGCAATGTATGGGACAACGACCAGATATTCTTCGGGATCGCGCGCATATGCGAATACTTATCATATAATGAAAACTTTTAGGAGTAAATTACCAGCAAGCTGAGGGCACGGAGCACTTGAAATGGATGCCATGGCTAAGTCGTTCTTCTATTTCAAATACTCGGATATGCCTTCAATTGTATTCGATGCTCGATGACCGAGTGCGGCTAGAGGTCTAGGACTCTAGCTAGGTATCAGTTCAGTGTCCTGCAAGTGACACACGTTTTCATCTTTTCGTGGCACGTCGACCATCGATAGGATTGAGAGATCGCATCGGGGATAATCCGACCACCTACCCTTGACAGCTCGACCTGGTCGGGTTATCTATCCAAAATTTATGTGAGACGTTGCCTTCCCAAATTTCCTTCAGTCTTTTATGGGTTTTTTTCTTCTAGATTATCCTTTCCGAATAATTATGTGGCCAACGAATTGCATTGCCCTTTCCTATTGTCAACCTCTTTATTTATTATCCAAAACTCTCGCCCATTGAGAAGAACTGACCAGATAAAACCAGAAGTTAGTATGCCGTTCTGCATATTTTAATCACAATGCAACATTGAATCACCTTATAAAGCTTACTGGTACAGATTTTTTTAATTGTTTTTTTTTTATTTTATCCTTCAACCGTTTCCACATAACAAGATTAATATAGATTTAACAAGACAATGCATATATAATATAACATGCAATGCTAGACCAAGGAGTTCCATTCCAACTCCCTTGCTAGATATTAGAGATAATCCTATTTTGTTTTTCATAATTATGTTCTTATTTCCAATAATTACGGATTGGTTTATCCTTTGCCATTCTAATTCTTTTCTTTATCTCATGAATACTTTTCCCATGCATCTGATGCTAAATAGTGTACCCATAATATTTAGAAGTGTGGGTAATTTGCTTCATCCTCTCCCCTTTATAGATTGCATGGGGAAACCTCAGTCTTTAAAAAAAAAATATTATCATACACTCTGTTTTCTTGTTGTTTAAAGGGGGGGGGGGGGGGGGGTAAGAGGACATTTTTTATTTTGTTTTGGTCTCGAAATTTGAAAATTTGACATTTTCTTCGTTGGGGGGGGGGGGTGGGGGTAAGGCCACCTTTTTTAGGTCAGACATTGGCATAGTTTAAAAAAAAAAACCAAAGGGGGGGGTGTTTTCCTCCAAAATACACACATAAAAAATACCAAAGGGGGGGTCAACCCCGAACCCCCCCCCCCCCCTGCGTACGCGCCTGGGTCCAGGAGACGGAGCCTCCGAAAGCCCAGGGGTATTGGGGAATAAATAACGATCAGATGAGCATATTTTTTATACCTTATTTGTGACACTGGATTGGTGTTGGGTCCAGGTAGTGGCGTACGCAGGATTTTTTCAAGGGGGGGGGGGGTTTAACATTTTGAAATCGGGCCAAAAATTTCGCAACGACTCAGTCCACCGCTGAATAAGCGCGGGGGGGGGGGTTAGAGGACACTTTTTATTTTATTTTTTGGTCTCGAAATTTGAAAATTTGCCATTTTGCTCCGTTAGGGGGGGGGGGTGTAAGGTCACTATTTAAGGGGGGTTAAAAAACACACATCAAAAAAACTAAGGGGGGGTAACCCCCCCCCCCCCCCCCCCCCCCCTGCGTACGCGCCTGGGTCCAGGGGGCGGAGCCCCAAGAAGCTCAGGGGTTTAAAAATTAAATTATCGTCAGATGAGCATATTTTGATACCTTATTTGTGACACTGGCAGGACACAAATTGGTGTTGGGTCCAGGGGGCAGGGGGCGGAGCCCCAAGAAGCTCAGGGGTTTTATACATTAAATCTGTCGTCAGATGAGCATAAGTTTATACCTTATTTGTGACACTGGCAGGTCACGAATTGGTTTGAGGTCCAGGGGGCGGAGCTTCCGGAAGCTCAGGGGTTTTGGGCAATACATTATGGTCAGATGAGCATATTTTTATACCTTATTTGTGACACTGGCAGGCAGGCGCGTACACAGGGGGGGGGGGGGGGGGGGGGTGGGGGGTTAAACCCCCCGTTTGGTATTTTTTTGTGTGTAAACCCCCCCCCCCCCATAACCCCCCTAAAATACCCCCCTTTGAACTTTTTGTTTTTGTTTATTTAAGAAAAAAAGAAAAAAAAAAGCTGACCTTACCACCCCCCCCCCTACGGAGCAAAATGTCAAATTTTCAAAATTCGAGACAAAAAAAAGTGTCCTCTTACCCCCCCCCCCCCCCCCCTCCCCCCCCCCCCCCCCCCCCCCCCCCCCCCAATTTCCCTGTTAACAATGATGTCCCCTTTTCCTTTCTAATAAGGGACCTATCCCCTTTTTACAAATGCCCCTATCAAAATCTCATAGGTGTCATTTTAAAAATCTCTGGTAAGTGCCTCTTTCCAGGTGTAAGAAGTGCCCCATTTTTACCTCTGATAATTACCCTGTGTACTTTGACACTTGCACCTTTTCATTTTTAATAAGTGTCTTTATCCCTTTCGATAAGTGTCCAATTTTCCTCTCATCATTAAACGTGCCTCGAATTTAAAGCGAATAAGAGCAATTTCACTCAAAGCTCGCTCGCGACGCTCTCTTGCAGTTATAGATGATATAATTACATCTTATCAATGGTCTTTTCAGTCTTCCGTTATGAGAATGTGTTTATAACCCCATTAGGGATGCATGACCCTCTTCCTCTTTTTAAGTTGTAATTTTTCGCACTGCGCCGTCACAAATCTTTATGAAAAAATTATAGCTCGCTTTTTTCGCTCGCAAATGAATATTAATACAATCAAAAAACAAATCATTGAAATCGTCCCTGATAATGTTATCACAATGAAGGGGTATATATACCAATGTCAACAAATTGTATATTTTCGCTTTCAGATTTTCCTCTAAAGGTGCCCTTTTTCAGAAAGTGCCCTGTTTTGTTGGTGCCCCTCCCCAGTTTGGAAGTCACTCCGCCGCCCCCTGACAAGGGGTTTTCCCCCTCCTGGCCTATTCAATCTACAGGGCCTCAATTTCGACCATCATTTTGACCAACTTCACGACAACAAAGTATCAGAAACCCCAATATACCCAAATATAATATATCCCTTCGGGTAATTTGATGAGGAAATAAGATTATCAGAAATAATAAAGTACTGTTTTTTTCTAGCTCGCTTCAGTCGCTCGCATGTTTATTTTTAGAAACGGGATAGATTCAGGCAGTGGGGTCGGTGAATATCCATGATATATTAGGGCATGTCCCTGCCCGAATATCGGCACGATTCGGGCAGCATGGAACCCGAATATAACCTTATATATTCTATTTTCATATAAAATGAAATTATACCACAACAAGGTGTCTCCCCCACCCCCCCCCCCCCCCCCCCCCCCCCCCCCGTTTGCTTCACTTCTCGCAAAATCAAAACCTGGCAACGAGATGGTCGAATATATCATTTTACATTTTAATATCCCGATGACTAAATAAAATTTGTTTGCCATACTGAAAGTGCATTTTTTCGCTCGGTCGCAATATTCGGATAGTATTGTTTGGCAAGAGGCCCTCATGTCCATCACGCGAAAAAAAATGTACCCGTTCGTCTATGTTTAGGAGGGATGTAAAACAGATCCTCTCATTAATTTGTGATTGTGTTCACGCGAAACTGTTCAGCTAAAAAAAGAAAGAGGAAGGGATGAACAAACGCTGATCTATAGGAGACTAAAGACTGGTACCCTTGAACCCACGCTACTCCACTACACACATGTATCTTCAACCTACACCAAAATAGTTCCATACATAAGCCTAAAACAGCTTATCCTCCCCCCCCCCCCCCCCCCCCCCCCCCCCCCCCCCTCCCCCCCCCCCCAAAAAAAAAAAAAAATATATATATATATATTAATAATAATAATAATAATAATAATAAAAATAAATAAACACAAATTTAATGATAGCTAGCTACCATTTGAATCCGGCTGTAGAAACTTGAAGGTTAAGTGAATTCATTGATTGAAAGCTTGGGGGGGGGGGGGGGGCAGCGAACTGAGTTAAGATTCAGTGATTGGAAGGGGTGCATGTCCAGTATACAGTATTGCTTCCATCCCATGCAAGCAGTCGGTGAACGAGAGAAAGCGGTGACACGACATTTGCTCCTGCGACAATTGCTCCGGGCTTTATTTCGTCTAAGATGTAGGGTTAGGCAGGCGCGGATCCAGGGGGGGGGGGCGAGCGGGCCTTGGCCCCCCCCCCCCCCCCCCCGCAAAAAAAAAAAAAAAAAAAAAAAAGAGAGAAGAAGGAAAAGAAGGGAGAAAGGGAAAAAGGAGAAAAAGGGAAAGAAAGAAGAGGAAGAAGAAAAGTAAAGGGGGAAAAAGGAGATCGGGGGGGGGCCGAAAGGGCCTTGCCTCCCAGGCTATTAACCCCCCCCCCCCCCCCCCAATCAAAAAAAAAATAAGAGAGAAGGAAGGAAAGGGAAAGAAAACAAAAGGAAAAGAGGAGATACTGGCGTACTGATAGAGGGGGGGGGGGGGCTTGGGGGAAATCAAATTCCACAACGGTGTATTACAAATAATGCTGAAATGACATAATTTCCGAAATTTTTCCTCACTTTTTAGTAAATTATACGTTTGTATGTGTTTGTTGGAAAATAAAAAAATTCCTAAATTTACAACCAGGCAAAATATATGATTCTTGAGATTTCTACATGTCAGGGCCCGAGGTACGGCGGGGATCGAGAGCCTCGAGGCATCAAAATATGCTCATCTAACCGTGATTAAATGCCTAAAACCCGTAAGCTTCCGGGGGCTTTGCCCCCTGGATTCCATCTAGGGCCCTACGGCGGGCCCTAAGACGATCATCTGACGGTAATTTAATGCCTAAAACCCCTGATTTTTTGGGGCTCCGCCCCCTGGACCCCACGCCAAATAGTGACTTGCCAGTGTCACAAAATAATAAGGTATACACAAAAATATGCTCATCTGACCTTAATTAAACGCCCTAAAACCCCTGAGCTTCCGGGGCCGGCTCCGCCGCCTCGACCCCACCTCTTTGAACGGTACAACGCATCGTTTTCTTTCTCTAATAATAAAACGTCAAAGCCTCGCGCAGGAGGGGAGGAGGGGGGGGGGGGGGAATGAATTGAGACGAGGATTCAGAGGCGAGAACGGTAATACGAATCTTTAATTATTTAATGAAACGTAAAAGCTTATGCGCTTCGCGCGGGATGGAGGGGGTACTAAATTCCGATGAGGATTATTTTCGAGAACGATACAATGAATCGTCTTCTTCTCTAATGATTAAATGAAGATTAAAAGCTTCCGCGCTTTGCGCGGGAGGGGGGGACCTGAATTCAGACGAGGGTTAAGAGTCGAGAACTGTACAACGAATCGTCTTCTTTCTCTAATAATTTAATAAATCGTAAAATTTTCCGCGCTTCGCGCGGGAGGAAAAAACTAAATTCAAACGAGAATTATTTTCGAGAACGGTACAACGAATCGTCTTCTTCCTTTAAGAGTTTAATAAAACGTCAAAGCTTCCGCGCTTCGCGCAGGAGGGGGAGGGGAGGACTGAATTTAGACAAGGATTAAGAGTCGAGAACTGTACAACGAATCGTCTTCTTTCTCTAACAATTTAATAAGTCGTAAAATTTTCCGCGCTTCGCGCGGGAGGGGAAAAACTAAATTCAGACGAGAATTATTTTCGAGAACGGTACAACGAATCGTCTTCTTTCTTTAATAGTTTAATAAAACGTCAAAGCTTCCGCGCTTCGCGCAGGAGGGGGAGGGGGGCTGAATTTAGACAAGGATTAAGAATCGAGAACTGTACAACGAATCGTCTTCTTTCTCTAATAATTTAATAAATCGTAAAATTTTCCGCGCTTCGCGCGGGAGGAGAAAAACTAAATTCAGACGAGAATTATTTTCGAGAACGATACAACGAATCGTCTTCTTTCTCTATATGAAACGTCAAAGCCTGGGAGGGGGAAACTCCCCCCCCCCCCCGCATTACGTCACTGTTGATCACCATAACGTACCAATATTTGGCTCGCATAATTTCAAATTTGGGCCCCCCCCCCCTAAGAAATCCTGGATCCGCGCCTGGGGTTAGGGTTAGGGTTTCAATAGGGTTTTATGTTAGGTTTAGGGTTAGGTTTAGGGTAGGGTATAGTGTTGAATCCAGGGTTGAAGTTAGCCATTCGATTAGTGTATGAAATTTACAGCGGAGCAATTGTCGCCGGAGCAAATGTCATGGAATCGAGAAAGCACAGGCGCACACAGTTCCCAAGCTACACTATACTTATTTGCGACTACCTCGACTGATTTAACTAAGAACCAGAATATTTTCACATAAAGAAAAAAAAAGGAACTATAATATTTTATAGGCGCAAACATTAGTGAAAATTGACTAAACACAATTGACTTAACAACAACATTGACAAGCTTTTTGGTTACATTGACAAATTTTGATATTAAGGTCGCAATTAATGCTTTTGTAAATTAAAAAGTAAGAATAATTCTTTAAGTCCGGGATTTCAATCAATAGATTTAATTTAAAATGTTTATATTACATGTATTATGTACTTTGACTTTGTGAAGCAGTCTGCTGTGATGAAATTATGAGTTGTTTCCGAGACGTAATTTAGATTTGATTACTATAATTCTGTTAACGTCTAGAGAGAGAGAGATAGAGAGAGAAAGAGAGAGAGATAGAGAGAGAAAGAGAGAGAGAGATAGAGAGAGATAGAGAGGAGGGAGGGGAGGGAGAATCTGATTTTTGTAGTCCCTTTTACTCTCACAGATTTGCTCTGCTTTTATTTTGGTGCGGGGGCCGGGGGGGGGGGGGGGTTCTGAAATAAAATTATGAATCGTAATGATCACCTGTTTTACTAACTTTTACTATCTCTTTCTTCATTCAAGAAGGGACTCCATTAGTAATTGGAAAATAAGAAAGCCTTTATTTTTGTAAAATGAACTTAAGTTGAATTATTATTTAAAACAATATATATAATACATGTAATTCAAGCTAAAATACGTAGGGTATAAAGGGGGAATACAAACCCAAAGGCCCGAATTCACAAGGACCAATATGAGGCGCCGTTTGTAAAACAATTATATAGACAAATTATATGTTATATAATCATTATTTAACAAATAATAACCATTATTTACATATAATGCAAGAAAATGTACATTTTTATTTGTATATAATTCTTAACACATTTTTATTATTTATAAATAATGACAAAGAACGTTTCATTATTTATATATAATTGCCATTATTTATAAATAATTACAATTCACACTTTCATTATTATATATAATAAAAAGCGTATTTCAATTATATAATATATAATGAAAAGCACATTTCCATTATATAATATATAATGAAAAGCCTATTTCCATTATATAATATAAAATGAAAAGCACATTTCCATTATATAATATATAATGAAAAGCCATTTCCATTATATAATATATAATGAAAAGCGTATTTCCATTATATAATATATAATGAAACGCACATTTCCATTATATAATATATAATGAAAAGCGTATTTCCATTATATAATATATAATGAAAAGCACATTCCATTATATAACATATAATGAAAAGCGCATTTCCATTATATAATATATAATGAAAAGCGTATTTCCATTATATAATATATAATGAAACACACATTTCCATTATATAATATATAATGAAACGCACATTTCCATTATATAATATATAATGAAACACACATTTCCATTATATAATATATAATGAAACACACATTTCCATTATATAATATATAATGAACAGCGCATTTCCATTATATAATATATAATGAAAAGCGCATTTCCATTATATATTAAATAACGATTGTGTATGCAAATGTCAATGGTTGGTAACGCCCATAATATGAATATTCATGAGCTTGACTGATATTATTATCCTCTATTCCAGGCACCTTTCCATTTTGTGTTCTTTGTGCATTCTTATCAGAAATCCTACGTGCGGTAAATAAGTCTCTGTATCACCATTCTCCTTCTTATTTGTATGCAGATTTGGTTTTAATGATTGATAACTGTAATCATCCTCATTATTTTAATAAGAAATTTTTCTATCTGTGATGGAAGTTTTTATGTACGATTGCCTGATCTGAAGACAAGACTTTCGCTCTGCATGCATATTTAATGTATGACGTCACCCACACAGAGTGAGAGCTCGAAGTTTTCTTTGAAAGTTTGATGGTGAGTAGTTGTAATTACGTTCAAATCTCGTAAATTGAATCAAATTTATAAACATATCTGCTGTAGGTATGAATCTGCTGATTTGTCTGTACATTATGAAGTGGTTTAAAATGGTTATATCTGATGAATTTAGGAGTAATCTACACTCGAACTTTTGATTCGTTATTTATCGTCGTGAGAAATATTTCAGCTCGATTGCTCCTTGATCCTTGGCCCAAACTTTCGGGCGAGACCCTCTCTGAAAATTAGATACGAGTATAGGGTCTATATAGGCAGATCACTTCACTAGCGCTAGCTGCATCAATGATCCAAGCTTTTTGTTACGTTTAGGTCCAACTGTTGAAAAACCACTTTCATAGTTGGGTTAGAAGAAAGTTAATAGCTAACACTAAAAAGCATGGTCACAGTTGACATGAGTTGTGAACAAGCGCCAAAATTTGGACCAGATACCCAGATAGTTGGACGAGTACGAGAGTAGAAAATTTGAGGCCTAGATTCTAGGCCTACAGACCAGTAAATAATTGGACTACCTGTGAACAGGCGTGGATCCAGGATTTCTTAGGGGGGGGCCAAAATTTGAAAAAAATCTGCACCACCCCACTCTTACACGCAGGTTCCGCTAAACGTTTCTCTAAGTAGGTGAGGGGGGGGGGGGGAGGTATTTACGATCAAGTAGAGCGTTGTGAAATTGGCGTGGTGTCTAAGGGCAAAGAACGTGCGGGGGTCAAGGGGTGTAACCATTGCCATTGTCCCACAAACGCATTAAAAAGTATAATTATTAAACATTGAGGAAAATTCTCTGAAAATTATGTCATTTCAGCAACATTTGTAAATCACCGGTAATCACCGGTATCAAATTAGAAATAAACCACGTTTGAATTATATTTGGGGGGCATCTGTCAACCCCCCCCCCCCCCCCCCCCCCCCCCAAGTCCCCTTCCCATCAGTACGCCAGTGCCCCTCCCCCCGATCTACACGTAACTGATCTCCCCTACCTTTCTTCTTTCTCTTTTTTTCTTTCCCTTTCTCTCCTATTTTCCTTTCTTTCCCTTCCTACTCTCTGTTTTAGGTTTGCTAGGGGGAGGCAAGGGCCTCTTGGCCCCCCCTCCCCGATCCACACATTGTTGGCGGGATTAATCGCAACTGTTCTCCCCTTCTTATCACCCTTTTCTTTTCTTCTTCCTCTTTTTTGTTCCCTTTTAGCTCTCCTCTATCCCTTTCCCTTCCTTCTCCTTTTTTTTTTTGGGGGGGGGGGAGGAAGGAGGAGGCAAGGGCCTTCGCCCCCCCCCCCCCGAACTACAACTTATTGCGGGAAAATTGCAACTGATTTCCCCCTTCTTTTCTATTTCCTCTTTTTTCCTTCTCTTTATCCCCTCTTTAGTTTTTTTCTTTCCCTTTCCTTCCTTCTCTTTTATTTTTTGATGGGGGGAGGGGAAGAGGTTACAGCTGGGAGGCAAGGCTCTTTCGGCCCCCCGATCTCCTTCTTTTCCCCCTTTTCTTTTCCTCTTCCTCTTCTTTCTTTCCCTTTCTCTCCTTTTTCCCTTCTTTTCCTTCTCACTCTCTCTCTCTCTTTTTATTTTTTGCTGTCTCATAGCTGTCTAACAAATTAAAACACGATCCCCCCAAATTAGACTACACTGTATACAGGGGTACTTATAGTGGTGCCTGTGTGTTTCTTAAACTCTTTGTTGGCTTAGCCTAATTTGCCTCTGCTCTAGGCTCTATCTTTGGATTTTTGTTTGCTGTAAACACGATTAAGTTTTCTCTGTCATATATAGATCTAGGTCCATATCTATTTTGCGTTTTTTCAATTTGATAGAATGAACAGTTACGAGACATGCATCTAGATCATCTAGAGACTGTAGATCAACTAGATCTGGATCAAGGAATTGAATATAAATTTCAATGTTAGATAATGAAGGAGGGCTTTTTTGGTAAAGAGAAAGTCCAAAAGAGAACAGTTAATTCTGCAAATGCTCATCAATGTTTAAATGATCATGCTCATTTCCTTTTATTCTAAGAATTAAATCCCCCCTTCCTCTCTTTTACAGGAAAATGTACAGAGACTTGTCGCAGTTAATGCAGTACCAAATGCTTGCTTTCTTGGAGTATGTGCTTGAAACAAGAATGTCCTGGAGAAAACAGACCACCACAAGAGAAGGTATTTACTTTTGATCTAACTTGATCTGTTTAGTTTTTTCAAGTAAAACAAAATTTTGAATAGGTGAGGTCAAGGTCAAACTGAAGGGGATGCAAAGGGCTGGTTTGAGAAGTATGTATTCATGGGATGGCTATGTATGAATCCACATGTCTACTAACACGTTGCTGAAGTGTTTCACTTTTTAGAATTAACATATTAAGCTCATGTACAGGGGGAAAAAGGGGGGGGGGGGGGTCCAATACATGAAAAGGAACGACAAGCAAGCAAAAAAATAACAATTGACCTTCAAATTTTGCTGAAAAAGTAAACGTTAAAGACAACTAAAATATTAAATAGTGCTATTTATTTCAAATTTGGTTAATATTTATTGAATTGTTTATAATTCTGTTCCAGGGATTGAGAGATCATGGGGTGCCTTGAGGTTCCAGTCTTGATGTTCTGCCCTTACCTGAAAGCGATGGCCTCTTGTGCATGACATATCAGGAGCAAAGCACAATGGACTGGTAATTAATAATGAATATTACAATGGGTTTTTTTTTAATCTGGTAAAGAAACAGATAAAGTCATAGCAAGTGAGCCTGTCATGGCATTTGGAGTGACCAAACATTTGCTCCTGCAACGACTGCTCAAGGCTTTATTTGTCAAATGTGTAGGGTTAGGCCGAGGGTTGCAATTGGGATTGAGGTTAGGTGTAGGGTAAGGTCTAGTGTTGGATCCCGGGATGAAGTTAAGTATTTGGATAATAGCATAGGAAATTGATGTTGAGCAAATGTTTTGAGGAACAAGTGTCGTACAATCAGATTTTCCAGGTGCTGGTGGAGCTGTATGTATTGATACTCATCATTGGCAGTTTAAAAATCTTCCTTTGTATTAGTAAACTAAAAATACGCTGACCCCCAGTTTGTGAAACGTGTATCTGATTTTTACGACCTGCTCTATTGTTTAGTGGTTATGTTGTAACACAAAATGAATTCTTAATCTTAATCCTGGATCCATAGCTAAACGTAATATTAACCCTAAAGCTAATCTAAAACCCTATCACAACTTGAGCAATAACCATATATCTTGATGAAATAAAGCTTGTGTTAAGCATTGGCAGACCCAAAGTCAGGTTATCCTAAATTCCTTTCTACATACTGCTATTGTACAAAGTTGATATTTAAGTACATCCCATTGCAAGTTCTAAAATTTCTGTAAAAACCTTACCCTGCTGCAAGATGATAGTGTGTGAAGTAAGTTGGCTCATAGTAGAGCATGAATTATTACCTGCAATTCTCAACCAATACACTCTTGCCACCTGCAATCCATCTCACTTTCATAATATATTCTTTAAACAACATTAACTGAAGTTCAAAATTTTGATTAGTGATTAAGAAAGGCTACAAAGAATTGTATTCTTTTTTCACACTCGTATAATAGAGGGGGAGGGGGGGGGGGCAGCCTAGCAGTACAAGATCAAATTATCTTATATGATGAAATTGATATCCTACAAGTGTGATAAAGAAAAATATGTTTGTGTACTAAAAGTGAAACAAAAACAAATCACTGGAAACTCTTGGTTATTAATAACTCAAAAGTTACAAATCAAAACGAGGTTTTCAAAGCTTAAAGTTTAAGGATGTAAATTCTATGCCATTTCTATGAATGCTAATTGCTATTCTTAAAGCCCCACTATCCTACTTGCTCTCTCCATATAGAAAACTTCCCCAATCGGTGTCTGTTGGTCCCCCATGATCCTCTCTTTCTTATGTTAGTTGAGAGCTGAGTTGATGAGATAGCCACCTGTCAGTGACCTGGCTGGGTGGTCTAATCCCTTCTGGCCCAGTAGTATTGACGGTCTTTAAAACAATGGTCGGAATGTTTGATTAGATCTTTTACTCAGACATGTAGTATATTAGTAATAAACTACATGTTTGGCAATATGGTATTTCATTTCAGACCATAATGAGAAGTAATATTTTAATCTGGGATCTCTCGTTGGCACGGAAAATAAGGAATGTACTCCTGTTGAGCAAACAGTGAATTTATATAAAACTAATAGCTCTTTGAAAATTACTAGAAGAAGAAAAACAACAAGAAAGAAGAAAAAGAAATATACTTGTGATGTCAGCTTTAGATCTTAAAGTGTTTTTTTTTTCTTCTTTCAATAAACATTTTATTCATGAACAGCTGGCTTATTGGAATTGGTTACAAAGATACAAGTGGACTTGTCTGTAGTAGCTGCTGAAGAGGAGCAGTCAGCACAAGGAGCGTGTGCCTCCAAAACAACGTGGGAACTTCTCCCAAGTTCATCTCAAATCACAAGGCTCTTCAGGAATCAAAATGTAACAATGGAGGTTGAGAAGGAATTTGCGACCCTCCTGATTTGGACTACTCGCTATATACATTCTCAAACAATGGATTGTAGCACTTCTGCACAAAACTCAACAAGTCATGATTGAGGAAAACGCAACAAATACTCAGTTGAGCATTGATTTATGTGACTGGTATTAGGGTAGGTTTCAGCTTGGTAATTTTATATAAACTATGTCCCAAAAGAACCTCATTGGTCCTTATGGTTCCACGCCACAAGCTGCTCCCTCCCCTGTTTCGGTCTACCGAACCCAGACTATCAAGGGATCAAATGAATTAAAATCCACACTTGATTACAAATGAATTGATCTTTTGAATATTGTCATCATTTCAGGGTGGTTTTGGTTACGGGTTAGTGTGAGCTTTCTGTGCGTAAAATTGAGGGTACTTCGTGTGGAGATCAGTGAATGGATATTTCATGTACAATGCAAGAGAGGTGTCTATCTTCATTGGAATTCAGGATGTGAATTCCAATGAAGATGGCTTGTTTATAAGGAGAGAAGCAAGATAGATTGATGTAAACTGACATCAGGGAATGTTTGCCTGTATTGTTTGAATGACACGGATATTGAATAACATGAAGTTAAGTGGAAAGAATGGCATAATATATTCGATTTGTACACCATCCTATTGAATTTTTTTTAAATAGCATTATATGATAACATTTGTGCACAGGTCTATGGAAAACCAGTAAGTGGCATATACAATAAGATCATTTACCGCAGCTCAAGGAATACCGTAGATATCACTTACCGCAGTTGCTGCTATTTGTGCCCACATGCATATTAATATCAAACAGTTGAAGCTAAAACTAATATAATCTAATTAACAGGTTTTTTTTTCTCCAATTATCATAACAAGAGAGAAAAACATACTTTTATAATAACTTCCATTATTTCTTTATTTGATCCACGAGACCGAGTAGTCCAGCCCTTGTGAATCTGTATGTTCTCCAGATTTCATTGTCAGGGCCTATCGGGGGGGGGGGGGGGGGGGTTGTCCCTATGACGATGCAGAGCATCGCCCACGAGCCACATAGCCGCGAGGCGATTAACGCATTTATAAGATGGATTTTTAATTTTTTTTCTCTCTCTCTCTCGCTGTCTCACTGCATTATAAATTTTTCATTTTCACGACATCAACATCTCTCACCATTAAACAGTTCTCTCATTTCCTTTCCTTTCTCTTTTGCTCTCTCTCTCTCTCTCTCTGAACTCTCACGTTCTGTTTCCAGATTTTTTCCACATATGATTCTATTTATCCAACCATATATGCACACTAAAAAGAAAAGATATGAAGGGAATACTGTATATAAGATAATAAACATGTTTAATTTATTCATTTTATTACAACAAACTAATATGTTTACAGATTATAACATTGATGGTCAAATATTAAGCACAAATGACCTCATCTGCTACTTCCATTTGTAGATTACTTTTTTTTTAAAAATTCAACAAAGCATACTTAGGCTAAATCTGAGCACTATTTTTTTCTCCAGGGAATGTATTGTATCATGACCCTTATTATAAAACACATTATAAAAACATGCTGATTTCTTAAAAAAAAAAAAAAAAATACCTATGACTCAATGATTGCAATTTTTTCCAGAGAAACAATAATAATGTACAATAGTATACAACATCCTTTAGTGTGATGGTTACTCCGTGGTCCACACACGCACCAAGGTATATTAGACCTTTTATTAACAGTTGCTTGTTTTATACAATATATAAATCATACTCATGGGCCCATTCCCAAATGTTATAATTATTATCAATAGAAATTGATAAAAGATGACCCCTCCCCAAAACTCTTATATTCCAAAAGTTTGATCTTGGCTGACAGGTGGTAACTTGAGTACTTGACTACATCTTATTTGCCCTATAGACACATACTTAAAATGAATGCCTTGGCAAAGCCTCAGTTTTATAAATGATTGCTTGACTTAGACTGCCGATGAACATATTTCTTGTGTATTTATCTACACCATTAACTTTTCTCCACATCGTGCTGTCAGATTGAGATGCTTTGGTGTGATATACTTAATGTTTTACATCATGTTTTTAATGAACTCCTACCTTGCTTAGTTATGCAGACATTGGGCCCTTTTTTTAAAACTTGCGATATCAGTGGAAAGGATGTGCATAAAAGAAGAGGCGGGATATCCATACTACTACCATGTACTACTACAACCATGTACTACTACAACATGGGTAAAATTGCATCATTGTATTATACCTTGGTTCCTGGTTACCTCTCCTTGGTAGTTTGAAAACTATGTTTCAGTACCGGTAATCATTGTAATAGTGTTTCTGTTTCATGGTGTCACTGGTGTGGTTGTGTGTATGAAGGCCAAATTTTCTATTTTCCTGCTTCGCCTGTCCACAATCACTAAACAATTTGAGCTGAAATACAGGGCCTAATATACAAGGTGATTAAAAAATTAAACATACTGCTTGCAAGGTGAAGTTACACGTACTGCTTGAAGAGAATTGTGAATGATATTTATCTATTGGGAGTTTGACCAAATCCAGGTTAAAAAATTTCAGCTTCGGAGGGGGGCACATTACCCCTCAACCCCCCCCCCCCCTTTGTGCGCGCTTTTGACTGATGTGTCCCCCCAGGAGTGGCGGAGCATCTTCCAAAGTGGGGGGGGGGGCACCAACAAAATAGGCACTTTCTGGAAAAAAAAGGGAATCTCAAAGCGAAAATATCCATTTTTTTAGACAATGGTATATACCCCTACATTATGACTACATTATCAGGGACGATTTCAACATTTGTTTCTCTTTATACACCATACAAGATATTGCTTAAGTATCAGTTTGGTGTGATGGTATGAAAATTGATTTGCGAACAGGAAAATTTTAAGTTTTGTGAGGTCGCAGTTCAAAAAATTGCATCTTATTAAGAGGGAAAAACCCAATCCTGATGGGGTTATAAGCACATTCTCACAATGGAAGACTGAAAAGACCTTTAATAAGTAACGTAATTATATCATCTATAAATGCGAGCGAGCTTTGGGGGAAGTTACTCTTAGTCGCTTGAAATTAGGGGCGCGTTTAATGATGAGAGGAAAAGGGGACACTAAAGGGATAAGGGGAAAAGGAGCAAGTGTCATGTAAAAAGGGTAATTATCGGAGGTGAAAATGGGGCACTTCTTAGACCTACAGAAAGAGGCACTCACCAGGAATGAAAAAGGGCACTTATGAGAATGGGAATTCTCACGTGATTGGGAATACTTGATAACCCTATAGTCTAAGTTTCATTGACTAAAAACTTAAACTTTGAAAATTATATCAAAAATTAAAAAACTTAACCTTAGGTTAAGTTTTTGATGTTGACGCCGTCGCCGCCGCCGCCGCCGCCGTCACCGGAAAAGCAGCGCCTATGTCTCACTTTTTGCTCGTAGGCGAGACAAAAAGGGAGGTGCAGATCAGATTTTAATAGGGGCATTTATTGGAGGTGAAAGGGGGCTATTATGAGAACGGGGAAGTGGCTCTTATTAAAAAGAAAAAGAGGCACATGTTAAAGTAAACAAGGCACTTATGAGAGATGAAAAGGGGTAATTATGAGAAGGGTAAGGGGTACTTATGATCAGAAAAAAGAGCATTTATTAGGAAGGAAAAGGGGGCGTGTCAAATAAAAGTGGCAGTTATTAGAGACAAAATGGGACACTCATCAGAGATGAAAAGAGCACTAATCAGGAGATGGAGGGGGCACTTATCAAAAGTGAAAAGGGGCATTTCTCGTAGTTGAAAAGGGGCACTTACTAGAGATTAAAAAGGGCAGTTATGAGAATGGAAAATGAACACTTATTGCATAGAATAATGGGAACTTGTCGAAGGATAAGGGGCACTTATCAGAGGTGAAATGGGGAAGGGGCAATTTTACAAATTAATAGGGGAACTTGTCAAAGTAATGGCACTTTACCTATGTGAAAAGGCCATAAAAGGGGCATACTGGGGGTACTTGAAAAAGTGGGAGGGGGGGGGCACTGACCCCTCCCCCCTGGCTAACAACATATCTCCGCCACTGGTTATGAAGTTTATAATACCAAGGTTTTGATACCCAGTCGCAGCTCCAGCAGTTCATTGAAGAGGCTAAGTAGAACTTCATAGTCCATACTGTACATGTATGTCTGTTGAATGAAAAGAGAAGAGAATGAAAGTAAAACATTGATACGATACCTACATCATACATGTATCTCTGTTGTAACATAAAAATGTCTTGCATGTACATTGTAGGCCTAGGCCTCAAATTTTTTCATGTGGAATCATACATAGCCATCCCATTAATACATACTTCTCAAACCAGCCCTTCGCATCCCCTCCAGCTTGGCCTTGACCTCACTCATTTCAAAATGTTGTTTTACTTGAAAAAAAATAAACAGATCAAGTTAGATCAAAAGTAAATATGTTTACCTTCTCTTGTGGTGGTCTGTTTTCTCCAGGACATTCTTGTTTCAAGCACATACTCCAAGAAAGCAAGCATTTGGTACTGCATGCATTAACTGCAACAAGTGTCTCTGTACATTTTCCTGTAAAAGAGAGGGGGGGGGGGGAGGATTTAATTCTTAGAATAAAAGGAAATGAGCATGATCATTTAAACATTGATGAGCATTTGCAGAATTAAGAGTTTAAGAAACACACAGGCACCACTATACGTATCCCTGTATACAATGTAGTCTAGACTGAATATTTTTTTTGGGGGGGATCGTGTTTTAATTTGTTAGATAGCTACAAGACTCTATACGACTACGAGTATCACATTCACAGACAGGCGCGGCCGAGTGGACCTTGGCCCCCCCCCCCCCCCCCCATCCGCAAAAAAAAAAAAAAAAAAAAGAGAGAGAGAGAGAGAGAAGGAAAAGAAGGGAAAAAGGAGAGAAAGGGAAAGAAAGAAGAGGAAGAAGAAAAGAAAATGGGGAAAAGGAGATCGGGGGGCCAAAAGAGCATTGCATCCCAGCTGTAACCTCTCCCCCTCCCCCCATCAAAAAATAAAAGAGAAGGAAGGAAAGGGAAAGAAAAAAAGTAAAGAGGGGATAAAGAGAAGGAAAAAAGAGGAAGAAGAAAAGAAGGGGGAAATCAGTTGCAATTTTCCCGCCAACAAGTTGTAGTTCGTGGGGGGGGGGGGGGCAAAGGCCCTTGCCTCCTCCTCCCTCCCCCCCCCCCCCAAAAAAAAGGAGAAGGAAGGGAAAGGGATAGAGGAGAGCTAAAAGGGAACAAAAAAGAGGAAGAAGAAAAGAAAAGGGTGATAAGAAGGGGAGAACAGTTGCGATTAATCCCGCCAACAATGTGTGGATCGGGAAGGGGAGGGGGGGCCAAAAGGCCCTTGCCTCCCCCTAGCAAACCTAAAACAGAGAGTAGGAAGGGAAAGGAAAGGGAAATAGGAGAGAAAGGGAAAGAAAAAAAGAGAAAGAAGAAAGGTAGGGGAGATCAGTTACGTGTAGATCGGGGGGGGGGGGAGGGGCACTGGCGTACTGATGGGGAAGGGGACTTTGGGGGGGGGGGGGGTTGACAGATGCCCCCCGAATATAATTCAAACGTGGTTTATTTCTAATTTGATACCGGTGATTACCGGTGATTTACAAATGTTGCTGAAATGACATTATTTTTCCGAGATTTTTCCTCAATGTTTAATAAATTATACTTTTTAATGCGTTTGTGGGACAATGGCAAATTCATAAAGAAAGAAAGAATAGTGACGCCAATAAGTGTCCTACCAGTGTCACAAATAAGGTATGCTAATATGCTCATCTGACCGCAATTAAATGCCTATACCCCTGAGCTTCTGGGGGTTCCACCCCTTGACCCCCGCACGTTCTTTGCCCTTAGACACCACGCCAATTTCACAACGCTCTACTTGATCGTAAATACCTCCCCCCCCCCCCCCCTCACCTACTTAGAGAAACGTTTAGCGGAACCTGCGTGTAAGAGTGGGGTGGTGCAGATTTTTTTCAAATTTTGGCCCCCCCTAAGAAATCCTGGATCCACGCCTGTTCACAGGTAGTCCAATTATTTACTGGTCTGTAGGCCTAGAATCTAGGCCTCAAATTTTCTACTCTCGTACTCGTCTACTACTGTATCTCGGTATCTGGTCCAAATTTTGGCGCTTGTTCACAACTCATGTCAACTGTGACCATGCTTTTTAGTGTTAGCTATTAACTTTCTTCTGACCCAACTATGAAAGTAGTTTTTCAACAGTTGGACCTAAACGTAACAAAAAGCTTGGATCATTGATGCAGCTAGCGCTAGTGAAGTGATCTGCCTATAGACCCTATAATCGTATCTAATTTTCAGAGAGGGTCTCGCCCGAAAGTTAGGGCCAAGGATCAAGGAGTGACGATGGCAATCGAGCTGAAATATTTCTCACGACGATAAAACACGAATCAAAAGTTCGAGTGTAGATTACTCCTAAATTCATCAGATATAACCATTTTAAACCACTTCATAATGTACAGACAAATCAGCAGATTCATACCTACAGCAGATATGTTTATAAATTTGATTCAATTTACGAGATTTGAACGTAATTACAACTGTACTCACCATCAAACTTTCAAAGAAAACTTCGAGCTCTCACTCTGTGTGGGTGACGTCACATTAAATATGCATGCAGCGAAAGTCTTGTCTTCAGATCAGGCAATCGTACATAAAAACTTCCATCACAGATAGAAAAATTTCTTATTTAAAATAATGAGGATGATTACAGTTATCAATCATTATAACCAAATCTGCATACAAATAAGAAGGAGAATGGTGATACAGAGACTTATTTACCGCACGTAGGATTTCTGATAAGAATGCACAAAGAACACAAAATGGAAAGGTGCCTGGAATAGAGGATAATAATATCAGTCAAGCTCATGAATATTCATATTATGGGCGTTACCAACCATTGACATTTGCATACACAATCGTTATTTAATATATAATGGAAATGCGCTTTTCATTATATATTATATAATGGAAATGCGCTGTTCATTATATATTATATAATGGAAATGTGTGTTTCATTATATATTATATAATGGAAATAGGCTTTTCATTATATATTATATAATGGAAATGTGCGTTTCATTATATATTATATAATGGAAATGTGTGTTTCATTATATATTATATAATGGAATGTGCTTTTCATTATATATTATATAATGGAAATGCGCTTTTCATTATATATTATATAATGGAATGTGCTTTTCATTATATATTATATAATGGAAATACGCTTTTCATTATATATTATATAATGGAAATGTGCTTTTCATTATATATTATATAATGGAAATAGGCTTTTCATTATATATTATATAATGGAAATGTGCGTTTCATTATATATTATATAATGGAAATACGCTTTTAATTATATATTATATAATGGAAATGGCTTTTCATTATATATTATATAATGGAAATGTGCTTTTCATTATATATTATATAATGGAAATATGCTTTTCATTATATATAAATAATGAAAGTGTGAATTGTAATTATTTATAAATAATGGCAATTATATATAAATAATGCAAAGTTCTTTGTCATTATTTATAAATAATAAAAATGTGTTAAGAATTATATACAAATGAAAACGTACATTTGCTTGCATTATATGTAAATAATGGTTATTATTTGTTAAATAATGATTATATAACATATAATTTGTCTATATAATTGTTTTACAAACGGCGCCTCATAGACCAAGGTCTAAGACCCAAGTCTAAGTTTTTTTGTTTGCTGCCATCTACGTTTTCTTAGAGCACAATCTTGTCAAAATGTCGTCCAACAAGACTCAGCCTCGAGATGCCGAGATTATGACAGCTATTTTGAAGGATATGGGAGTTACAGATTACGAACCCAGAGTGATTAATCAAATGCTCGAATTTGCATATAGTAAGTAACATGAACAAAAATGTGTAAAATATAAGTCTAATGTAATAAATAAGAAAGTAAGCTGTGCTCAGACCTCGGACTTGGCACTGCCACTGTGCTGCTGGCCACCGCCAGGGGGACGGGCTCCCGATCCCGACGCGATGTGATCACGGGAGTGGGTAACTCAAGAGGCGCTAGGCGCTAGTGTACTTTTATATCCATTTTTGGCGCTTGTTCAGAAACGTATCCAAAATTTGACCCGTGACTCCGGCGTGGAGATACCCTACTAAAACATACCCAAAATGAAGTAAATATTCATTAAATCAAATGTCCAAATAATTTTTCACCATTTTTGTTTGATAGAGTAAAGGAGCCGGTAATCGGCCAGCTCCAGTTTTCGGCCGATTGGTTGGATGCAAGGTAAAATCACTCTAAAATACATCGCATAATAGCATAACACATATCCCACACATGAGTGTAGATAGGCAAATTCATGCAAAAAAATATATTCAAAAAATTGACTTGAAAACACATCAGACAATTAGTCTGAACCGAGTCAGGAGCAGATTTGAAGAAATTATATTTTTAAATGTTGTAAAACCAAAGATATAAGAAGAAAACTGACCAAGTATCTGTACTAAAAATCGTACATGTAAAATTGGTCGTACACATTCGACAGCTCTAAATGACGCGCACGGTTGCGTTACGTGCGTTCTCGAATCCAAAATCATATCTCACACTAGACCGAAAGCTTCAGTCTCTACCGTCGGTTGTTCCACTGAGACTACGTCTGGCTCCACTAGACCTCCGGTTATAGAGACAGAACGATCGCCTATGCCAGCCTATGTTGAAGATATCACGGCTAGATTTTAGCCGTTAGGCCCCTCCCACAAACATGAACAAACTTGCCACGGCCGTATTGTTATGCCCCCAAAATCCCCCAAAATGTCATTTTACCTCGTGCATATCCAATTTTACATTAGGCCTAGGCTATAATACATCGGTTCCACTTACTAACTTGATTGAAATAATCCGTTTAATGGTCCCTTTTAAGGAAATTATGGGTCAAAATCGACATCCATGTTGAAAATCTTGCAAGCCGTGTTAAACTCTCGCTGCCGTCAATCTCATCCCTTCTAGTCTACGCCGAAGGCAAAATGATTATGAAGGAAAAACTGTGCGCCATCTACACGTTCGTAATGGCGTTATCACAGTTTTTCCTTCATAATCATTTTTGCCTTCGGCGTGGGATACCTGCTCCGCCCGCTTGTGCTGTACTTCAGCGCGGAAACGCACGGCGCGCGCGAGCGCTTCCTATTGACTTTGTACATGCGGCCGTAAACTGAAACGCTCGGCCGATAACTGGCTCCAAAACAGTGAAAATTGAAATGAATATTGTCATGGCAATTCGTGATTTTTTTCTGGGATTCTTTTTTTGTTTAAATAATAATAATATTTGCTTCATGATTTGAACAAGAAATGATAATAAATAGGAAGTAAAGAGTCCTAAAAATAGGATTTTGTCTTAAGTGGCCGAAAACGGGCTCCTTTACTCTAGATCTATTTGAATAAAAAATGTTATCAGAATAATACATTTCGAATTTCATGTCTAACCGATGTTTCTATCAAAAGTTACAGCCCCTCCAAAACGCTGGTATATTCATATCATTTTGGTCAAAATCGACGAAAAAGACGTCCACGCAGAGTGATGTTTTTTTGCTAAATTCAGACAAACAGCTGTATCGCGCGATATGCAAGCGTATGCATATAGTACGCATGTTGCTAAGCCAATGCGCGACTTGCAGCTTGAGCCACGCTGTCTCCGCGATATGTGCCATTGACTAGTATGGGTGGCCGTTCGCGGCATAGAACCCGGAAGTGAATACAACGGCCACCCATACTTTCATTCACTATGTGTAATTGAATTTGGGGTTTCGTTCGTACGTGGAGATATTACGCGATGTAACTATGGTTTGGACTGAGCGGAGCGCACGCCCCCTAATTAGCTGATCCACCAAATAGCGAGAAGGGTATTTTTAAACTGTTATCAGTTGTGATCCCTGGGGGCTAGCGAAAATATAAGCACATAGAATTGTTCCTTAGGACTGGGACTACTTATCGATCGGGGCGTCATATCTCAAAAGTGACAAACCTCAGAGTTAGCCAGGACACAATGTTTAAATTACTGTTTTGACCAAGATATTTTTAGAATTTCGGGGGCTACGCCCCTTTGGAAATATTGGAATTCACCTGCTCTTTCATAATTATGACACCTCATTTATTGAGTATCACCTTCAGGATCACAACAGATAAAGGTTTGAATCTCGAATTGAAAAAAAAAATTGACTTTTTTTTGCATGGTCGCGCAATGCAGAATTTTAGCACACACGGGTGCGCGATCAGACACCCTAATAAAGATCATGAGTTAATAAAAGTTGCTATGTTTATGTTTCGTGTCAATTTTCTTGTTATTTTTGGAGTATTTTTGGGATAAACGTTGATATTAGTATACACTTTTCACGGCAAACCGCTGCACAATACAGTACATACCGATGGTGGGTTGCGGGAAGGCGCGCGCCTGTGTGAAGTTATCTACCGTAATGTCTCAGAACTCAGATCCTCATTACGGTAGATGTCATAGGCGCGCGCCCACCCGCAACCCACCATCGGTATGCACTTGTATTGTGCAGCGGTTTGTTGAAAATCTTGCAAGCCTTATTTTAAACTCTCGCTGTGCATGACGTCATCTAAATATCATCCCTTCTAGTCTACGCCAAAGGCAAAATTATTATGAAGGAAAAACTGTGATAACGTCATTACAAACTTGTAGCTTGCGCACAGGTTTTCCTTCATAATCATTTTGCCTTTGGTGTAGACTAGAAGGGATGATATTTAGATGACGTCATGCGCGGCGAGAGTTTAAAATACGGCCAGGGCGCGACAAACCCGCTTGCCCGACGTCCCGGGGCAACCAAATTGAGCCGTCGGGCAAGTAAATCAAATTATCACTTGCCCGATTCGGGCAAGTGATACTTTTACAGTAATTTCCTAGTGTCCAAGAACTCTACCATTCACCCGTCAACTTCTTACCCGTCGTCAAAATCCAGAAGCAAAAAAGCGATCGTTCCGATTTCGAAAAAACTTCACAGACAGCTAGCCAGCTCAGCTAGCTCATGCCGCTCCGCCTCCACGCACGGCCGGCCGTGAGCTAGCTAGAGACAGCTAGCGCGATCGTACCAGCTGCGAGCTTATTCGCGCTCTCTCTCTCTAGCTCTGCAGGCCGCACCGACAGGCCTTTGCTATTCTCTGATTGCCGATTGGTTGAATCACGCCAAATATGACGTCATTATTCTAGGGAAATGAACACGTGCGAATCGGAATGGAATAAACAACAGGGATTTTCTAGTAAGTACAAAAAGTCAAATGTTTGATATTTATTCATAATGACTGTTAATGATTGTGAACATATTATTTAAAACTCGCTGCTCATATAAATCAGATGAATGTTTTTGTCTCGTTTTCAATTTATTACTGCGGTCTCAAGATCCGACCAAGGAGTTACTACACTTGATCCGACCGAGCGAGTCATTTTGATAATAGTATCGAGACCCCCAGAATATAAGCCGTTGTTGTTTTGTTTTCATGGTTTTAGCGACGTTGTTTAGTCTAGTTTTCGCATACTTATCCGAGATTTATCGTAAAATATCTTCAATATTATTATTTAGTAAGAATTTACAAATTTTGGCATGATATTTATAGCAGTGAATGATGAAATAAAAATGTCCGTACTTTATTTAAAATAGTTGATTACCCATTATTTACATGACGTTTCTTGATGGAAGAGTTGACCCAAATTATTAACAGCTGAAAATTAGCCTACGTTTCCAAATGACAGCGGCTTGCACAGACACACTGTACATGTATGTGCATTAATTTGCTATCTAAAACACTAACTTATCATTACGAGATAATAAATGCTTTAACCTCGAGTCCTTTTTCGCTTTAAAGTTTTGGGCAAGTGGAAATATTGTTTGGGCAAGTAAATTGAAAACCCACTTGCCCGACAGGGCAAGTGGTGAAAAAAATTCTTGTAGCACCCTGACGGCTTGAAAGATTTTCAACATCGTTTCAACAAAAGTTTATACAACTGTTTTTTGGGTCTCAGTAATAGAAACCTGATGTAGCTTTGAGCGGTTTTACTCCTTTTAAACGACCCACTGTGGGTTTGTATGGGTGCAAACCATTTCTAGAAGTTAAAGTCATCTTTTGAGTGAGATTATCCTAGACTAGAGGTAATGTTATTCTAGAAAATGTCATAATAATAATTTGGGTGTAACTATAATAACAAAGTTTACATGTGTTGATATTTAATGACATTTTTGATTTACCGTTAGTCATTATGGTATTCTCTCTTGGGAAAATGATTTTTTTTTAAATACCAAATTGACTGTGTCTCTGTCTGCTCCTTGTGTAGGGTATGTGACTGATGTTCTCGACGATGCTCAGTATTGACTGTGTCTCTGTCTCTGTTTCTCTGTCTGCTCCTTGTCTAGGATATGTGACTGATGTTCTCGACGATGCTCAGAATTGACTGTGTCTCTGTCTCTGTTTCTCTGTTTACTCCTTGTCTAGGATATGTGACTGATGTTCTCGACGATGCTCAGAATTGACTGTGTCTCTGTCTCTGTTTCTCTGTCTACTCCTTTTCTAGGATATGTGACTGATGTTCTCAACGATGCTCAGTATTGACTGTGTATCTGTCTCTGTTTCTCTGTCTACTCCTTGTCTAGGATATGTGACTGATGTTCTCGATGATGCTCAGAATTGACTGTGTCTCTGTCTCTGTTTCTCTGTCTCTGTTTCTCTGTCTACTCCTTTTCTAGGATATGTGACTGATGTTCTCAACGATGCTCAGTATTGACTGTGTATCTGTCTCTGTTTCTCTGTCTACTCCTTGTCTAGGATATGTGACTGATGTTCTCAACGATGCTCAGTATTGACTGTGTATCTGTCTCTGTTTCTCTGTCTACTCCTTGTCTAGGATATGTGACTGATGTTCTCGACGATGCTCAGAATTGACTGTGTCTCTGTCTCTGTTTCTCTGTCTACTCCTTTTCTAGGATATGTGACTGATGTTCTCAACGATGCTCAGTATTGACTGTGTATCTGTCTCTGTTTCTCTGTCTACTCCTTGTCTAGGATATGTGACTGATGTTCTCAACGATGCTCACTGCTCAGTATTGACTGTGTCTCTGTCTCTGTTTCTCTGTCTACTCCTTGTCTAGGATATGTGACTGATGTTCTCAACGATGCTCAGAATTGACTGTGTCTCTGTCTCTGTGTCTCTGTCTCTGTTTCTCTGTCTACTCCTTGTCTAGGATATGTGACTGATGTTCTCAACGATGCTCAGTATTGACTGTGTATCTGTCTCTGTTTCTCTTTCTGCTCCTTGTGTAGGGTATGTGATTGATGTTCTAGATGATGCTCAGTATTGACTGTGTCTCTGTCTCTGTGTCTCTGTCTACTCCTTGTCTAGGGTATGTGACACATGTTCTAGACGATGCTCAGGTGTACGGTGGGCATGCAGGAAGGAGGGATGTAGATGTAGAGGATATCAAATTGGCCATTCAAACCAGATTAGATCATTCCTTCACAACACCACCCCCAAGAGAGGTAAGGCTTAAACTCATCAACATTTCTACTCGGTGCTGGTAGATAACATTCATGTTTTTTATTGATAAAGCACATTGACAGTTGCCATAAAAACCTGAGTATTTTTTTTCCTTTTTGCTAACATGTCTTAAACAGGCCTTAAATAATATCCAAGGCCAATCATAGGGGCATCCACGGTCATGACCTTGGATTAAAAGCCCTGCTTAAAGGTAATATAAAGTTTTGGGGAAAATCAAAAATTGGCTGGATAAACATTCTTTTAGCTTCTAAAACACTTCTTGGATATCAAAATTAACCAGTGCTCCTAGTAAATTTCGAAAATTTTCAAATAGCGCCTATGTTGTGATATATAATTTTCAAACGCGCATAGCCAATCAGTCAATTTTACTGAAAAAGCATTGTTTTACCGTATAGCTAAATTAATGTCTTGACCTTGAGAGGGAGCTACCCGTATACAATGAAAAGAGTTTATTATTTACAATTTCATCACTAAACATTGTAGGATCGCATATATACAGGTGTTTGGGAAAGTGATTTTTTGTAAATACTATATTGACTGTGTATCTGTCCCTGTTCTCTGTCTACTCCTTCAGGTCTGATAAAAACCTGATTTAAATCAGTTTCCTGATTTTTTTAATTGTTACCCAATTTTTCCCAATTTTTTTTGCTTCCCGATTTTTCTGATTTTCCCCTTATTTTCTCTATTCTCCCCTATTTTTCCTATTATTTCCCAATTTTTCTTACTCAAAAGGGGGGATTGTTGTTAGATGCCATTCCCCCCCCCCCCCCCCGAATCCTCATTTTATTTTTTTTACTCAAGAGGGGGTGTGGTTGAGGGAAAAAAAAACCTATTGTTTTTTTAGTGCTCACTATCACCCCTGACTCCTTGTCTCATAACTAGGATATGTGACTGATAGATGATGCTCAGGTATATGGTGGTCATGCGGGAAGGAGGGATGTAGGATCCCATATATGTCTCCAATACAGTATGTTCATTTGAACCAAATTTATGACCCCATACCAAAACTTCGTAATACCTTTAAGTTTGAAACACGTATTCACAAGTAAAACATATCAGTGTTTGGAATATCCTACTCCTATAATTGCAAAGGTTTAGACATGATAGAATGTCAAGATGGGAAGATTTTGTTAGATATATATATTTATGATTTAGCTGGGGGGTCATACTCTGAGATTACCCCCAAAGTTTACCATATGGGGGGTGTTTCATAAAGCTGTTTGTAAAGTTACACATGACTTTACGAACGACTTGTATATGTAGTGCCAGATAGGATGCCCAATTTTTTCCTGATGTTTTAACAAAGTGTGACTATATTTCCAATAACCTTGAATGAATTATGGCCAAAAAATATACTTTACCATAATTCTTTTTGTTATGATAAGAATGTTAATCTACATCTGCACAGTTCAACTTTAGTTGATGCAGTTAATAACAATTGAGCATCCCATTTTGCTTTTCATATTTAAGTAATTCGTAAAGTCACACGTAACTTTACGAACAGCTTTATGAAACACCCCCCTGGTGATTTAGAGTCCACTTACCATTATTATACTTAGTATGTTTCCTTTTATTTTGCACAGTTTTTGATGGAGATAGCTAAGCAGAAGAACAGCAGTCCTCTCCCAGCCATTAAACCTCACAATGGACCAAGACTACCCCCAGATAGATACTGTCTCTCTGCTTGTAACTACAGGCTCAAACCACCTCATAAGAGGGTAAGTCAGGTCCTCAGTTCAGTTCAAGATAAACCAGGGAGTAACATTTACATTTCTATTGTTTAAAGCCCCATTGCACTACTTACAGCTACTTGCGCCCTCTATATAGCAAACAATGCCTAATTGGTGACCATTGTCCCCCATAGTCTCTGTTTTCTTATGTTGATTAAGAGCTGATTTGATGAGATAACCACATGTCAGTGACCATGCGGGGAGGTCTAATCCCCCCGGGCCAAACTAGTGCAGAGGTGCTTAATATTGGTGTAGGAATAACAATTGTTTGTTTTATTTCCAAAAATCATCATAAAAACAATAGCGCAATATACAAAAATCAAAGACTTTTTATAACAATAATAGAATGATAAAACGGTTGAATATTCCATTTCAGAGTCATTAACCTAACGGCTCTGTTCTTCCGTGGAGTCCAATCAGGATAGACAGGCTGTTTGATGAGTTGAAAGAAAAAGGAGACGAGGAGTTGTAAATAAGTTGAATATGTGTAGTATCTATTTATTATTGATCAATATCCATAAACTGAATCTATCTCAGTTCAATTAGATTTGTTTATCACCTACAGGTGTAGATAGTTCCCAAGATTAATCACAATTGATGTCTCAGCAGGTATCCCCCTTCTTACTTTGACTTCAGTATTATACTGGACACCTTATTTCCCAGTATTAATAGCACTTTTTAATTTTTTACTTTCATGAAATCATTATTTTCTTTGAATACACCATCTCCTTCTTTTCAACTGACCCATTGTAAATGTACCAATGTAAACCTTGAATTAGGTGTATGAAGTGTTATATTACTGCACTGTGTTTCATCTTTGATTTCTCACAGCCCACTCTGACGATAAACCCAAGATTATCTCTAAGTTCAGGTAAGCATCAAAGACCTATCAATTCATTTATTTTAATTTGCAGTGTTTTTTTTTTATTATGTGTTTACAAGTGTACTTTCCAATAATTGTATTTTTATGCCTCATTACGAAGTAGCCGGAGGCATTGTGTTTTCGGGTTTTCAGGTCGTTCGTACGTACGTCCGTACGTCTCGTTCTCGTGATCGCGTTATCTCAAGAACCGATGGATGGATTCCTGCTAAACTTAGGTCATGTATATATATAGCAGAGCTGATGAACTGATTAGATTTTGGTTCAAAGGTCAAAGTTCACAGGGCTCATTATGTATGCAAAAATAGCTTATGATCACATTATCATTAGAACCGATGGACAGATTACAATCAAACTCAAAACATGTGTTTATCTTGCAGAGCCAATGAACTGAGTAGATTTTGGGGTCATGAGGTTAAAGGTCATGGGGCTCATTATGTATTCAAAAATAGCTTGTGAACGCCTTCTTATTAGAACTGACGAATGGATTACTATCAAACTCGGGACATGGTCACATGTATGTATCTTGGAGAGCCATTGAACTGATTCGATTTTAGGGTCATATGATCAAAGACCAAAGGGTCATACATATATATAAAAATAGATTGTAATAATGATATTCTGCGAACCTGTTAATGGATAACAATCAAACTTGAATTTGAAAAATTGCTCTAAGGCGGAGGCATCATTTTCGACTGTGCGCAGTCGAACATCCATCTAGTTTCAATGAAATATATAGTGTGTAGAATTTAGAATTGAAATAGAATTTACTAAAAATATTTATATGTTTTATTGAGAACCTTTTTTGGTTATGAAAATGCAATTATCATTTTATTCATCAGGTATAGGCTCCAAGCCCAGTCCTACCTTCTCTCTTGTCTCTAAGAGTGGTGGTTCATCATTCAGTTTGAAGAGCAATACTTCATCTTACACCATGGTTACTCAGTCACCAACCATCAGTAAACCAGCTATCAATATCATCTCTGGATTAGGCAGCAGTTTGAAAGGTGAGTTACACAATACACAATGGTTAGTTAGTCACTAACCATCAGTAAACCAGCTATCAATATCATCTCTGGATTAGGCAGCAGTTTGAAAAAATCTTCATATCATTGTTTGAAGTAACAACATTTGCCGGCGATAAGGCCGCACCCCCAATTTTTACATTTAAAAAAAAAAAAAAAAACTTTTGTCGAAGACGGGATTTAATCTCTTGCGTACAAATGTTGATATGACTAAAATCACGGCCTTAGACCTCTCGGCCATCCCGCACTGATGCTTTCCCCTGCAGTTGTCTCTGATGTGTACATTGCGCCTCCCTCTTGTGTATTGCGCCATAGCTCTTGTGTATTGAAATGGATTCAAAATGGCGACTTCGCGTGCTGGATGCTTCGCGGCAGCTCCGTTAACGGGCCCTTCTTTACTTTTGCAATGTATTGGCACGAACTTAGATCAAGATCTATCGGCAGATGTTGTTATTGGAAGTTTATTTTCGTCTTCATGTCAACAATGCAAGATAAAATTGTCGGTAAGATGTGTGGAAATGTCCTGTACCATAGTGGTATAGTTATTGTACCATTCGTAGTCTTATATGTGCAAATTCGGGCTGGTTTTGACTTACTCTTTTTTTTTTTTACTCTTTTTCCGCATAGGCCGCACCGTGACTTTTTGATATTTTCTCTTCCAAAAATACTGCGGCCTTTACGCCGGCAAATATGATAGAGCACATACATGTAGGAGAAAGGTTTTGTAAAGACGACTAGTATTATGGAGTTATCCTTCAGTATGGTTGTTATCCCTGTTCAGACATTTGAGGTCTAAGGTCATCTCAGGGTCATCTAAGTTTGTTTAAGGATGCTTATTATTTTCCATTTGACAGAAATGAATGGATATTAGCTAAATTAAATGCTACATACAGTACATGTAGTAGGAGGGTTTAGGGCTAGCAGTGTCATGCTTTGATTAAAATGCTTTGTGTCATTGATCATGCATGTATGATGGCAATTGTTAATTCACTAGTTATAAATGGAGCCAGGGGGGAAGTTTCGTAAAGAGTTCGTAAAGTTACGCATGACTTTACGAACGACTTGTATATGAAGTGCCAGATAGGATGCCCAAAGTTTTTTCTGATATTTCCAATAACCTCAATTAAATTATGGCAAAAAATATACTTTGCATTAAATTTTTTTGTTATAATCTACATCTGCACAGTTCAACTTAATGAATAATAATCAATAATGATTGAGCATCCCATTTGGCTTTTCATATACAAGTTGTTCGTAAAGTCATGCGTAACTTTACGAACAGCTTTATGAAACACCCCCCTGGTCGCATAGTTATCTCATTGATCTTGTGTTTCATTGTTTTTGTTAACTGCAGGTACCTCACTTAATCAGAGTGATGTGAAGCCCGACATCAAACCACCAATCAGCATCATCACCGACTCAAAGGCTAGTGCTAAAAGAAAGCGTGAAGATAATGACTGACTTGGACATGTCTTGCTTCCCCACTCCTAAGGCTACCTGTGTACCTGACCTTCTGTTATGTGACCTTCTTGCTATGTGACCTTCACCCACAGTCAGATGTGGCATGTTTTCTCATTACAGACTCGAAGACTAGTGCTAAAAGGAAGCGTGAAGATAATGACTGACTTGGACATGTCACTTTCATTCATACAAAGAACTGAAACTGCGCCGGAACATCTGGTTGAGGACATTCTGCTCAATTGATTTTGAGAAACAGCTTTGGAAGAAGTTATTGAGCAATGGATTGTATCATGTGAGTGTATTGATGCACACAAGGACAAGGGCCAACTATTGGAAAGAACCTGTGGAGCAATCAATGGATTATATGATGACAGACCTGATATGCAACAGGTCTTGCTTCCTGGCCTTCCCCACTCCTAAGGCTACCTGACCTTCTGCTATCTATTCTGGAGAGACTCAGACGATGGACCACATCTTGCAGTGCGGCAGAACGGGTTGCACAGATGAAGACCTGGCCCTTGTAAATGAGACGGCTATCGCAGCCATGGGGCGATGGAAGAGCTTAATTTAATTTAATCTAATTTAGGAACTGTACACTAATCTTGATCTGAGGAGACACGAACGAACGAATCCACAGTTAGATGTGGCATGTCTTCTCTTATCAATAGCGTGCTTTCAGTTCGCAACGGAAGCCAAAGACGACAGGAGAATTCACTCAACCAAGATCGTCCTGTACCATGCTCCTGTCTTCATTGCAACCTGTTTCGGTACTGGGGACGGGGACGTTGATGGCTACTTACCAAACAGACATTAGAATAAGCAGATTCCATGCTGTGTGGTTGTGTACTATCAGAAATAGTGTAGATAATTTGTCCACAATTGGATATTCAAGCTCAAAGTACAGTTGATATACAATCATACGACATCTACATCGTAATTGTAATGTTTAGGCAATGAACTATTTTGGCCGAGAATGATCGTGAAAATCAACGAGACGGAGAATATTCAGATTCGCGCATGCGCAGATTGATTTTTTTCTCACCCGTGTTAACGTCATCTTGGCTTCCATTACAAACCAAAAGTATACTAATCGCGTTATGTAGACAGACATCGGCACGGGCGTCAGCCCGAACGCCTATCATCACTGGTGAACTCATCATTATTCATATCATATGTGTGACACGCGTATTTCATGCATGATTCATAACACTAGCCTTATTTGGTGATTGATCCCTTATATTCAACCAATCAAATATCATCTCCAAGTTCCTCATCGTTCATTGGCCTATTTTGGTCCATGTTACATAAATATTCACGACAGAGCTTTACAGGGGGTTCTTACATTTTCTACAAACGAAATAATGTAAATAAAAGAAAATCAAACTTTTCATGTCCACCAGTGATGATGGGCGCTCAGGTTGATGCCCGCGCCGATGTCTGTCTCCATAACGCGATTATTACACTTGCCTTAAAGCCCGACGCATATCAGATACATGTAGGCTAGGGTTAGTGCAGCTTTCTGTACTATAGCAGTACATCAAATTAACTTATATTTTATTTGCATTAATAACCCCTTCCTCTATTTTGTTTTCATTTCTTTTTTTATAAAGAAGACAATTCAAGTGGGAATTTGTTCAAAGTTTGTGGAAGCACCATGAAACCATGACTGCTGAATATTATTTAATTCCTATAAGCTTCCTGAATTTTGTTAAATAGTTAAATGTTAAAGAAACTATGGAATGGGGTCGTTGAATGCACATTGCAGTGCACATTGTAGTAGATGTGTAAACGTGATTGTGTTTTGAAAATAAACAATATACATGTATCAGATTGTATTGTACTGTTCAATTCTATGATGTACAGATAGAGGGAAGGATGGAGGGCAATAGAAACAGGGCATGAGAGAGGAATAGATACAGAGAGAGAGAGAGAGTGAAAGAGAGAGAGAGGGAGAGAGAGAGGAAAGAGATACAAAGAGAGAGGGAAGAGATACAGAGAGAGAGAGAGAGAGGTAAGAGATACAAAGAGAGATGGAAGAGATACAGAGAGAGGGAGGTAAAAGATACAAAGAGAGGGAGGGAGGCATGAGGGAGAAAGGTAAGAGCTACAAAGAGAGGGAAGAGACACAGAGGAAAGAGATGCAGAGGGAGATCGGAGAGGGAAGAGATGCAATGAGGGAGAGAGAGAGAGAAGGGTAACATTATAGAGGGAGAGACAGAGGGAACAGATACAGAGAGAGAGGGAAGAGATACAGAGGGAGAGAGAGAGAGAGGGAAGAGATACAGAGAGAGAGAGAGAGAGAGAGAGAGAGAGAGAGAGAGAGAGAGGGGGGAATGCTAACATCGAGACACAGAGAGAGAGGGAAGAGATTTCGACAAGAATGGGAGATGACAACAACATAATGAGAGAGAGAGAGAGGCAAAAAATGGTTTAATACTACATTAACTGTAACTAATTCGATTGTGATATGATTAAGTTTGATTTTTTGCTGACTTGTGAATGAGAGTAACAGTTGCCATCATTTCATGTACAACCCGTCAAGAAAATTGGAGTTTGATATTCTGTAAAGCATAAGAGATCATACATTTCCTACGAAATAAAATACACCCATTAGATATCCAGATTGAGTGTCTCCCAAAGTGTGTGTGTGGGGGGAGGGGGGGGGGGGCGGATCCACGGGCCGATTCTACCGCCCCCCCCCCCCCCCCCCAAACCGGTAAAAAAAAAATGGGATAGTAACATAAATTTTACCTTTTGAAAAACAAAAAACAAAAGCGGCCCCCTGAGGCCCTGACCCCCTAAAAAAAATGATCAACTACATTTAGAAATGAAGCAGCAACAAAAACTTATAGGGTTATCTGTTAGGTGAAAGTGAGAGTTAAAAAGAAAGTCATGTAAAAATGGCGCTTCACCTCCCCCCTAAAAAAAAAATAATAATAATAATTAGTGGTCCTCTCCTCACCAGCATCCCCCCCCCCCACCCCCCCGCTGGGTCAGCGCAATTTTTTTCCCCCAAAACGTACTGGACCAAAATAAAAATATATAGTGCTCTTACCACCCCCGCCCATTCGCCATTCACCGGCTGGCTGATTCGCCGCTAAATATATTCTCAAGATTTGCCCCTCCCCCCCCCCCCCCCACCCCTTGCCGCCGGCTGAATTTCGTTGTGGAAACCATGGACTAGCTACCACTAGCCTCGGGTATATATATATATACTGTAGATGAAGTTTTATTGGTGATGGATTTCATTATTTATGCATTCGTCTCCATCTTCATGCAAGAAACTTGTTCCAATCTTGAAAAAGTAGTCCTATATAGGAAAATTATGCTTCGTTTATATATAGGCCTAAACCTTTTTTGCCCCTCACCATTCGAAGCACTTTGGTAATTTGTTTATAGTTCATTTGAGTAAAGTTCCTCATCATAACAGCAATCATGCATGCTCACGCCATTATTTAACATGTTTTGAATATTAATAGAATCAGTTGTTCATTCGTCAATTCAGTGTATTAATTTTATGATTATATTTATGTATCTATTTATTTATTCATGTATTGATTGATTTAGTTTCTTAGTTACTTATTTATTCATCTATTCACTTGTTTAATTATCATTCATTATACAAAATTGATCATTTTCTTATTTAGTTTTTAAAAAAATCATTTGATTATATATTTGCCTATACTCGTTTATTTGCCTAAATTTCCTTGTAAAATGATATAGGGTCTACTTCAATTACTATATATACAATTTGTTTGTTTGGTTACAATAATTTATTTTTACATATTTCATTGTATTTTCCAATACCCTAATTATTATGGGTACCATGAGAAAAATGTTATTGCCATCGTCATTATCATCGTCAACTGTGGCTAGTTTAAAACACAGACCCTATGATTTATAATGCGCTATACAACAGTTCAATAGTTTGATATCCGGGCTGTAATCAATGTAGAATTAAATAAATCTTAAGTTTAAATAAATTTTCAAGTTTAAATAAATTATCAAATTTGCGGAGGCATGTGTTTTTGCCAGTTCTAAATGATGTTATGCTTTAATAAAATTAAAAAATTGTGCATGCAGCGCAGACGTAGACTATATAGGCCTAGCACGTTTACCTAGTGATTCGGCAACGTAGCCGTAGCAGACAGATGATCCTGTCAAAATGATGGATGAAATGGTAATTTCGAATCTCAGGAAATCAGTGATAAATGATGCTAAGGACAAATCAAGAGAAAACAGCCATCGCGAATCAGAACACGCATGTCTCCTTGATTCGGAAAACGGTGAGTAAGCTGTAAAAAAAGAAGACATAGATCTAGATCTAAAACTAGATCTAACGTTAGAATCGACCGGGACCGTCGTCGCCTCAGTCTGCCGGTTAAGCTGTTCTTCACCAATTGTCACGCCTCTAGGACCGGGCCATCGACTTCAGCGTAGCCGTTGGTCAAAGATATTCAGCAGGCAGCAGAACTGTGTCAGTCAGTTTGAAATAGTCGATAGTCTAGGCCTAGCCTACCCCATCCAATTCAATAAGCTATAGACCCCATGTTATTTTTAATTTTTATTATAATTGCAGCAGTTATGAGGATGTAAACATGGTAAAGAGTGAAAATCTTGTTGCATAGACTCTATCTCATTCATCGCGGTCCGGTCGAACCGAACCATTTGTTCCGTACAGTCCCGTACAGTCCCGATAGGCCATAGATCTACTTCAGTCTCTATAATCGGAGGTCTAGTGGAGCCAGACGTAGTCTCAGTGGAACAACCGACGATTAGAGAGACTGAAGTTTTCGGTCTACACATAGCCATGCCAAATTTCACGCTCCAATTACTTTGCAAAACATAAATAGCGCCCTCTAAAGTTCTGGGAATTGGCTTTCTTTCTGTGGCCGTATCTCCATTATCGCTTGGCAGACCCGTACCCTTTTTTGGATTTAGATACTTGAAGTTATGCCCTTTCCAGCCATATACAAAATTATATACCCTATCACTGACCAAATTTGAGAAAATTGCCCTCCAAATTCACCATTTTCAAGAAAATTGAGAAATAACTTCAACTTGCTCTAAAATGGCGATCTTTATACCTGCCTCATTGAAACTTGGCAGACACATGTATCCATATACGTGACAACTGTCTGCCAACTTTAGTAATTTTTAATGCCCTTTTCGCAAAGTTATCGCCAAAAATGATGAATTTACTATGCATTGCGTAACAGCGCGTTTGATCCGTGCAGTACGTTGCGAGCAGATGACAATGGTGTCAAATTGACCGCAATGAAGTGCCCTTTCGAATGATACCAAGTATGGTATATGTTCACATAGAAAATTTTGAGTAAATCGCATTTGAACAAGGGTCACTATACAAGTTCCGCCGAGTTTCCGCCCGATTATAACACTTATCGGTCATGACGTCAGTTTTTTAGACTGCTTCGTAGGCGTATAGTCACTACCATCCCATCATGAAGGTCCCTGTTGAGGCCTTTCTTTCGCCCTACCTATCTACAGTATCACAGAAGCTACAGACTTTGTATGAATTGCTCTGGATAGTCCGAGATAAGCTCTTTCGTTTGACACGTAGAAACATGGCGTCATTGCAAACACATCGTTGTGACACGATTGCATTTCTAGTTATTATTATTGTAATTATACTTATTATTGCAATTATTAATATTGTTCATTTAGACCCTATTCATTTATTCATTAATTTATTCATTAGATCTAGTCTAATTAATTTATTAATGATGATTAATTTATGATTTGTAATGTATTGTCTGGATCTAGACCTCTAGATCTGAATAGGGGGGGGGGGCAGCTTCGGTGCTAGTTTAGAAGTCTATCCAAACTTTGACCCGTAACTCTGGCGTGGAGATACCCTACTGTACTGAAACCAGGCCTTAAATTAATCGACGGCCATCGACGGCCAGGCCGTCGATGCCCCTCGACTGGCCGTGGTGCCCTCCCAAAAAAAGATAAATTCACGGCCAAAAAGGCCGTGCCCTTTTTTTCAAACTGGCCGACGTGCCTTTTTTTCAAACTGGACGTGCCCCTTTTTAGAAATTTGCGCTCATAAAACCACCAATTGCGCCCATAATCATCTAAAACTAGACGGCAAGGCGCAAGTGTTTTCCGTGAAAATGCGCCCATAAATTATTAGAACAGCACGAATCACGAACAGTTTGCTGCCCATGAGCTCTCTACTAGCTTCGTATTGTTGAATCTCTGTGTAAAATTGTATACACAACAAATCGGGCGTAAAAAATATCGAACCATATTCCATACCTTACCTGGCTTACCATGTCGCACACAAGTATGCCAAAACACGTACATTTTCGCAGTTGCGAGATCGAGTAGGGGTCGAGTTTTTCGCGGTCGATTTTGTTTTGGTGGATCATATTAGCTGAACCTAGACCTCTAATCGCGAAACTGAAATCAATTTCCATCATGATTGCCGCAATTTAATAAAGTTTCCATGAATAGAGGTATGAACTTAAAGCCTATTTTGTGATTATTTTCCAGCATCGCCATGTTTACGTAATTTTGATAATCATTTCTTCAAAGTAAAGAAAATCAGACAAAATCACCATGACGGACGCTGCGCTGCAGTTAACTCCAGGAGGCTCCAACACTGGCACCGTAGGCGGACGGCTGCGGCGGCCGGTGTTGGAGCTTCCTGGAGTCACGCTGCGCGCTGTGCAGTGTGTGAGTTCTGAGTCGAAGAGTTTTGACACTTTGAAATTGCTATAGCTGTTGGTTTGTATCATTATTGCCGCGATTTCTATATAGTTTCGGGAATAGATGTACGAAACCTGAGCTTAGAATTAGTAAAAGTATTACTAAAGTTTTTAAACGACTGTCTGATTTTCTTGGAAAAACTTTACTTTGAAATATGATTATCGAAATTCATGGCCAGAAATAATCACAAGCTAGGGTCTATTATGTCACAGTTCTTGCATCAAATCAATGCATGAAAACTTAGTTAATTGAACTAGAAAAAGGGGTTTCTTTTTTAATAGGCAATTATGAAGCAGGAAGCCCGAAACCTTAGCCTACTAAACAAATCTCAACAAACTGTAGACCCCCTAGGCCTATCCTTTTAAGAATTAATGAAAAAGTAGCCCCCGAAATGGAAAAAAAAGCCCCCAAAATTTGAAAAAGTAGCCCCCGAAAATTTCCAAAAAATTTGAAATGGAGCCCCCGAAATGAAAAACTTAATTTTTTCCCTGGGTTGGTTATACAACAATTAAAAATATAATTTCTTCAAATTTTCTCCTACTACCAGTTACCAAGAGTGTGGCGGAAGGTTTGTGTGTGAGATGCGATTTCGATTTGGGATACCCGGTAAACTTGCCAAGTCCTTCTGACTTTCGATGTTTGTGAAATTTACAATTTAATTATTCATTTGCTCATCAATATTTTTAGTTACTTTAAAATATGCAAGTTTAATCTTTCCTGTTGATATTGTTAAGATTAAAAAGTTATTAAATTGATCGTTCTATTCACATTATGAAATAAACATTGTATCTTTGAACTTATAATTAGATTAGGGGCCTAGTCTATCTATTTTGGAAAATTGCCCCTGGTTCTTAGGGAATTGCCCCTTGCTCTGGTAAATTTCCGTGGGCAAGGGGCAACTTTAGAAAAAAAATTGCTCCTTGCTCCTGGCTGCTTAATCTAAGGCTTGCGGGGCCGCCGCCGTTGTTTGTATGTACCGTAGACCTCTATACATTCTGTGAAGAAGCTGGTGCTAAAAGTCATGGGAAATTGATCCCGCACAAGTTTCATTATAAATACACATGACATCTAACAAAAATAGATTCAATTTTTTTTTTGGCCTTGATGCCCTTTTTGTAAAAATATTTTGGCCTTGATGCCCTTTGTAGTGGCCTTGGTGCCCTTAAAAATATGAGGTACTTTTAGGCCAAACTGGCCTTGCCCTAAAAATGACGAAATTTAAGGCCTGTGAAACATACCCAAAATGAAGTAAATATTCATCAAATGTCCAAATAAAGGTCATGATTTAAAAGTTGGTAAACTCTATGTTCGTTACATGTACTTGTGTCGTGTCAATTTTCTCATCTTTTTCAGAGTATTTTTCCTAAAAACAAAGACTTATAATATGCACTTTCTCACGGATTCACAGCAAACTGCAGCACAATAAAAACGGACCGACGGTGGGGTGCGCGTGCGCGCGTATGTGTTCAGTTAGCAACCTAAAACTAAGATTACTGTCGCTAACTTAAGGAGAGAAAAAGTGTGCTGCTTGTGGAATTTACGTAATTATAGAAACATCAAAATGTGTAACAAAATGGTACCTGAGAGAAACAGAATACTCCCTCTTCTTTCAAAGGGTTTAGAGGTCATATTGGTTGGTGTGAATGGTTCTCTTCACCTCCAACTTAGGTTTGAAACTAAGCAGGGGGCTGTCAACCCTCCCGCATTTGGAGGGAGTCTCACGCCACCATGTTCATTCTCCCGCCGTCTCACCGGCACCTGCTCGTAAGTCGTAGCGGGAGACTTCTACCACCACGCCCTTCCTCCTGCAATCTCCCGGTTTAATTATTGAAAAACCTCGCGCCAAACGTGTAAAATGAACCAGCGTACTTGTATCATATGAGGGGGGGGGGGGGGGGGGGTGAGCACTTTGATTTTTTTTGTTCATACTCAACACCCCCCTTCCCCGTTTGTTAGTGTTACTAGATTTTACTAAATTGCATATGATCTCCCTCGAAGCAGTTCCCCAAAGTTGACAGCCCTGTTGAAAGGGGTATCAAAGGGAAGTCAAACCTTGATAGCAAACTACTCTCAGAGATCCATTCTTGTGAAAGTTCGAATGATATTGAACAAAAATTGAGAAAGTTGTGAATTTTTGAAAGTGGTAATCACTAGTATAGGTTTTGAATGAATCGGTAAAGTCTCTGTGATGTAGCCACAAACAACTGTATGTTCCAACATAAAATGACTAAAATTTCAAGTTTTCATTTATTTATTTCTCAGGAGGTTCTATTCTCTTTAGAGGATCAATAATGCTATCCATTATAGTGGCCCAAGAGAGAAGGCACTTAAGAGAAAAACAGAAATTGATTATCTTTCTGTACACGAGACGAGGCGTACACCTGCATACCCCAATCAGGCCAAGTCTACGGCATCTGCAATAATCTTCAGTATTGAAGGAGGCAGATTATCTTTAAAGCTTATCTGCCATAGTTTACAGGAGGGATTAGACCGCTCTGCAAGGTCACTAGACAGGTGGTTATCTCATCACATCAGCTCTCAGTTAACATAAGAAAAAAAGGATCATGGGGGACCAATGGTCACCGATTAGGCATTGTTTGTTATATGGGGCTCAAGTAGCTATAAGTAGTGCAGTGGGCCTTTAAGAAGAAGACACGGCAAACGAGAGAGGTCTCAATCCACTGATCAAACGGCCAATTTGAGATTTGCATAGACTGTTATTAGTGATCTCATATTTCAAACATTCATAATTTTCATTTTTGGGGTTGATTTGTTTATTTCATTTTCCAGTTTGGACTGGGTCTTTATAGTCTCAATGATTTAAATTCCATCATTGCTTCTTTGTATTTTCCTTTCCTTTTTATATTCTATGAGTTATTGAACAGACCTATTCAAGTAAATAGGTTTATTGACCTGGACTTGTTATAATTATTGTACTTATGCAAATTTGTATGCATTTCTATACTTTTCTTTGGCTACAACATCATTTTCTCATATTGAATTTATTCCAAAATACAAATCTTGTAGTTTCCAACAGTCTACATGGTCTTCAGATGGTTATGGTCAAAGCATGTTTATCAATTTATCATGAACCATGAGTTTGACCTCTTCAGAGTTAGATATACACCTAAAACTAAAACAAGAGTCTAAAAAAACAACACTATACCCTGACTCATATAACCTTAACCCTTACCTTTAACCTAACTGTTTTATTTTCAATGAATAGATAAGGGGTATGAAGAAAATAAGAGAATGACATAAAGTCCCATGCACATATAACCAAGGGGCTCCATACTCATCATTTCATTGATCTACTATGTACATGTATGTATGTATTCACAAGTAACAAGTTGCTGTTATCTGCATTTAAACAGTACCGTAAATCTCCGTGTATAAGGCGCACCTGTGTATAAGGCGCACCCCTATTTTGGGGGCAAAAAAAAAAAATTGTTTTTTGTTTTGTTGTTGTTTTGTTGCCGAAAACCCACGCGGGGAAGGACCTTCATTTTACATCGAGGTGCAGTTGAAGTTGTGAACTTGTCACAAATAATAGTAACAACAGTCTAAGGCTTCATGATACCAAGTGTCCCACACCAGCCTCATCACATCACCTAGCAGAAGCACTGTGTTCTATGCCAAACATCAATAGGCATGCATGATATGAATAGCATCCTCTAAATTTTTGGCAATGGAGTACCTAGGATAGAACCTTGTGGTACACCATTTGTTATAGAAAAAAATTGAGGAATTATTATTATAAACTACATATTGAGATCTATTAGAAAGATTACTTTCAAACCAAGATGACAGACAAATTTGAGTGTTGTTGTAGTTTCCGAGTGGTGAGTCAACACACTGATTACTGAGCTAGGAAACATTGTTAGGCATAGCGCCATAAATCGAAACTGTACCTGTGTATAAGACGCACCCCTGACTTTCAAATTTTTTCAGCGGCAAAAAAGTGCGCCTTATACACGGAGATTTACGGTACTTTGATAGCATATATGCACTTGGTGGTACAGCGAAACCTGGCTATGAAGACCACCCAAGAGAGACAGGAAAAGTAGTATTTACACACTGGTGGTCTTTATGTACTGGTTCCTAAAGTGCATGTTTAAATTTTTCAAGGAAACAACAAATGTGGTCTTTGTAGACAGGTGATAATGGGCCATAATTGACTTATTTCTATCTGTATATATATGCCAATACACCATAATTTCACATGGTAGTTGTCATGGTAGTAATTAAACATTTTGTCTTTTCAATATATTTTCAGATGAAGAAGAGGAATACACAGTGGAGGAAGCCATTGATGCTCTTGGATTTGGTTGGTTCCAAATCAGAACGGCTGGCATCGTTGGGTTTCAAGTTGTGAGTATGAAATAAAATGCTTCTCTGACATTGGCAATACTTGCTTCAGGATTTATTTTGTCATAGATAAGGGTTAGGGTTACAATTAGGTTTTGGGGGTTAGGCTTAAAGGCATCATATAACAATGTTAAATCTGAGAAGCATGCATGGTCCTACGTAGGTGCTATCGATGTCTATGATATGGTGTAATGTTGAAGCCCTAACAAATTTGCGCTTCAAAATGATCATGAAGTGCCTCAAAAAGTAAAAATCTTTGAGTGACCATTTTTACCATACTTGTTTTCTCTAATAGACTGTAGTGTTATAAAAACCGTTAGGAAAATGCAAAATTTGATTTCGATTTCCAGTCATAAATATCTTGATAATCAACCAGGCGATCGGCTAGTAAAAGCCATGGGGTTCCTGACTGACCTAAAGGTTTATAATTATCATTGCAGCATGAGCTAAATCCAGGATTTTGTTTCAGAATCTGTTATTTGGCAAATTGAGCTAATGAGGACAGGCCTATTGTTTGTTTTTTGTATACATTCAAGAATGTGAAATAAATTCATATTCAATCAATCAATCAATCAATCAACAGGCGTTGTCAACCACCTACATGAGCTTTCAGTTTTATGAACAACAGGCCTTATGTAGATCTAATGCTAGATTTTCCACAATTCGTCCCGTATGGAAAAGTCAAATCTTAAAGGGCAATCCAACCCTTGTAATAAGTTGATTTGTATGAAAGCAAAAAAATAACAGAATGGCAAATATTTTGTAATCATTGGACCAATAGTAAAGAAGTTATAAATGTTTGAAATATGAGATCACTCAGTCTATGCGAATCTCAAATTGGTAGTTTGGTCAGTGGATTGTGACGTAGGACGTGGATTACTCTCCCATATTCCGTGTACAAAAATATCACCAAGTTCTGTCTTTCTCGTAAGTTCCTGTAGTCCGGTACTACATCGCATTGACATTACCGCTTCAGCCAATTTGAAGTGCCCATACGTACAGTGATTACAACTTTCAAAAATTCATAACTTTCTTATATTTGTCAGATTTAATTGAAACTTTCATCAGTTGCTTCTCTGATTTTTCTACTTTCTTTTAGAGTAGATGTCTGTTTGGGTTGAATTTCCCTTTAAATTTCCCTGACCCACTGCTCTTAGAGAGACTTGGGGTAGTTATTGATGGGACATTGAAACTGATCACCATCCCCCTTTAAATTTGTTCTCTCCTCTCTGTTCATTGTGTTTAGATGGCTGATGCATTTGAGATAATGCTGATTAGTGTACTCTCAATCAAGCTCAAGTGTGAATGGAAGCTATCGTCATGGCAACAAGCTCTATTTACTACAGTGGTGTTTGGAGGATATTTCTTGAGTGCTCCTTTGTGGGGTATGGTCGCAGATAAGCTGGGAAGAAGAACAGTAAGAAACTTATTTCCCATTTGTAGAGGTGTCGTGGTCGAGTGGAATATATGTCACCGGACTGTTGATCGCAAGGTCCGCGGTACGAGTCCCGCCGCTGCACTAATGTCCTTTGGCAAGACATTAATCTAAATTTGCCACACTCGACCCAGATGTGTTGACTCACTACTCGGAAACTAAAACAACACTCATATTCTTGGTTTGAAATTAATATTTATGATAGATCTCAATATGTAGTTTATAATAATAATTCCTCCAATTTTTCTTCTATTACACGGCGTTCCACAAGGTTCTATCCTAGGTCCTCTACTGTTTTTTTAATTTACATTAATGATCTTACACATTCAGCTGCACCTCGCAGTTAAATGAAAGGCCTTCCCGCGTGGGTTTTTTAACACGGACCTGGCTTACTGGCAATTTTTTTTTTTAATTTTTTTTAAGGGCGAAAAAGAGGGCGGTTTATACACCGTTAATTACGGTAAGCAAAACTGGGAACTGGGTATGTTTTGTAATGAACTCACTTTGTACCTCTCTCATGCATTCTTTTTCAGACACTTTATTTATGTTCGTTCTACATATTCTACTTTGGAGCTCTGAGTTCGTTTTCTCCAAATTATTTCTGGCTTCTCTTCTTACGAGGACTGGTTGGGTTTGGACTGGGTGGAGCATCACAAGGGTATGAACAATGTTTCCTAAAAATGTCTTTCAATTGTCAAGAATGTGATTTCACTCGGATCTATGTTTGGATCTATGTAAAAATGTCTGTAAAAAGTTGAATTTTGAGCAGAATTGTTATCATTCATAGAGTGAATAGATTTGCCTTTTCTTGTTTTACATATTTCCTAGAGGCATTCAGGAGTACATGTACATGTATACCATGATTTTTACTGATTTGCTGCAACATCAATTTTAAAATGGCAGTGTTTAAGTCAATGTTAGCCATGCCCATAGGCCCTTTTGTTAACTACATGTAGGTATTTTGTTTCTTGTGCCCTTTGACAGATGTTTAACTGATGATGTTCAAGGCATGTCACATTTTGAATTTTTAAAGTGTATTTTTTTCGTTTTTATGTTGTTTGTTTGTTTGTTTGTTTTATTCTTTATTCTGGTCTAAAACTGTTTCTTGTTTGTTATTACACTCAGAATTGATTTTCTAATTTCATTCTTCTTTTCATGTTGAATGTGTAGTACCTGTAAATCAACCTGGAGAGTCTGGGTGGTACCTAAACACACTCTTGGGTTGTTTTAACTAGTATTTCCATGTTTTTGTTTTCATATTCGTTTTCCCTTTCCTTAATCTTGGTTAAAGGTAATACAAAGTTTTGGTAATATTTCAATAGGATTGGATTATGAAATTAATATTTGCATTACCATTGTGAAACCTAGTGTTAGAATAAGCAACTTAAAAAATATGGGCTCTAAAACACTAAGGATTTCAGGAAATTAAAATATCAAATTTATCGGTGCTCCCGATAAATTTCAAATAGCGCCTACGACAATGGTAGCTGCGACCATGAAAATCTTGGAATAAACATTTCTGATATATAATTTCCAAACAGGAATAGCAAATTGGTCGAATTTAGCCAAGAAACATCGTTTTGAAGCGAAAGTAATATCAATCTTGAGAAGGAGCTATACAACATAAAGAGTTGTTTATTCACAATTTCATCACTTTGATTTCAACCGTGACAACGATCATTGAATATTGTAGAATCGCATTTGCTTCCATTTGAACCAAATTCATGACCCCATACCAAAACTTTGCATTACTACCTTTAATATTGGGATATATTGGGATATATGTCATAGGGACCTTTGTTGTGTAAAAGATTACTTTCTTGTTTCATTCTCTCATCTCCATCCTTTGTGTACGTTTGTTTATTTGTTGTTGTTTTTAGAGTGACAATTTTAGCAGAATTCTTACCTTCCAAGACGAGAGGACTGTGCCTTGTATTTATTTCTGTGAGTAGACAAGTGGAGGTAGATTTGAATAGTAGTAATAATACAATAATTATAATGATCATGAGAATCCTGCAAAATCTTAGATGGGTTATGATGGATGCATGTTGAACAAAGTTGATAGGATTATATTTTAGTTACCAAAGAGAGATACATGTACATGTAGGATACTGGTTTGGTGAGCATCAGAGTCAATTATTTTTTCCCATCAAGTTCATCTGGTAAGTTTGTTACACTTTGTTTTAAATTTGGTGTTTCAGTCAAACAAACCATTATTGTAGAGGTGTTGCGGCCTAGTGGATAAGTCACCAGACTGCAGATAACAAGGTACAGGGTTCGATTCCCAGCCCAGCACTAATGTCCTTTCCATTTTGTATCTGGTGTTCTTCCACACTTGCATAATAACGATGATAACACTCACAAATTTTTTCACCTCTTATTATTGATACCCTAACCAAGTTTTGGAATGTTTAAGTATATGAACGATTGATATGCCCCAATGTATGTTTCTTAAGAATGTAACATATGAAAGCTAAAATTTAAAAGTATTCAACAAAGGCCCTAATTCAACCAGTCCACCTTTCATTATTAAGTTACGTAAAACACAAAAAATGTCAAATTTACAAGGGGAATGAATAATTTATAGTTGTTAAATATACATAATATAGATATCATAATTTATGCAGGACAGTAATAGAGCCCAAGGTCCATGCTCATACCATTATTTTTTGTTATTAAATCTACCATAATCCGTTGAAGAATGATGCAGGTACATGCATTCTACTAATGTAGTGACTGTACTACATTGTATGATGTGAGTATCCAGTACTCACAGACAGATCAAAGTAAAATAAATTGATTTGTTCATATAAACGTATGATGACTTCATGCTACTAGAGAGGATTTAATCCTTACATGTTCTTGGTTCATAGTGGACATCTTCTCCAGATATTGTACCGGTTGTAAATAAGATAAATCGCTGTAAATCACTTAGAGACATCTTTGCTGTATTAAGCAGTATATTTATTGTGTCATAGTACCATATTATATTATCCATCTGATTAATTTAGGTAGGATGAATTCATATCAAATTGAAAGAGACAATTGACATGAATAGTGTAGGGGTAAGGGTTGTAAAATGTATAGCATTTTTTTGAAAATCTTGAGCTACAAAAATTAAAGACAATCCTTTATCAACAAAGCCAAATGTGCAGTCTATACTTTTCATGTCGAATTTTCTTGTGATTGTTTTTATTTGTATTTCAAGGTATTCTGGGTGACAGGAGTCTGCTTGCAAGTGATAATATCAATGATTGTTGTGCCGACGCTTGGTTGGAGATACCTCATGTTCTTCTCATCGCTTCCACTTTTAATCTTCATGCTATTTCTCAAGGTATTTAGGTGTTCAAAATTGATATCTCTCACATTTTTAACCTGGAATAAATTGGAGTGGATTGGAGTGGCGTAGTGTGAATTATATTATTATTCAAATAATGTATGGATACTATAATCCAATTGTGTACATGTGGTTGGAATGCAGATAAGATTATGATTAAGATGTAAAGCACCAGGAGAGGAATGTCAGTCTGTAGCTAATAATTCTTCTGTAAAATTTAGTATTAGTTCACATCACTCTTTTATTCAATTTAGAAATTAGAAAGGAGAAATAGGTTCGTTTTATATATTCTTAATCAGTATTGTAAATAGTGATTTGAATAGTAAAATTTATAAAGGAGAGTACTACGGTACCTGTTTATGTATGAAGTTAGCTTGATTAAGATTCAAGACATGTTCACATTGATGGACCGATAATGGAACTTTTCTTCTCATTTTAGTTTAACAAAATTATACAATGAAACCAGAACATTTTACAAATTGTTTTTACATGGCAAGAAACTTTCATGGAATGCAAAAATACAATGTTGATTCGGTTATTCGGTTATCTTGCAGTATGAACTTTCACCAATCAAAAGTCAGAACTTTATGCAGAATTCATAAAAAATTCATGCACTCTACCATATTCTAAAGTACTTTGGTGGTGGTGGTTATTTTACCTGACTGCTTCCTGGTTCCTGGTTTTTACATGCATTTTATTCAAAATCTAATTTGCTCTACTAATGACTTAACATTACACTCACATTTCTTCTCAGTTTGTAAACTTTGTAAAAAAAGACTTAATTATATTTATTTGATTAATTTCAGTTTGTACCAGAGAGTATCCTATTCCAGCAAGGCATGGGGAATATGACGGGGGCCATGAAAACTCTTAAGATGATATCTCGGTTGAACAAAAGACCACTACCTCCTGGACGTCTTAAAATCAGTGTTGAAATTGTAAGTTGAGTTCAGGTCAGTTCTCTTTTAATAATACTCCACGATGTCTTAAATTCAATGTTGAAATCGTAAGTTGATTTCAGTTCAGTTTTCTAACTCCACAATGTCTTAAAATCAATGTTGAAATCTAAGTTGACTTTAGTTCAGTTCTCTAAACTCTGTTATGTCTCAATGTTGAAATCGTAAGTTGATTTTAATTCAGTTCTCTAACTCCACTAAGTCTTGGCGATCCAACTTTACAGGTTCTCGCAACCTTCATGGAAAGCCCTGCATATAACCTTTGTAAATCTAGTTAATTTTCTGTTACCTTGTATAATTTGATTTTTATATTGCGAAATAAATTGAATTGAATTGAATTGAAGTCTTATAATCAGTGTTGAAATCATAATTTTGTTTCAATTCAGTCTATCTATTTCAAAGACATCTTAAAAAGCCATGTTGTTGATATCGTAAGCTGGTTTCAGTTTGACATTTATTAACTTGTAGACTGAAATTATATAAGGACTGGAGAATGTGATAATCAACTTTAATATCAGTAGAGTTACATTGTGTTTTGGTGTTAATACATGTTGTTTCTTCACCTTCATATTTGTATGAGCTAGAAACCAAAAGGAAAGATTACAGAACTGTGTAAAACCAAATCTTTAACAACATCCACCTGCATTCTATTAGTGTTATGGTGAGTGTAGTCTTTAACTCTTATCCTGCCGTAATGAATACAGCCCAGTGCCACAGGGCTATAATCCCCATTGTGCCAGGCCACAAATCCCCCCTGTGCCAAGTTTTATGGTTAGTGTACTATCTTTAACAAACTTTCCTCTGGGCTTCATACTTGTATCTGCAAGGACATACCAAAAGTTATTGGCTGGGTTTTATTTAACAGGTAAAATATAATTTCTATCCCTTTTTGTATTCAAATGAAGTGATTATATGACGTTTGTTATATTATTTTATCTTGTGTACACATGTACTTAATAGTCTGTTTTTTTTTAACGTGGAACTATTAGAAAATTTTAAGAAAAAATAAATCTAAATTTGAAAAATGATTAACAAACTGTAGTTTATTTGAGATTTTATGAAAAATTAGTTACATGACTATTACTTTAAAAAAGTGTTGTTTTTTTTTAATAACATTTTGTGACGTATGTTTACTTGTATTTATTTGCAGGTTTTTTACTGCCTTTTTATACTATGGTATAGTTCTCATGTCTACTGAATTGTTTTCATCAGGGAATACATGTGCATGTAAGTTCAATTCCTATTCTACACAGATCTGTTAATTTATTCAGAAGTCCTTCTAACAGGACATGTTTGTATGATGATGCTGGTATAGAGATTTTGATGGATTTATAATGGATGAGCTGTGCATATACCATACGGCATCAATAGAGAAAATCAAGGTTGTTTGGATTTTGTGTATTTATTATATTAACAACAAGTTACTGCAGTGTACCTTTTACAATTTGGCTTGGATCCAAGTTAGGAAATGGCAAAGACGTGGCTTTCAGCAATCGTCACAGATAATGCATGATCTCAATCCTGGGTGAAAGTAGCCATTTATATCAAGATGCTTCCAAAAGACATTGAAGCTGTCACTGGGACCTGAACCATGTAACATTTCATCCACTCACGGTCTGTTCATGATTTATCTACTAGACCGACATACCTGTTTTTGTCATTTTGGATAAGTTTGTTTGATATTGTGTTTGATTTGTAGCTGAACCTGAACCAGACCTGGTATGTTTTGCTGGATGTAGAACACTGGATAGAAAAGGATATCTTGAAATTCTTGTCACTTCATTAGCAGAATACCCTGGTAATTTATACATACAATATATACTTATTTCTTACATTGTGCAAACTACATTACAAACTGATTGCTTATTATTGTGCACACTACATTACAAACTGATTGCCTATTGCTAACTGTAAAATAAGGGACAAATATTGACCAGTGCACTTTATATAGTTATTTAACATTAAATAAATTAAGATGTAGCAGGGTTATTACCTACACTGTAGATATACATGTATGGATAGGCAAAGCAATAGCCCCCTCTGTAGAGAGAGAGAGAGAGAGAGAGAGATCTATGTTTAGGGAGACATGCTGGTAGAAAGATGAATTATAACTGATTGTAAATACAGAGAGAGAGAGAGAAAGGAAATGAGAGTTGTGTTTAACAGCTTAGCTTGGTCAATCATAGCACAGGGTAGGATAGTTATACACCAAATTATACCCCTTCCCCCTCCCCCCTCCCCCTCCCCCTCCCCCCCTTATCCCTTTCCCCCTTCCCCTCCCCTTGCCCCTCCCCTTATCCTTTTCTCTTTCCCCCTTTCCGCTCCCTTATCCCTTTCTCCCTTCCCCTTTCCCCTCCCCTTTCCCCTCCCCTTATCCCTTTCTCCCTTCCCCTTTCCCCTCCCCTTTCCCCTCCCCTTTCCCCTCCCCTTATCCCTTTCACCCTCCCCCTTCCCCCTCCCCTTTCTCCTCCCCTTATCCCTTTCTCCCTTCCCCTTTCCCCTCCCCCTTATCCCTTTCTCCCTTCTCCTTTCCCCTTTCTCCCTTCCCCTCCCCTTCCCCCCCCCTTATCCCTTTCTCCCTTCCCCTTCCCCTCCCCTTTCCCCTCCCCTTATCCCTTTCTCCCTTCCCCTTTCCCCCTCCCCTCCCCTTATCCCTTTCTCCCCTCCCCTTTCCCCTCCCCTTATACCTTTCACCCCTCCCCTTTCCCCTCCCCTTATCCCTTTCTCCCTTCCCCTATCCCCTCCCCTTTCCCCTCCCCTTTCCCCTCCCCTTTCCCTCCCCTTTCCCCTCCCCTTTCCCCTCCCCTTTCCCCTCCCCTTTCCCCTCCCCTTTCCCCTCCCCTTTCCCCTCCCCTTTCCCCTCTCCTTATCCCTTTCACCCTCCCCCTTTCCCCCTCCCCTTTCTCCTCCCCTTATCCCTTTCTCCCTTCCCCTTCCCCCTCCCCTCCCCTGATCCCTTTCTCCCCTCCCCTTATCCCTTTCTCCGTTCCCCTTTCCCCCTCCCCTTATCCCTTTCACCCCTCCCCTTTCCCCTCCCCTTATCCCTTTCTCCCTTCCCCTTTCCCCCTCCCCTCCCCTTATCCCTTTCTCCCCTCCCCTTATCCCTTTCACCCTCCCCCTTTCCCCCTCCCCTTTCTCCTCCCCCTATCCCTTTCTCCCTTCCCCTTTCCCCTCCCCCTTATCCCTTTCTCCCTTCCCCTTTCCCCTTTCTCCCTTCCCCTTCCCCCTCCTCTCCCCTTATCCCTTTCACCCTCCCCCTTTCCCCTCCCCTTTCACCCTCCCCCTCCCCCAAATCAAAGGAATAGGGAATGGATACATGCATATTTGAATTAAAATTATATGAACGCATTTTGTTTTTCACGTTGATGAATATTTTAGGACTTAAAATTAATCTTTTCCCCTTTCCCCTTTCTCCCTTCCCCTTCCCCCCTCCCCTCCCCTTATCCCTTTCACCCTCCCCCTTTCCCCCTCCCCTTTCTCCTCCCCTTATCCCTTTCTCCCTTCTCCTTTCCCCTCCCCCTTATCCCTTTCTCCCTTCCCCTTTCCCCTTTCTCCCTTCCCCTTCCCCCCTCCCCTCCCCTTATCCCTTTCACCCTCCCCCTTTCCCCCTCCCCTTTCTCCTCCCCTTATCCCTTTCTCCCTTCCCCTTTCCCCTCCCCCTTATCCCTTTCTCCCTTCCCCTTTCCCCTTTCTCCCTTCCCCTTCCCCTCCCCTTTCCCCTCCTCTTATCCCTTTCTCCCTTCCCCTTCCCCTCCCCTTTCCCCTCCCCTTATCCCTTTCTCCCTTCCCCTTTCCCCCTCCCCTCCCCTTATCCCTTTCTCCCCTCCCCTTTCCCCTCCCCTTATACCTTTCACCCCTCCCCTTTCCCCTCCCCTTATCCCTTTCTCCCCTCCCCTTTCCCCTCCCCTTTCCCCTCCCCTTTCCCCTCCCCTTTCCCCTCCCCTTTCCCCTCCCCTTTCCCCTCTCCTTAACCTTTCACCCTCCCCCTTTCCCCTCCCCTTTCACCCTCCCCCTTTCCCCCTCCCCTTTCTCCTACCCTTATCCCTTTCACCTCCCCTTATCCCTTTCTCCCTTCCCCTTCCCCCCTCCCCTCCCCTTATCCCTTTCTCCCCTCCCCTTTCTCCCCTCCCCTTTCCCCTCCCCTTATCCCTTTCTCCCTTCCCCTTTCCCCCTCCCCTCCCCTTATCCCTTTCTCCCCTCCCCTTATCCCTTTCACCCTCCCCCTTTCCCCCTCCCCTTTCTCCTCCCCTTATCCCTTTCTCCCTTCCCCTTTCCCCTTTCTCCCTTCCCCTTCCCCCCTCCCCTCCCCTTATCCCTTTCACCCTCCCCCTTTCCCCCTCCCCTTTCTCCTCCCCTTATCCCTTTCTCCCTTCCCCTTTCCCCCTCCCCTTTCTCCTCCCCTTATCCCTTTCTCCCTTCCCCTTTCCCCTCCCCCTTATCCCTTTCTCCCTTCCCCTTTCCCCTTTCTCCCTTCCCCTTCCCCTCCCCTTTTCCCCTCCCCTTATCCCTTTCTCCCTTCCCCTTCCCCTCCCCTTTCCCCTCCCCTTATCCCTTTCTCCCTTCCCCTTTCCCCCTCCCCTCCCCTTATCCCTTTCTCCCCTCCCCTTTCCCCTCCCCTTATACCGTTCACCCCTCCCCTTTCCCCTCCCCTTATCCCTTTCTCCCTTCCCCTTTCCCCTCCCCTTTCCCCTCCCCTTTCCCCTCCCCTTTCCCCTCCCCTTTCCCCTCTCCTTATCCCTTTCACCCTCCCCCTTTCCCCTCCCCTTTCACCCTCCCCCTCCCCCAAATCAAAGGAATAGGGAATGGATACATGCATATTTGAATTAAAATTATATGAACGCATTTTGTTTTCACGTTGATGAATATTTTAGGACTTAAAATTAATCTTTTCATCATTTCATACAGGGACCATCGTGACATTCATAATAATCGAATGGTTTGGAAGAAGGAAGACTATAAGCTTTGAGATGTTTGTGGCCAGCATATTCTCTTGTCTTCTCTTTCTCTGCACATCAAGGTTAGATAACAATTCTAATTCAAATATAATTTAAAAATCATCTTTATTTTTTTTTTGGATGCGAACCCCGGAGGGATACTCAGATTTGGTTTGGACGGGTATGTATCGCTCAAACCTCGAAATCCCTGCCCGTTTTTAAGGGTCATTTGGGGGGATTTTTCTTGAAGTAACGCTCATTTTCCACAGTTTTGGAGTGTTTGCCATGCAAACCTTGGAAATTTTGAAAAACAGACCCATGTCTAGGGATATTTTTGTTGAAAATAGGACCCATGTTTAGGAGATTTTTGTGGAAAAGTAACACAGATCTAACAACTGATCAAATGGGGGGGGGGGGGGCAGGGTATTTGGCTTCTTTATCCCTATTACAGGCCTGATAAAAACCCGATTTAAATCGGTTTCCCGATTTTTTTTATTTTTCCCGATTTTTTACCGATTTTTTTTTTCTTCCCGATTTAAAAAAAAAAATTAAAAAAAAAATCATTTTTTTTTTTTTTTTTTTTTTTTTTTTTACCAATTTTTTTTTCCTTCCCTATTTTATCCTGATTTTCCCGATTTCCCTCTTATTATCTCTATTCTTCCCTATTTTTCCCCAATTTTCCCCCCAATTTTCCCCCCAATTTTCCCAAGTTTGTCTCAATTTTCTTACTCGAAAGGGAGGAATGTTGTTAGATGCCATTTTTTCCCTGCGAATCGTCTTTTTTTTTTTTTACTCAAGGGGGGCGTGGTTGAGGGGAAAACAAAAAACCTATTTTTTTTTTAGTGCTCACTATCACCCCTGCTATTAATAACCCAATGGCACGCAATCTGGTAGCGATATTAGTTTTGTGACTATAGTTGAATCTCATAGTGTGAGCATGGAGATCCATGGTGTGAGGTTGGCTTATTAGTTAGCACCTTTACAAATTTGTAATCAGATTTTGCTTCAGTAAAAATGACACCTGGCTGGAATGATCCCCAGGGAGTGCATTGTGTTCGGGTAAGCCTGGATCCGATATACATGTATCTGTAAGGCGCTTTGAGAGGGCCTTCGGTCCTGAAAACGCTATATAAGAACTAGCTATTATTATTATTATTATTATAATCTTGAATGGAGAAATAATGTGCAAGTACAAACAGTAGTTGTGTACAGACACCATTCTTGTATACACTGTACATGAAAGCAAATTTTACACTTGTTTCTTTACTTCCGTTAGTATATAGTCTGGACTTTTGGCAATCTTCATATTCTTCATCTACATGAACATATATTGGACAGGTATCAAGTCTATTACGTGTTTACATTTCTTTTTTTGTTGTAATCTTGCAGTAATATACAGATGGCATTCATCTTCATCGTACGAGCTATGATAGGTGGTACCTTCCAGACATTATACGTCTATACACCAGAGGTTAGTATCAATTTTTACTATAGAATGGATGTATACATTACATTGGAATTTTTTTTATAGGGAAAAGGCCCCAATAGTAAATAGGTGAAACAGTTTTGCAGAAAGATTTTTATGATAGTTAATGAGATCATAAAGATGGGTAAATGCGCCTCTTTTCCAGTAGTTTCCTGTGAAGATCTACTCTTAGTATGTGGAATTGTTGATTATTCCATAGCTAAGAACCGCTTAGGAGGGGAGGAGGGGGGGGGGGGGGTGTAGAGGAGGAAGGGTTCCTTAGCAGTAAAGCAAGATAGAGAACCCGACATCGTAAGTCACTACGCTTTCATACCTCAACATGTTGGGAAGTTTACTTTGTCCTTTGAAAAGACTTGTTTCGTTAAAAGACCTGGGGGCGTTTCACAAAGACTAAGATCCACTTTAAGTTTAACTTAACTATGGCAGGCCTTTAATGCCACTATTTTCTTTCACCATTTACTGGCATTGGTCACTGAAGGGACTTACGAATCATGGTTACAAATCTACAGAATTTACATTTTTGATAGTTCGTTATTGAAAGAAAAAATATTAAAAGATCATGATTGTGAGAGTAACCAGTGGCATGAACAACCTACCATAGCATAGTCCAACTTAAAGTCGATCTTAGTCTTTGTGAAACACCCCCCTTGTTTTGTTAACTTCAGGATTACATGTATCTCTGTACCACTGCTGATTATCTATGCTTGCTCCTTACTTTGAATCTTGGGGTCATCGCATCCGAAAGGGTGGTTGCATTACATGACCTTTTTTTGTGAAACGAAAACTGAAGATCATGTGAAGATGCACTTTAAGGATGCAACCTTTCAAAGATTTGCTGGAGGGTTTCCACAAAGTGTTGGACCAGACCATTTGTAGATGAGAGGGGTTGATTTCACAAACATTACCCCCTACATTTCATGAATCTAGGGGGGGGGGGATGTTTTCACAAAAGGTGAGGTAACCTTACCACCTGACTTGTGTCCGGATGATTTCACAGTACCGGTAAGCCGTCCCAGTCTTTGTATCTATGCTCACACTTTGCTGTAGATCAGGGGGGTTTCACAAAGATCCTAAGTCAAACTTAACTCTAAGTTAGACTTGAAAAATATGGAGAGCCATATTTGTAGCCTCAAAATAAAATGTATTTAACAGTGAAAATTCAAATATTTTTGACATCAAGAACATGAAATCTCCCATGATAACAGGAAAAAATGAATGATTAGAATCAACATTTTATGCCTTTTAAAATAATTTGTACAAAATATTTTCAAAGGTGCTAATGGCTTTCCATAATTGTTAAGTTCAACTTAGGATCTTTGTGAAACACCCCCCAGGTCTCAGTCATGGTTAAAGTTACACTGGCAGAATATACATCATTATGAAGGATGATGATTTATTGAAACCTGGGTATATCAAGAGTAATAAGAAAGATGAATAGATAGATGTGAGACCCAGCTTGGAATTATCTCTTAAATTGAGAGTTTGTTATAATAATATTGCTCTTTGAAAAGCAAGCTCAGCTGCATCAACAGTCCAGTTTAAATATTAACAACTCTGGTAATTTTGCTCATAGGTTTGGTTGGAATTTGAGACCAAACTAGCAAAACAATGGAATGCAGTGTGACTAGAAGTTGTTGGTATTATTTAGATGGCATTCATCATTGTATTCTGCTCATCTGCTTTTCTTTGTCAGGTGTATCCAACCCATGTGAGAGCATTGAGTCTTGGTGTATGTGTCTCCGCATCAAGAATAGGAGCTATTCTTACCCCCTTCGTAGCACAGGTGAGAAGTTCTCCAGTGCAAATAATGAAAAGATACTAGATTTTAATAGTCAAACATAGGTGATTCAACAGAGCTAACAAGATTTCACGATTTTCCAGCGTAGAAAATACTGATTATTGTGTCATTCTTTTTATATCTATTTAAGAAATATTGATTCCCTCAAAAATGACTGATTATCTGGTATTGCAAAATCGAAATATTCCAGTGAAAGTTGGCATGATCTTGAAAACATAGTGTCAAAACACAGTTGCATGTTAAAGCCCCACTGCACTACTTATAGCTGTTGCGCCCTCTTAATAGCAAACAATGCCTAATCGGTGACTATTGGTTCCCCCATGCTCCTCTTTTTCTTATTTTATTTGAGAGCTGATTTGATGAGATAATCACATGACCATTCAGGGAGGTCATGTTAGATGTACCTTAGTAGCTTCGCAAAATTAATGGCACAAAACCTTGTCTGGAAGGAATGATTAGTTCAAACTCGTATGTACATGTCTTGGCTAGTATAAGTGCTGTCCTCAAATACTGTGCAACACTTGTTTGTGAATGAGCACATTTGGTTCTTGTTTCTTCTCTTTTTAGGTATTGATAAAGCGATCTGTGGTGACAGCCATCTCTGTGTATGTAAGCTTCTCTATTCTCTCGTGTGTGATGTCATTGTTTCTACCCATCGAAACAAAAGGAAAGATTCTCCAGTAACAAATATCTCTATATATAGAAAGTAAATACTTATCTGTGCTTCTTAAGCTCGTCGTTTGGTCTGAACTATCTGAATTCATATACGGTACTATTTAGATTTATCAATAGATTATTTATTTTACATTAATTTTTATATCTATAAATTCACTGCCGTTGTTTAAAAGTATATATACTTAATGGATTCCAGGGTATAACATGATAGGTACGGTAGTGCATTTTTTTCATTTATCTGTCATTTTTTAATTTTTAAATTTTTATTCCTATTAATTGGTATAAAATTTGGTATTGAGAGGTACACTACTGCCTAAATGTTTTAGCACCGGGCCATCCAGGTCCATAAAGTTTAGGCAGTTGTATATTATATCAACATGTAGCCATGAGAAATATACTTTATTTTCTTTTATGGATTTCTAACTTGATTTATGTTAAAGGTAATACAAAGTTTTGGTATATGGTCATGAATTAGGTTCAAATGAACATATTTGAAGCATATGCGAGTCTACAGTATTAAATGATCGTTGTCGCGTTTGAAATTGAGTGTTAAGTTATGAAATTGTAAATAATAAACCCTTTATGTTGTATAGCTCCCTCTCTAGGTCAAGATATTAATTCAGCTATAAAACAATGTTTCTTGACTTAAATCGGCGACTGAATAGCTATTCCCTTTTGGAAATTATATATCACTACTACATATTTTGAGATTTTCATGGACGCAGCTACGGCCGTAGGCGCTATTTGAAATTCATCAAAATTTACCGGGAGCACCGGTAAATTTTGATATTCAATTTTTCTCGAAAGCAGTAGCGTTTTTATAGTGGCTAAATTTTCTAGTGCCTATATTACATCCACAGGGGCATCCAAATATATCAAAATTGTAAAGAATCACTATCCACCCAATTTTCAAATTTTTCCAAAACTTTGTATTAAATTTATTGCTATTAAAGTGCAATATGCTATCTGAATACTGTGCAAAAGACAGTACTAATTAGATGTAAACCTGAGCGTTGTCAGCTCTAACACTGCATATATCAAAGTCTTTCATTCTTGTTGTTTAGTACAGTGTTGATGTAATATATCTTGTTAGGTATGATATTGTGCAGTAAGTCTTGAAATGAGGAGGTAGTTTAAAAGCTAACTATTGAGAATAAAATGGTTCTTCTCATAGTTATCTGACAACCTCAGCAGATATCTTCGTGGATCGTCAGTTGCGCACTACTTGGTCAGCCTGCTCAACACCATCCACAGAGGGCTTGACAAGGGTGGCACTCTCGCTAACCTCTGCGTTGTGGATTTTTCTAAAGCTTTTGATCATGTCAACCACACCATTGTTATGAACAAGTTGATCGACTTGAGTGTTGATCACTCTATCATCCCTACTATCTGCAGCTTCCTTTCCAACAGAGCGAAGACTGTCCGCTACCATGGGAAATCCTCTTAACAACAAGCCATCACCTGTGGGGTACTCGCCTCGGACCGGTCCTGTTTCTGGTCCTTATCAACGATGCAGCTCTTGAAAGTGATAACCGATGGAAATATGTGGATGACTTGACAATCATGGAGGTCTTGAAGAAAACGCATCCATCTGAATTGCAGTCGCATCTAGACTCGTTGATCCAATGGTGCAAAGACAACGACGTTGTCCCTAATGCTGCTAAGTGTAAAGCTATGCAGATTTCATTTCTTCGCCGGCCCCCGCCACCAATCGTTCTTGACATCAACTCTACCACACTAGAAGCTGTCTCATCCCTTAAGGTCCTAGGGGTCTTCCTTCAGGATGATCTCAAATGGGATGGGCAGGTCAACCGTTTGATCTCCAACGCTTCCAGAAGACTTTATCTCTTGACTAAGCTTCGGAGGAATGGTGTTACCACCACGGATCTTGCTACTATCTACATGTTAGAATTTGCAGCACCTGTTTGGACATCAGGGATCACAAACAACCACTCTGTAAGCATCGAGCGAGTTCAGAGGAGAGCTCTCAGGATTATTACCTACCCTGACTCTAGAACTTATGATGAACTGCAATCTCATCTTTGTGTCTCCTCTCTTAAAGAGAGATGCACATCCCTTTCTCTAAGATTTGCAAAATCACTTCACCAATCTAAGGTTCATCGACATCTCCTGCCTGAGAGCAGAGTCAATGACTGTAGCCGCATTCTGCGAAATGCACTTGATTTGTCCTTGCCTAAGATGAGAACTACGAGGTACCGAACTTCCCCCATCCCATCTTTCACTCGATCCTTGAATAATAATAAATAGAGGCTTAGGTAATTATCAGTATGTTGTATGTCATGTATTTCAGCAATAATATAATTATGTGCAATATTAATTGTCATGATGATTGGCACAGCAGGTTCTTCCATTCATTCATATTTTGATGTTGCATGTACTTTTATCCTTCCTCTCACTCTCTCATCCCTTTTCTCTATCTGAACTTACCACTTTTCAAATTTCCTTTTCTTCTTCAGTTCTGGTCTTTCCTCTCTATTTCTATTTCACTCCCACCCCCTCTCTCTCAGCTCTGTCTCTCTGTCTCTCTCTCTCTCTCTCTCTCTCTTTGCTCTCTCTCTGCCTCTTCTTCTTCCTCCCTTCGTCTCTCCTTCCTCCCCTCTGTTTCTCTCTCACACTTTCTGTCCCTCCCTCCTCCTCTCCACCTCTTTTCTCTCATAATGTTTTACAGTACAACATTCTATAATTATATGTTATTTTTACTGTGACCAATAACACCTGAGGAATTCCATTTCTTTTTGAAAATAATGATAAATTGAGGCTTAGGTAATTATCAGTATGTTATATGTCATGTATTTCAGCAATATAATTATGTGCAATATTAACTGCCATGATGATTGGCATAGCGGGTTCTTCCATTCATTCGTATTTTGATATTGCATGTACTTTTATCCTTCCTCTCACTCCCTCATCCCTTTTTTCTATTCGAACTTGCTACTTTTTAAATTTCCTTTTCTCTTCTTCAGTTCTGGTCTTTCCTCTTTATTTTTATTTCACTCCCATTCCCTCTCTCTCAGCTCTATGTCTGTCTCTTTGTCTCTCTCTCTCTCTCTCTCTCTGCTTCTTCCTCTTACTCCCTTCGTCTCTTCTTCCTCCTCTCTGTTTCTCTCTCTCACTTTCTGTCTCTCCCTCCTCCTCTTCACCTCATTCTCTTCTGATGTTGTTTTACAGTACAATATTCTTTAATTATCTGCTATTCTTACTGTAGCCAATAATACCTAAGGAATTTCATTGTTCTCATGTGCAATATGTTTATACATTATACTGTACTCATATCACGCTTGTGATTAGCACACTGCCAAGACTCCAATTGTAATACTTCTTAATACTTTTTAATACTTTTTAATACTCACTATACCTTCTGAATGGAATTTGTATTATAGTATTAATGACTGCTTTGAGAGAAATAGTTGTTTTTATACGCTCAAGAGAAGGTTAGAATTGTGCTATTGCCCCGAGGCGTGCCGAGGGCAATAGCCCAATTGTAACCTTCCCGAGAGCGTATAAAAACAACTATTTCTCGAATATTAAAGCAGTCATTAATACTTTTATATGCCAAAAAAAAAATAGACTAAAAAAAAAAAATAAAAAATAAAAAAACTTTTGTCGAAGATGGGATTCGATCTCTTGCGTACAAAAGGTGATGTAACTAAAGTCAGCGCCTTATACCGCTCGGCCAACGCGCTCTGTTAACATATTTTGCAGTTTTCTCTACTATATATATAGATTAAAATGGATTGAAAACGGCTTCGAGTGGTGGATGCTTCGCGGCTGCTCGATTAAACGGGCCCTTCTTTTACTTTTGCAATGCATATTGGCACGAACTTAGATCAAGATCTATCGGCAGATGTTGTTTTTTTGTTTTTGGAAGTTTATTTTCGTCTTCATGTCAACAATGCAAGATAAAATTGTCGGTAAGATCGATCGAGATTCAATTGTATTGAAATTATCGACCAATTCTTCGCACACATACGGTAGCCTCGATCGCTCAAACCATATTTTTAACATGTAAACCTATGGGGTAACCATGGAGACTGACCTATTTTCCCAATAACCATGGTTATTGGGAAAATAGGTCTGTTTTTACAGGAACAGTTAAAGTTTATGAATGCAATTTCGACCAATCAGATTGCTGGATTAATTAAGTGAGGTATATAATGCATTTTATTACAATTTTTCCAATGTTACAGTTAATTGAATTCACGTATCTGTATACATTTTATTTGTTTAAATGTAAACATTTATTCATTTTTGCTAGCAATATTTCATATCTTGTATTTTTTTTTTTTTTTTTTTTTCTTGTTACTACTTTAATGTTTTGATTTAAAAATGTATTCATTGTTATATATTCGTCCTCATTTGCTATGTTATCTTTATGTTTTTGAATGCTTTTTATATTGATGTAAACTTGCATTTTTAGTCTTCGGACTTGTTGACAAGTAATGAATAAAACCTTATTTGAACTTGAACTTGAACTTGAAAGATATCTAGGGGGTGTAGTTGACCATGCCCCGTAAACGATGAATGTCGTCCTTGCAGGTTGGACGACTCATGTTTAAGATTTTTGATGAATCTGGTTTGAGTCTAGAGCTAGATACTAAGGGGCCTAGAAATAAAATTTTATTCAGTCAGAATTGGCATTTCTTCTTGTTCAAAACTATGCCAACAGCATAGTAATATAAAAGTAGAAAGCAATTCAATCCATGTATTTATAAAGCACCAATATCTGGTTGCCTTATCAAAGGGGCTGATGAGACTGAAAAACTACCAAAAATGTCTGTTCATGATTCTAACTGGGAAAGACAAAAAAAGCAGTGACTAATTGTAAGCAATATGAAATAGGTATGTCTTTAGTTGAGTGCTGAAAGTGGATTCAAGATAAACCAAGGTGTATCAGGCCGGGTTAAATGTATCATGCATGCAAATACACTTATCTCACCACTGCCACCATGTTTCTATATCGTTTTATTAGCATTTATAAGGGTCATTAGAGTATTGTTAACAGTGAGGCTGTATGCTGCCTTCTTCTGATATAAACATTGTAAGTCTTTCTTTTCTTAAATCTCGTAAACAATTTTATCACAGACGGGACTACAATAAAGGGTTTGTTGGCTCGTTGGACGACCAACGGACATACGTGTACTACGTTTTGGTTGGGTATTTGAAAGTTAAGCCCCTCATTTTGTCGAAGTTCCAAGAAGGGCTTTCCATTGTATTAATCTGGTTGTTGATATGATTCAGAGTATCTTTCTTTTGTTTTTAGCTGCTGCCTTCACAAAAATTAAGGATCTTGGAAATAGCTTTCGGACACACGTACATGTTTGAACATACATTGCGCATGCATAATAAGCGTACTAGTGTATACTGTGTACTGGACGAGATCTGAAGTTTATTTTTGATAATTTGTTAACATGCATGGCCAAAAGACTGAATAAGATGAATTCAAGAAGATATGTTCACTTCCAAGTGTTCCTTAATGACATATTCTTTTCATTCTTTTTATTAGCTAGGAATTCTTTTGTAAGGTTTATATTTTCTACATAATTTCGATATTTATTGACTTCATATATAATATATTAACTAAAAAGTTATTTACTAAAACCATGTATACCGGTAATCATGACAATTATATGAACAAATTGTATGCAAGACATTTGTGCCTATGATCTAATGTCACTATCTTTATAATACTGATTTTGATAGGTGTACATGTATTAAATACAGGATATATTGGATATGGATTTCTGATTGTTATGAAAGTTTTGTTCCTTGTTTAGAGTGTACTTGATTTGACTTGCTTCTCTTGTATGTCCTATATAAGCCTACTCCGACTTTCTTAAATTAGTTTTCGAACTATTGCAGGGATTTTTTTCTTTCTTTTCAATAAACACAAAGTTGATGAAACAAAAAGAACTTGTGCCAAGATTTTTGACGGACATAAATCTCAATAAATAATTCAAATCCTATGAAAAAAGTATTGATCACAGACTAGACAAAGCTTGATTCCAAAGCTCGGTTCGAAAGCTCACCTCAAATTCTTATTTATTACCAATTGATTATTTACATTTTCAGTAAATTTGGCTTGGAGGAATAACAGTCGTGGTTAGCATTGATTTAGCTTTCTTGTATCATATGCTACTATAACATGAGTATTTTGGACTTTTAGTAAGAGGTAATTAAGTGGTAGGCCTATGTGGTATCAAGAATGCCCAACGTCTAGTGATGATAAGGCAGTACATGTTCTTGATCTTTGTTCTTGGATCAGAATTGTATTCTATGGCATTATCATAATGCTATTTTGTGACTATATGGTTTTATGAGATATACTTAGCATATGAGAGAGCCTACATTTATCCGTGGTAGTCCGTGTTTCAACTTTCATCCCATTATCCAGCAATTAATGATTGAAAAAAAAAGACTATTCCCCAAAATGGACTGCTAATAAGTGCTAGGAAAAAGACTGCTTAGTCCCCCAAAATAGACCATGTACCCTAAAGAGGACCCTATAAAAATAGACCTCCATCTACCCCCCCCCCCAAAAAAAAAGCCCTAACCTTAACCCGCACCATTACCCCCCCCCCCCCCCCCCCCCCCTCCCTATCTCTCTGCACGCCATTGATCTCATTTTTCAAAATCATATCTGCCATATTTTCCTCTTGCCTACCAATGCTCTCTCACACCCACCCCCTTCCCTCCCTCTTCCTCTCTCTCTCTCTCTCTCTCTTTGTAACTTTGTCTTTTTACTTCTCTCTACTGCTAGGTCGTTCAACTCCGTATCTCTTAAGTCTTTTTATCTGCATTTCTCATTCTTAATATTCTGTTTTGGTCTCTCTTTTTCATATTACAATAGGTTTTTATTGACTTTCAGTTGTTTCTACATAACTGTCTCCCCATCTCCTCTTATTTTTTCTCCTTGGCACATCGGTTTCTAATGTTCTTTCTTGACTTTCTTTATATCCGCTTCCACTCAGAATGCATGAATCCACTTTCCTTTCTCCTCCAAATTTTCTTTTTCTTTTTTTCTTGAAAAAAGTTTTTTTTTTTAAATTGTTTGATTGTTTATTGCATTATTTATTACATGTATTAATTTACTCAGTTGGTTTCGTGTAAGGATATAAATGACAGCAAGATTATGATAATTTACTCTAGTCCAGAATCTGGTTGATTTTATTTTAATAATATCTCCAATTACATGATGAAGATAGCGTGTCAAAGGGCGTCAAATTCGGGAATATGCATATTCCTCGCGTAATAGACCCCATAAGTCTATGCATACCGGTCCCTTTAAAGAAAAAGGTTGGTCTTGGCAACTTTTAAGAAGCTCTGGCTTATTTTGAAGAAGAAAAAAATTGGTTTGTGCAAACATGTTTTGGCTTTTGATTGGATCATGCAATAATTGGCCGATTTGTACTTTGCTCCAATTCATGTGTAGCACAGTCAATGTACAAGGCAATAATCCTCATTTACAAAGTCCTCCATGCAACAGAACTGAACAGAGTACCACTGAAATAATCAATGTTGCTGTAGAAATGGAGCTTATCAGTTGGTGGGAAAAAGGCACAAGTCAGTACCCAATGAAAGTTGTATAGAAAGGACAAAAAATGTATACAAAATTAAGAAACGGTCTTCAGTATAAAAGCGAGGTATTACAAGTTGCCTTGATTTATTTATTAATACTAGCTACACTGCTCATTTCAAACAATTTGAGGGCAGATAATTCTACTATCATGAATATATACAGAGCTGCCAACATTTGGTTTTTGTAATCAGGGAGATCTTTATGAAGCGAGCATTGTGAGTGAGCTATTGCGGGTGGGGTCCGGGCATTCTGCACTCCTTTTGTGCACAAATTGTTAATGTTATTTGAATATTTTGACAGTAAATTTGGGTATGATTTATAAGGAATCTGAGGTTTCTGAGATTCTGTGGCCCGATGGTGTTTTTATAATAGTAATTGAACATTTTCAACAAAATATGACCCCTTTTTGCATAAAAACAGGAGGGTTGGCAGCTCTGTATTTATATAAAACACTGATTACCTGTATATATATAAAATCTAGTTAACCCAGCACTAGCTGTGTGATGTAAAAGTAGAATGACAACCTTAAAAATGAATACCGGTATTTTAAAAGCTTAGTTCTAGGTGTGCTATCTCAACATTGATGACACTTCGACTGATGCAAATTTGAAGTATTGTTTTTATTACTCACAACTCCATTCCAATTGAGTTTGGACATTGTACATTTGCATCTATCTAAAAACATGACAAATGCGACTGCATCTCCTATATGCCTCAGCCCTAAATTCAGTTTAGGAAATGGATGGAATTATTTGTGACTATTCACAATGAAAAAGAAAAAAAAGCTATATTTACACATCAATTGACAACTACAATGTATGATCTTAGCCAGCTAGCCCAAAATATAATTCAAGCAGTCCTTGACATATTGTGATAACACAACTTATACCTCCAATTTCACAAATTGACCTTTATGACCTTTGAACATTGACCTACTTTCCAAATACCTATTCAGATTGTCTTCCGATGATGATACATAATAAATATCACCAAGTTTGAACCCCATATCTCTAGTGGTTCTCAACATAATGCAATACCGATACCTGGGCTTTAACCTGTAATTTCACACAGAAATCAGGGTCTTGGTAATACATATATTCACCAGGTTTGAGCCTTGTATCTCTGTCCATAAGCCCCACCTCCTTATGAATATGCATCAGAAAGCATGTCCAGGCTGTCCATAAGCTCCATCTACTTATGGGTATGAATCAGTAAGTATGTCCAGGCTGTCTATAAACCCCACCTCCTAATGAATATGCATCAGTAAGCATGTCCAGGCTGTCTATAAACCCCACCTCCTTATGAATATGCATCAGTAAGCATGTCCAGGCTGTCCATAAGCTCCATCTCCTTATGAATATGCATCAGTAAGCATGTCCAGGCTGTCCATAAGCTCCACCTCCATACTGCCCTTGAGCCTCTTGCCTCTGACTGACCGCCATACCTGGACCTCTAGGTGTAAGACTACCTTGTCTTCTGGGTGACGTACCACCGGACCCACCACCCTCTCTACTAGATCCTCTCTTCGATTGCTGCTGAGTCAATGTAGACTCTCGTATAACCTCCTGGAATTCTTTCAGATGTAGGCGATGTACTTCTCTTAGATCATCAGCAACTACAGAAAGGAGTAAGAACAACGTTTTCTGAACACTTTCTTAAGTGACCTGAAAGGGAAATCAAACCTTATTTATCATTATTATTGATTTATTTGTTCGGTATAAAAACATCAACGCTCAAAGTTCAGAAACTCATAATGGTTGATTTTCAATGAAATTGAATACCAGTAATTACCATACAATATTCAATGAATGAAGCCAGGCTGGCTACATGTAGCAAGACCAAAGCGAGAGAGGACAAGGAAATCGAGAAGAATAGAACTGACGAGGGACAGAGAAAGAGAGGGATAGAAAAGGGGAGGGGACCAAGAAAGAAAGAGGGGAGAGGGAAAAAGAGGGAAGGGGAATACAGAGGAAGAGTGAGGGAGAGGAGAGAGAGAGGGGAGAAGGGTATAGGGAGAGAAAGAGAGAGGGGTGGGGAGAGGGAAAGAGAGAGAGAGGGGGAGGGAGAGAGAGAGGGAAGGAGAGAGAAAAGCAAGAGAGAGAAAGAGAGAGAAAGAGGGAGGGAGATAGAAAGAGAGAGGGGAGAGATCATTAAAAGGCAAATCAGAAACAAGCAAAAAAACGTAGCATTAAAACCTTAATTGCAGGTTGCTCTAAAAAGAAACGTAGAAGTCAGAGAAGCAGAACGATGTAAATTTAAACATAATTTAACAAATCCTACTAGCTTAATAACTTTTACACACATTGTAATGATATATGTATGTTATAGAATACAATTCATACATTAGAAAGAAAAAAAATCTTAATCTGTCAAGCAAAGTTCATAGATTAACTTGAAAATTGATATTGTGATATAAGTTGGGTTTTTTCCCGAAAAATTTGAATGAATAAAAAAAATAGACAGTAGTCATATTCTCTTAAAATTAAAATAAGGTTTGGTTAATCCTACTAGCAGTTATCCTACTAATATCAAGCCATAGTTATTCACATATCAAATTATAAAAGTAAGTAAATTCCTTGGAATACTTTGTTTTATTTTTGCTCGTAACAAAAATGTTGTGTCCATAACTCATAGAGCAATTTGACAAACCAAAACGGGAGCAATTTTTAAAATTTAATTTAGATTATTATCCATTAACAGGTTCTCAGAATATCGTGATTACAAGCTATTGTTTATATAAACAATGTATGACCCTTTGATCTTTGACCTCATGATCCTAAAATCTAATCAGTTCATTGGCTCTGTAAGATACATACACATACAGTTTGATAGTAATCTATCTGTTGGTTCTGACAAGATCAGTTGAGACTTACCTAAACCACTGAAAGACCTCTCACACCCTTCAGTCACTACAATCTGTAAGAAATAAGCCATGGCGCCCAGGGCAATGACCCTCTCTCCCTTGCTTGACAGAGTATCAAAGTAATCCATGTTAACTTCAAAGGGATTCTTGGGGCAGGCCGAGTACAGAGCTTAACTAGCTCAGCTATTATCTGCCATACCTTCACATCTGAAAAAAACAATATATGCAAGATAAAAGTCATATTACATAGATACAGATTAATGATTCTGAACTAAAGGAACCCTTTCATTTTTTGCAAAAGAAAATGCAGGAAACCAGTCATTAGAAAGACCAGTGAAGAAATTCTTTTTGCAAAATATGTGTGAGGAGGGTGAAATGCCTCTAGCAAGGCAGCAAAGGTAGGAGTAGTAAGATTTGACCTATCAATGAAACTGACTCCTCTCCGTTACACACTATTCTTGACAACAACCAAACTAGAGTGTACTTTCCTGAAGAGCTGCAGTAAGTTCAAGAAGACGATGTAAATATAGGATAATTACTCATACAAGGGAGAATTACTTACCTTTGATATTTGTACATGTATTTCTAATTAAATTCAAACTGCTTGAATAGTATGTGTATTATAAACAAACACTGGCAAGAAATGGCAAGAAGCATGATCCCTGTCTGACTTAAGGACTCTGAAGTTTGAAAATGGTAGTGACTTACCACTCTTACCCCAGGTTGATGTAGACTTGAGTCTAAGTGGACTGTCTTTAGAGAAAGATGTGTTATCAGATAGCTTCACCAGTCTGTCATGATTGCTCCTTACCCACACATATGGACAGTTATACTTCCCATAACCAGCTATAAGAAACAATGTAGACTCTGCAGTCTGAAAATAAGAACAAATACAAATGAATCATCAGTAAAAGCCAGCTATAAGAAACAATGTAGACTCTGCAGTCTGAAAATAAGAACAAATACAAATGATACATCAGTAAAAACCAGCTATAAGAAACAATGTAGACTCTGCAGTCTGAAAATAAGAACAAATACAAATGAATCATCCGTAAAAGCATGCTATAAGAAACAATGTAGACTCTGTATTCTGAAAAGTCTCGTGGAGGGGGTGTATGTACATGTATGTGTATCAATTCAAAATGGTGCAAGAATTGGTCAGATGGTGTTTGTTTTTTTCTTCTTCTTCTTTTAGGATCTATAATAAAATGCTATGATTGCTATCCAAATATTCTGAGTAGTGCCCTAAGGGAGAAAGCGCTTAGGAGGAAAATAGAAACTCGTATTTTTGTACATAACAAAAAGGAATAGTTTTCCAAGACTATGTCAGAATCCAATGACCAAATTTGAGATAAACACAAATGTATTGTTCTCAAGTGTCAAAGTTTCATAATTTGTTTAATTATTGGTCTGATCTGCTTTCATGCAAATAAATAAACTCATTACTAAGGTTGGATTGCTCTTTAACGTCCACAAATACAAGAATGCTCAAGAGAAACAAAATTAATTTCACAAAGTTGTTTACTTCTTCACGATTTATTGTTTACTTACAATTGGACCAATTTCTCTCTCACTGGGTGAAGCTGGCGGCAGACCCACATCCATGTATCCAAGGCCACTGAGTCTGTTGATAACAATTATATTAAAGGTATTACAAAGTTTTGGGAAATTTTGAAAATCAGGTGGATAGTGTTTCTTTACAAAGTTGATATATTTGGATGCATCTATGGATGTATTATAAGCACTAAAAATATTTAGCCCCTAAAAACACTTCTGCTTTCGAGAAAAATTGAATATAAAAATTTACCGGTACTCCCTGTAAATTTTGATAAATTTCAAATAGCGCCTACGGCCATACGATGGTAGCTGCGACCATGAAAATCTCAAAATATGCAGTTGTAATATATATATTCCATATGGTAATAACAAATTGGTTGATTTTAGTCAAATAACATTGTTTTATAGCTAAATCAATATCTTGACCTTGAGAGGGCGCTATACAACTTAAAGACTTTATTATTTACAATTTCATCACTTTAGACTTGATTTCAACCGCGACAACGATCACTGAATATTGTAGGGTCGCATATGCTTCCAATATGTTCATTTGAACCAAATTCAAGACCCCATACCAAAACTTTGTATTACCTTTAAGAAACAAGAGTAGATTACTGATTAATCATTTCATCAGGCTGAGGAAAAATACAATTCAAATTAAAGGATCACAGAAATATATTTATTTTGGTTTATTTGGGAGCATATGTTCATTTTTTATTTTTATTTTCTTCTCAGGCTTGTGGATAATAAAACATAAAATAAAGATATCAACTTTAATAAGTAAAAGTGATTTTTTTTTCCTTCTTTTTCCATGGTATACAATACAATCATGAGGACCTAAACAATAGCTGATACAAATATGGCTCTTAGGCTCTGGTATCGCCTCCTGCTTTTTCCTCCAGTAAAAATATATGATCTGACATAGCAGTATACCAACATTGCACTTACTTCTGCTGTGTATTTTGTGAGAGCATCAATTCTCTTCTGTAAAAACAAAGGAATGCCAGAAGAAAAAATGGTAAATCATACAAATTTAGATAATTTACTTGTACACACTAACTATAGTGCATGGCTTAGTTTTTTTTCACAATAACATATCGTATGTATTAAACAGGTGCACAACTTTCTTTTTTTTTCTTCTAAATTTCAAAAAATGTTACATTAATCCATAGTGCTCAACACTGCCCTTTATTATTTGACTTATTGTGAATTATGAAATGTTGGTGTTATTTGGTGATCCATCTGCGTCCTTTCATTACCAATATACCTTTTTTTATCACTTGGCGTCACATTTTTAGAAACCTTTTCCTGGATGACAGTCTTCTAGACAACACAGCTACCTGTATCACTATGATCTAATATTGTAAGTTATTATTCCTACAGAAGATTTTAGAGCCAATATACAAGTGTTATTGTGTTCAGACACTTCATCAACCTTGAGCCACTTTTAAAGTTTCTTAATCCTGACAGATATTCACCCCTGATATTTCAAGTATTGAGTGCTTAGCCTCACACATTTGTGAATACAATGAAAACACCCAAGTCTAGATAATGAATGCACTTTTTATTTTGTTTTTTTTACAAAATATGGAATGACTTTTTCTCCAGCTATTTTTGGTAAAAGATAGTGGTACATGGCGGTGTGTCCAAAAGACAGTGGTATGGCGGTGTGTCAAAAACTGATTTTTTTTTTTTTTTTTTTTTCACTAGCTTACCATTCATTTAAGTTTCCCTTTTCTATGAATCAATGAACATAATAATGAGGTTGTGCAGAACAAAGTGGATCAACCACTTTCCAAAGACTTCCAGAGAAAGTTTGTACATCAGACATTGCGAAGTATAAAATTTCTAAATGTTAAAAACGACTCATAAATTAGATAATAATAATGATACTATAATTGGGTGGCATAATTAGGCCAATATAGAATTATACTAAAATTGATTTGTAAACAATATTAGACTGATCCAATATTTTGACATCTCATCCTCATTCCTTGCATTGACCTCAAGTCCCTCCAATATCCGTATAATCTAAAATTAGGTCATAAACTAATTCATCATACTGTAGTCAAGTTCATGTTAACAAATTCCAGAACAGGAGAGACATTTTTTAAATTAAGAATTGGCACTAATTAACACTCTCATTGTATTATCACAAACATAAATTAGGAAGGAAAAAAAAAACTTGTTGTACTGCCCTTTGCGACCGACCCCAAAATCTGAAAATCTACAGTCGGCATTTTAAAAAAGTTTTTTTTAAACCGTTTTTTAAATTTTTTTTTAATCAATAAATACAAAAATATGTATTTTGTTTGTTTAAATGGGATATAAATGTATAGAATCAAATTATTCCTCTCTCACTCGTGCAAACCTTGGATAATTATGAGGTGCAGGGAATAATTTTCCTCAAATATTTTGATTAGCAATTTCAGCTGATGGATAAATATTTCAAATGAAATTCTGTACATTTCTATGGAAGAAAACTGCTACACAAACAATATTTTGTATAGCAGTCATGCAAAAATGCATAGCAAATTGCGATGCGATACCAGGAAAATTATTCCCTGGAGGTGAAAAAGATATCAATGGAATTATGATGCTGAAACACATGTACTAAAGCATTAAAAACTGAGAAATATCAGCCAAAAGTGGGCGGGAAAAAAAAAAAAAAAAAAAAAAATCAAACCTGATAAATATCGGCCCAAAGAGGGCGACAAAAAAAGTTTAAAAAATAAAAACTTTTAGGACCGACCGACCCATGTTTTGGCACTCAAAGAGCAATACAACAAGTTTTTATTTTAGGCCTTAGGAAGGAAATTTGACTCACTGTTCAAGGGGTAATGTGTCAAAACTGCCGCTTCCAGTTTTGTTGAACGTGAATCTTTCCTTCTCAAACACAGAAGGTACAGTTTCTTTGTGCGCCTGAGAAAACATTCAAAGAGGAAGATGACTGATAAGAGACAATAAAACTGCATTAAAATCATGATTTTGAATCCAGATTCATGAACTTGAATTATAAATTATGTACTTCTACACAAAAGAAACAAAGATGAAATGGATAAGAAAGAGGATACCCGAACAGTACACATGTCATGGTATGATGGCAAAAATAAAAAAATGTGGTCTCTGGGAATCCTGTGATTCCTCAAAACTTTTTATATATCTTTATCAAATGGATGCAGGGGTATGTTGCAACTTGTTTGAGGTCATTTTCATATATTGACTCCACTATTTAACAGATTTTTCTATTTTAGTGCCATCACCGTAAAAATATGATAACTAATGCATGTTGAAAATCAAGCAATGCTACTTGCACTGAATAAGTGGAATGAGACAGACTACAGTACATGTTTGTATGTATGCAGGTCTTGGCATACTAGTATTTGAAGGCCAACTTGTCACCACAATTTGAATTACATTTTCTGCATTACATGTACTGGTATGTCACTTGCCACAGGAGAAATTTATGCAATTCTAATTGGACCAAGTGGATGGTACCCTCACTGTATTGTAGCCTATACCATGATTAGACCAAAAGTATAATTAGACCAAATTTTATTACCATATGGTTAATCTTTGAAATGTGCATAGATAAAATAAAAAATAGATCAATTAACTGAATTTAGGCATCTGAACATGTTCATGGGACCAAATGTGCATTGGGCTAATTGGGCTTGGACATTTTATATTGGACAAAATGGCAATTGGAGAAAGTGACTATAAAATTGAATGGTTATAGAAAAATGACCATTGGCCCTACTTATAGGTAGACAATCTGTGTATTTGACCAATTGGCTCTGGACCAAATGGCAATAATCCTTTTAAACCTCTAAGCCTTAGATTGCATGCTAAGAACTTAATTGGGTTTTGAAAAATATTTAAAAAAGAACAGATTGCATGAGAGTAATTATACAATTGGGCAGAGCAGAATGTCTAGAAAGGAACCAGATTTAACAAACTGACAACTTTAATTCTTTCATTGCCATAGACTTAAAACAGGGGCCGCCCTGTTTCCAGAAGGTAACAGGTTAATATATGAGATTTACATGTATCTTATTTACATCTCGACTGCATGTTATACTTACCATGTCATCATTCATGATCGTACATATCATTTCTTCTCTTCCTCTCATGTAAATATCAAAATACTTGAAACCCTGCAAAGTTAAAAAAAAAAGGGAAATAGATAACAAACCAAAATTAACTTCATGTTTATATTAAAAAGTTTACACAATGACTTACAATATGTACATGTATGGTATTTTCTCATGTAAAAGGCAACAAGTTGTTAATGGGAGAAGGAAGGGTTTAAATCCACACTGGCTCCTTTTAAAATCACAGCATTGTGTTTTGAATTACATAACACACCTACTTGTATATCATCAAACTATTTGTTACACTAAATTTGTTATTGGTGTGTTATCTATCTTGGGTTTATGCATGAGTTGTGAATTGATTCATCGACATGTGGGTGATGGTTTATATCAAAGTATGAAACAAAAATACTTTATTATGAAGAGGACCCAAGGTAATGGTTGTTACATACACTGTACATCGACATGTATTTGTGTAGAAGTGATGCTTTCATAGCAAATATGGAGATCTATATTTACCTTTACACATCCCATCTTTAGCATCTGCATCAGAAAATGTTGCAATTTCTTCTTTGTTGCTCTTTCTCTCTCCTTAAACAAATAACAAAATATTAAAAAGTGAAATATTTCCAGCCACATTGGGGTATTGCTGCTGCATTAATTTCATCATTACCGTAATTAACGTTGTATAAACCGCACCCCTCTTCTTCTTTTTTGCCGACAGCCAGGTCCGTGTTAAAAAACCCACGCGGGAAGGCCTTTCATTTAACTGCGAGGTGCAGCTGAATGTGTAAGATCATTAATGTAAATTAAAAAACAGTAGAGGACCTAGAATAGAACCTTGTGGTACGTGTTTTATGTAATAAAGAAGAAAAATTGGAGGGTCAAATCTGACTGACATGAGCGCTATACAAGAACCCACTATTATTATTATTATTATTATTATTGAGATCTATCAGAAAGATTACTTTCAAACCAAGATGACAGACAAATTTGATTGTTGTTCTAGTTTTCGAGTGGTGAAACAACACCGATACACCAGTTTACAGTTGTGTGCGCCATTTTAAACAAGGCCAATGACCTAGAGGTCATGTATTTATGCGTAAATTAAGATTACGCCCATGCAAATTATGATGATATCACTGCCTGCGCGCTGCATTGTGCGCGCATATCATCATTTGCATGGGCGCAATCTTAATTTACGCATAAATACCAGAGGTCAGAGGTTATTGACCCCGGAACAGGGCCAATTTGGCCCTGTTCCGGGGCCAATGACCCGAGGTCAACTGTCTGCGCATGCGCACTGATACAACTGTAAACTGGTGTATTACTGAGCTGGGAGACATTGCCAGGCATAGCGTCAGGTGGAGGGGCATAAATCGAAAACCTTACTAATTATTTTTTTTTTTTTTGTACCTGTGTATAAGACGCAACCTTTGAATTTTTTTCGGCGGCAAAAAAGTGTGGTTAATACAAGTACGTTAATTACGGTATATTTACCTAACAGAGTAGCAAAAGTTCACATCCCACCCACACAAAAAACAAAAAACAAGGTATATATTTCAGGATGAGCTGGTTTCATTTAATTACTTCATGCACATTTTATTTGATTGCCCTTTTTCATTAATTTTCTCATTATCCATTCCAAAAGCATCATCATTGACAAAGGATCTCTCTCACTATTCCTTTCACATGCAAAAAGGAAGAGGGGGAGGGAATGAAAAGAATATCTTTATATGGATGAAAATAGCTTTTAACCATCAAATTCAATGGTCCCATATATCACTGTGCCCAGTATGTGTTTACTGCTTTATAGCCCTAAGACTCTTTACTGTATATAAAACTCCTAACTGTATAAAAACAAAAAAATGGTTAATTAATAAAATAATTTGTAGGTCATAACAGGGAAAATGTTGACTTTAATAAATGATGATGAGAGTGCCCCAAGGGAGAAATCACTTTGAAGAAAAACAGATTCATTTATATTTTTGTAGACAACAAGCAGGAGAGATAGATATTCAGGATTCCACTGAATCTAAATGTTGATAGATTTTGTGATCTTATTTTTCAACCTTTTATAGACTCTCTTCTCACTGGTCTGATTGAATTAAAACTTTCACCATTTTGTTTATCTTATCTTATTATGAAGATTATATAATGTTGATTTTATCAAGACGTGGAAATAGTCTAGACCAACATAAATGAAAAGAAATTAACGCTTTCACACTAATGAACAAATTTTCTTAATGAGCAATTCACCTTTGAAGTTTGAAGGTTGGATTGTTCATTAAAGAAATTCAAAGTTAAAATTGCATCATTGAAAAATTTGAAGCTAAGATAAGACTAAAAGTATTATTCAAAGATCACCATGCAACACAAAGGGTGACCTCATCATCCAACACAACCTTTAAAATGTCTCCAAACTCATCTACCAATATAACTCATTAAAACAAAGCATGCCTAAAATTAAAACAAAGTCAAACCAAACTCAAAGGATTGATAACGATGGTCATGCAATGATGCATACCACATGCACTCTCCATTCAGCAGTTCAGATTCATCATTCAGTGACATTTTGAAAATGGGTCTTGCTATTAAAATATGGCACAACACTGATAGTGATACTAGATCTAGGCGATACTTGACTGACCACTTCAAACTAGATTCTAGAGTCTATTTAAAGTTCTACATACATTAGAGGAAAGGTTGAACAAAATATCATTTTAATAAACCAATTTCCCAAACCAGCCGGCTATTTCTGTGTAGATCTAGACCGGGTCAAGCTTTTTTATAATTTGTATTTGTTTTAGTTTCAAGGATGTTGTCGGGATCCCCGCACTCATCCGACAGCGGCTTTCACATCACAAAACATTGGCATATCGGAAGGATTGTACACAATGCCATTACATCACTGGTAAATTCAGTCAAACACTTCTTATTTTTATTATCGTAGTTCTATCAAGCCGGGCAATTTAAGAAGAAAAGTACAAATTTTGAGTGCAATCCACAAGCTTCAACTCACCTCAGCGGCCATGCTTTGATGATTTTTGTGTACCTAACCGTCGTACTTAAATTGATTTCGCGATTTTCGGTAGTCCGGATCGGAGCGCTAACGCGAGAGGAGCAGAGGTCGGATGCGAGAGCTCGAGAGATAACAAAGACGCTGTGTTATATAAGAGAAAGAGAGCTAGCTCCCGACGGTTAAACCCCCCTTTAGGCTGGCCACAAAAAATAAAAACGAAAGAGCGAAATATCATAATTATGGCGCGATTTTCACAAAAACGAAAGAGCGAAATATCATAATTAAGGCGCGATTTTCACATTTCGGCCCCCCCCCCCCCCCCCCCCTTCATGGAAAATCCTTGATATATCCGCCACTGGATTATTTTTTTGTGGGAAAAAAGTGTTCCTCCCGTCCCCCGAGAGAAAGGGAAAGAAAGAAGAGGAAGAAGAAAAGAAAAGGGAGCATAATTAAGGAGATCGGGGGCGAAAGGGCCTTGCCTCCCCTCCTCCCCCCCCCCCCCCCCCATCAAAAAGAAAAAAGGAAAAGAGGAGATAAGGGGAAGGAAAATTGAGGAAGAAGAAAAGAAAAGGAGGGGGGGGGCCGGGTATCAGTTGCAATTTTCCCGCCAACAAGTTCGGGGTGGGGGTAGGTAAAAGGCCCTTGCCTCCCCCCACCCCCGCTAAAAAAAAAGAGAGACTAGTAGGAAAAGGAAAAAAGGAGAGCTTAAAGGGACCGAAAAAGAGGAAGAAGAAAAAAAGGGTGAAAAGAAGGGGAAATAGATCATTTGCGGTTAATCCCGCAAACAACGTGTAGAGAAGGGTGGGGGCCGAAAGTACCTTGCTTATCAACAGTGTGGCTAGGAGGGATTAGACCACACAGCGAGGTCACTGACAGGTGGCTTTCTCACTCAGCTCTCAAATAACATAAGAAATAGAGGATCATGGGGGACCAACAGGCACCGATTGGGGAAGTTTTCTATATCAGCATGCAAAATGTCCTTTGCCTTCCAAGATCAGACACATACACGCTGAAGTGCCCTCAGAATATGTGATTATTTTTCAGATTTGTATGCTCAAATATGACTTTGTGAGTGGGTTCAGTAAAGGTCACAACAGTGAGGGCTTCAAAAGTACTTTGCTCATCTTTTTAATGTTCTCAGCATTCTGTAGAGGTGTAATTTGCCCATTTTCCACATTTCAATGAACCATCTCTTTAGGATGGCAAATTATGTCTGTCACTTGGAACAGGTCTGATTTTACGTATTATTTGACCCATATCCTAATTTGACTCTGAAAACACATCATATATCGGTTGCTAGGCATATTATTACCATAGCAACGTGAACTAAGCGATATTTATCATTAAAATATGATGAAAATGCATCATTTGACATCATACTTCCTATCAAAGTAGTCATCTGCTTGGTGATAGCAATTTCTCGTGATATATTCTATTTTTCAAGCCACTATGTTACCGTTGCTAAGGAGAAGATAGCCCTTAAAAAACAAAATTTGCCATTTTGGCTCATAACAAAGTGTCAACTTTAGAGCGCTATAACTTTTTAGTTAGAAAAGTAAGAGACTTTAAATTTGGATATAATATCAACCAGGGTACTGAACAGTTGTTAAGCAAGTTTCGAGTCAGTTAGCATCATAATCAAATAAATATGGAGAAATATGTATTTTGGCGCAATTCATATTTTTGAAAAAAATGGTAAAAAAATCACATTTTTGGCTTAAAATTGGTATGCAAATCATCCCGAAACTTATTGAATGAGGTATCATCTTGTACGAAATTTAATTGTCTTTCATATGACATCTTACACATGATAAAATGAGGTGCTGTTAAAAAGTAATCCCTAGAATTGTACAACAGTATGGCGGCCATTTTGAAAAATGGCCGCCATTTTTTTCCAGTAGCATATTGCAAAGGTTGTCCACCTAGAAATTATGCAGGGCGGTCCCCTGAACACGTTGATACCCAACAACCTTTTACAACGTTCCATGTCTCAAGAACCTGCTCTGCCCCCTGGGTACTGTGCTTGTGTTGCAGTCGAGTGTTCAAAGAAGGTATCAACTGGGATGCGTTCAAGTCCATGGATGATTTTGAAAACTCTAATATCACTTTTCCATAGATGCCTGTACAAAATCTGGTAAACAATTTCTTATTTCTCCGAATTTACAAAAATGGATTTAGCTCCTTTTGGAATCAAACTCTTCAGTGATAAAGTACGACCAAAAAATGGAGGAAAAGAGCAAAAGATGAGAAGCTCTATAAAAGATACAGAGTATTAAGAAATATGGTCCAAAGAGAGGTGAAAAAGGCTAAACTCGATTACTTACAAAACAAGATAGAAGAAAATAAACAAGATTCGAAAAAACTTTGGCAGAATCTAAAAAGCTTAGGATTGAAAAATAAGAAGCGAAAAGAACAAGAATCTGTCATTAAAATTGATGGGGAATTATGTCATGATAAGATGGCCATCGCTGATGAATTCAATTCTCATTTCACAAATGTGGCTGCCAAATTAGTAGACAAACTCCCCCCTTCCAAAGACTTTTTCAGCGCAGACAATGATTGTATTCGTGACTTTTACGAAAGAAAAGGTGTACGTGAAAACAGCTTCGAGTTATTACCAATCAGTGAACAATTTGTTTTCAAAGAGTTACGTAAGTTGAATGTATCAAAAAGTACTGGGTTAGACTTGATTCCAGCTAAATTTCTAAAAGATGGTGCGAAGGTTTTATTTAAGCCTCTAAGTTACTTAATGAACCTATTTATCTTGACGAGTACTTTTCCAGAAGATATGAAAATAGCAAAACGGTGACTCCACTTTATAAAAAGAAAGATAAAACTGATGTTAGCAACTATAGACCGATTATTGTTTTAAGCGTAGCATCAAAGATTCTAGAAAAATCGGTCTGTGTTCAAATTGAAAGATACTTCAAAGAAAATGATATAATTTATGAATTTCAATCTGGTTTTCGACATGATTATTCGACTGAAACATGTCTAATTCATTTGACTGATTATTTGAGGAGAGAAACTTCCCAAGGGCGCTTTGTTGGTATGGTGCTCCTTGATCTGCAAAAAGCTTTTGATACAGTTAATCATTGCGTCTTATTGAAGAAGTTACAACTAATGGGTTTTGATAAGGCAAGTTTAGATTGGTTCAGATCCTACTTATCTAATCGGCACCAAGTAGTGGCCATTCATGATATTCGTTCCAAACTAATGCCTATAACATGCGGTGTTCCTCAGGGAAGCATTTTAGGCCCAATTCTATTTTCAAGTTATATAAATGATATGTGTATTTGTATAAAAGACTTCAAACTATTAATGTACGCAGATGACAGCGTACTATACTCTATTCAAATCCTGATCCTAAATATATTGAGGAAAAGCTCAGTGAACAGCTGTCTACGTGTGTCGATTGGATGACTGATAATAAGCTTTCTTTACACTTGGGAAAAACAGAAAGCATTTTATTTTGTTCTAAAAGTAGTTCTAAAAAGTCATTTGAATTCAAAGTGACACACAATAATCAAGCAATCAAGAGAAAAGAGTCTGTGAAGTATTTAGGCATTGAGTTGGCTAGCGCAATTTCATTTTCATCTTTAGTAGAATCAGTTGTAAAAAAAGCAAATTCTCGTCTGAAATTTTTGTACAGATATCAAAGTTGTATGGATTTAAAAGCAAGACGTACACTCTGTTTTGCTCCTATTCAATGTTTATTTGACTATGCTAACCCTGCATGGTATAGTAACATAAACAAGTCAGATCAAAAGAAGTTGAAGATTATACAGAACAAAATGGTGAGATTTATCAACTGTTCTGGTCCAAGAACTCATGTTGGCTACAGCGAACTTTCTAAAGCTGGTTTTCTTGAAGTCGACCAAAGATCAAAACAACTAGCATTGCATCACGTGCATAAAATATATCATACTAGGTCGAATCATTATATTCGATCCAACTTCGATCTTGTTACTGACGTACATGATTATAATACAAGAAATAGACGATTCAACTTTAACTTACCAGAAAGAGTAGGTAGTATTGGAAATTCGTTTTATTACAATGCCATAAAACATTGGAATTCCCTTCCCAATGGTATAAAAGAAATAGGAAACTATGATCATTTTAAGAGGAAATTAAAGGAATACCTAATACTTGACAGTCAGAGAAGAGAAGTGAATGACATGTTATATGATTGAAATTTGTATTCTTCTGTCGGTTCATACTTTTTCATGTTGTATATACTTATGTTTTCGTACGTTATAGAAATTCTACAAATTCATCATTATTTTCCTCTTCTTCCTTCTCCTCTTTTTCTTCTTCTCCTTCTTCTTTTTCTTCTTGTACTTAATATCATTTCTATCATCAGTTTAATGCTGTTATTATTATTATTATCTTTAATAAGTAGTTCTTTTAATTTTCTTATCTGTCTGTAAATATTACTATTTTAACTTATTAATTTTATACATGTCTGTAAGGGACAGGGGCGTAGACAACGGGGGGGGGGGGATGAGGGGGATGCATCCCCCCCCCCCCACCTCACAAGGTGGGGGGGGGGGTGGCATGTACAATCATCCCCCCAGGTTTTGGGGAATGATATTTGCTTACTTAATAAGTCATAATGATGATAATAATAGTAATAATAATAATGATAACAATTATAATATTAATAATAATAATAATTATGATGATGATAATAATAATCCTCATCATTATTGTAATTGTGTTTATTGTTATTATCCGCATTCACACGGTGAAAGCCAATTCAGACGGTAAAAAAAAGAAAATCTTACAAGTATTCTGTGGTTATCTTGTGGTTTGGAAACCACAAGATAACCACAAGATTAAACAGGCGCGGATCTACGGGGGGGGGGGGGGGGTTAGGGGGTTTAACCCCCCCCCTTGGGCGGCCCAAAAAACAAACAAAACAAAAAACAAACAAAAAAAGTCTCCCTAACACACTTAAGGACTGCAAATCAGTAGATAGTTTCAAGGCCAGCCTGAAAACTTATCTAATGGCCAACTTTAACTAATATCATCTTCTTCTTTTTTATAACCATGTGTAATGTAATTTTAAGCAAATTTATATCTATGTATATTATGTAACTCATTGTAAGCGCCTTGAGCACCCTCTGGGTGGATATGTTTGCGCGTTATAAATGTCTTTATTATTATTATTATTAAAGAAAGAAAAAAAAGAAAAAAAGAAAGAAAAAAGAACGCACGCTGGAGAGAAACCCTTTCAAGTGCAAATATTGTGAGAAGATATTCAACTCATCTGGTAACTTAACCAAACACATGATAACTCTGGATATAACTGTGTATTTAACTGTTACTTGATTTAAAAAGACGTTATCATGCACTGCTTTTTATGGTCTCCATTGTGTTAATAGATGCCAGGAAAACATCACTTACGGGGTTCAAATAAACACCCCAAAAAAAATCGGCTCGCCGCTACGCGGCTCGTGGACGATGCTCCGCATCGTCATTATTTGGGTCAACCCCCCCCTTAGCAAAAAGCTAGATCCGCCCCTGAGTCATCCCCCCCCCCAGGTGTACAAACCTGTCTACGCCACTGGTAAGGGACCCCACTGGAAATAAGCTCTCGAGCTTTCGTGGGTTATCCTGTTCAAGCTGACTTATTTTTGATCTGTTATTATTGTATATTGTTGTAATGTTGGAAGCTTGTCGAATACAAATCAATCAATCAATCAATCATATTGTGTTTTATCGAAGAGCAGCCTGCCATTATAACAAAGGATATACCAGTAAATAGTGTCGCGTGTTACGTCACCATGTTGCTAGATAAGAAGATTGCTTTCACCGGATAACAGGCCGGTAAGAGGTATTGAATTATATGGCGCAGTAGCATACTATAAGGAGGAGGGATTCTTTTTTTAAATTAGGGGTCGGACTCAATTTAGTGGCACTTTCATGATTCTATTAATTGCGAAGTGGGAGGAGGCACACTGTATTATCTATGTCAATCAAGCAAGCAATGGGCCTAGGGTTTTCATATTTCCAGGTTCTGGTCACTATTTGGCCGGGGTGACTCACTATTAAGTTAACACACTTTTTTCTGCGCATTTGTATTGGTATTCAAACTTGGATGTTGGCGGTGGGGGGAGGGGGCACGTGCCCCCTGAATCTGCTACTGTGAACAATTACTCCATCACTATTGAAGATGGAAATCTAACGTAATCTGATACGTCAAACAAACAAAATATCTTCTTATCATTACGGTATGAAAACCTGAATTAATCAACAAGATAAAATTTAAAAAAATTAAAACAGGATCGACCTACGTTATATCGTTAAACTTTAAGCCTACTGTTTAAATGAAATGCTAACTAATACATAAGTAAATAGCTGTGGCAGACCCTTGTAGAAATAAAGTTAGTGTAAATATATTTCTATTTTTTATCGCCGCCATTGGCGGGTTCAATTGGCATTGGGTATAGGAAAACAAAACTACGGGAAAATTAATGAAATATTTCGATCATTCTCTTAATTTATTTTGTATTAAAAATGTCGAAAACATTTTCCCCAAGTTTCTTAAAGGTACATTTAGATGCTTTTTCTTTCTATAAAAGATAAGATTTCTGAAAATAAATGACAAATTTCTGTTATGGTAAGAACTGACCGACCATCATGGCCGTATTGGTGAAGGCAGGCGGATCACCTTACCTGTAACCATCATGGCCGTATTGGTCAAGGCATGGTCACCTTACCTGTAACCACGATGGCCGTATTGGTCAACTAAGGCAGGATCACCTTACCTGTAACCATCATGGCCATATTGGTCAAGGCAGGGTCACCTTACCTGTAACCATCATGGCCATATTGGTCAAGGCAGGATCACCTTACCTGTAACCATCATGGCCGTATTGGTCAATGCAGGATCACCTTACCTGTGACCATCATGGCCGTATTGGTCAAGGCAGGCGGACCACCTTACCTGTAACCACATTGGTCAACTAAGGCAGGATCACCTTAATTACCTGTAACCATCATGGCCATATTGGTCAAGGCAGGGTCACCTTACCTGTAACCATCATGGCCGTATTGGCCAAGGCAGGGTCACCTTACCTGTAACCATCATGGCCGTATTGGTCAAGGCAGGGTCACCTTACCTGTAACCATCATGGCCGTATTGGTCAAGGCAGGGTCACCTTACCTGTGACCATACGGTCCTGCAGTCCCACGTACATTCTGCCCATGGCTACGCCAGAGTTTGCACCGAGAGAAAATGCATAAAAGGGGGCTCTGCAAAGGAGACCAATCATTCGCAAGCCTGGATCGACCTCGACAAAAGCAACAGAATATTTCCATGCAACATACTCTATATATAGATAGATCTAAACCACAGTCTTCAATTACCGTCTTCATCTGACCGTTCCTGTATTGGTATAAGTAATAACAGTTATAGAGGTGCTGTGGTTCATTCACTTGACACTCAATCCAAGGGTTGAGGGTTCGAATCAAGTGGCAGGGTAAAAATAAGAATTCAATCAGTTGGGTTATAAAATAGTGTCCTCTACAAACTGGGGCTTCAGCCATCAGATTGATGTTCTTTTAACTTCGCCTCTTTGATGTGTTGATGAAACTGATATATATATATGTTTCATTGACCCAACTTAATTTTATCCTGATATATTACATATTGTACAGCGTTTCCATGATTACAATATAGGCTTACAATGGCTTAGATTATGATAAAAACATTTTTGGGAGTGTTAAGAAAATAATTTATGATAAACATACAATAAGGGGTAGTTTTCAATAGTTTTTTTTCAACAAGAGCACTAAGATTATTTTCATACCGCCCGCCATAAAAATAAGAATGAAATCAATGTTATCATCATTTCGAGGTGCAATTTATTCCAAGGGAAGAACACCAATTAGCAGACTTGACTGCATGCATGTCTTGCTCGAAGATCAACGCTCCATATTCTCAATTTTGCATGCGAGCGAGTAAAAATACGTAATATTTTGTTATGAAATATATCAAGGACAATATAAAATGACAAATAGACTACCTTGCTGCCATATGTTTGGCGATGAATGTTCAGATATTAATAGTTTTTTTTATTCTTGGATGGCGGATTTAGCCCCTCCCCGCCTCATACGCCAATACCAAGTACTTAAATCAAGCTTTCCATTAATTTTAAATTCATTGATTAAGTTTTTTACAAATATTATTATGGAAGGGTATGAATCTAAGATATTTAATATCTTTTATTATTATTTTTGTATATTTTCTATTTTAACACTTTTTCCACAGATCATCTTTGAAAATGAGAGGCACAATACTCGTAACCCTGGTGGTCCTTGGTTTGGTGATCCCTCACGTGACTGCGGCCAACGTGGAAGATCTCTTCGATGATGAAGGGGACCTCCAAAATATGTGTAAGTTCTAAAGACGAGATTGAATACGAGAGAGAGAGAGAGAGAGAGAGAGAGAGAGAGAGAGAAAAAGGGGGGGGGCGGGTGATGAATTGAAAGGGATAGAGAAATAAAGCGAAAGAGGGAGAGAGCAATATTTTTTACAAAACACTGGGAATAGATCTAGAATAAAATAAAAGTTACTCCAAATAATTGTTACACTATTTAAGTTTGAAACATGCAATCTCCATTCTGATAAAAGTTTATGATTGATATTGTCATTAATAATAAAGTGTCTTTTTAAGGTATGTCATATTAAGAGTGTTGTATTTTGATGTTGTTTTAGCATAATATATTTTAGTGTCTTATATAACAAGATTACACACAATCATTGAATATATTTCCCCCTATTACCTAACACCATTATAGTTCTTGATGAGGAGGCCTTAGACAACGTCCTGGCTGCTAGCTGCATGGTTCTCGAAAGCGATCCACGATGCCGGTTCCTGGACTAAGAAGGCGGTCCACGATGCCGGGGATTGGACAAAGAAAGCCGCCAGTGATGTTGCGGATACTGTCAAGAAGGGGTGCGGTGTGATCAACTCGCTGCCTGGAAAGGAACTGAGTAAGTAGATTGAGTGAGTGGGTGTGGGTGTATGTGTGTGATTAATTGAATGAATGACTAATTGATTGATTGAGGGTGTGTGTATGTGTGTGTATTTGGGTTATACAGACGTGTATTAATCAGATTATTTACGTCTGGAGACCGACCTTTAACGTCATCATATGCACCATCCGATTGATTGGTTGGTTGATTTTATTCATCGAGTAGTGAGAGAGAGAGATATATATATATATATATATATATATATATATATATATATATATATATATATATATATATATATTATATATATCATAACAAAGAAAGAGGAAAGACAAAACATTGAACAAAACGTGATCTAGGTCTTTATATTTCTATTATTATATGCCCTTTTAAGATTCAAATTTCCTGCGGGGGGGGGCACAAAAGCAGGTGTAAACTTTGTAGTAGGTGGAGAGGGGGGCGTACCTCCCTTCAATCCGCCCCTGCTGTTCTAATTAATAACTTTTCTCTTGGTTTCACGACAGTGATGCGTAGGGATATACGCGAAGAGGCTCTCCGGGAACGTGGGGTCAGTGAAGACCAGCTTGCCGCTGCGTACTCGGGCTACAAGGGTCTCAAGAGTGTCTGCCAAACTGTGGGTTAAACCAGTAAGTATATCCTCCTTCTTTTTCATTCTTAGTCTAATGATTAGTAGATTAAAGCCCGTTGCACACGAAGCGTCATTTCGCAGACGCAAGACTGCGTCATTACTTGATGCGGCGCGCAGTCTTTGACGCGTCCTGTTGGAGTGTAATAATGTACACAAAGTGGATACACGCAAAAAAAAAAAATTATTATATTAGTTTTATCAGGCTAACTTGCCTGTCCATGCTTGATAGCGGAGTCAAAATGACGCTTAATTCATTGGAACTTACGGCAACGTTTAAAAGTGTTGATTTATGTGTGAACATAGAATACAAGTGCCAAGAAAGAAAGTAAAAGTACTTAGTGCGCGCCACACGGTCAGGATCCCCCCCCTCTCTCTCTATCTCCCTCTCTCTCCCTCTCCCTCACTCCACCCTACCCCTCTCTCTCCTCGCCCCATCCCTCTCTCTCTCTCTCCTCACCCCACCCCCTCTCTCCTCGCACCACACCCTCTATCTCCTCGCCCGACCCCTATCTCTCTACCTCTTTCTCTCTCTCCCTCACTCCACCCCCTCTCTCTCTCCTCACCCCACCCCCTCTCTCTCTCTCCTCGCCCCACCCCCTCTCTCTCCTCACCCAACCCCCTCTCTCTCCTCGCCCAACCCCCCTCTCTCTCTTCTCACCCCACCCCCTCTCTCTCCTCACCCCACCCCTCTCTCTCCTCACCCCACCCCCTCTCTCTCCTCACCCCACCTCTCTCTCTCCTCGCCCCACCCCCCGTCTCTCTCCTCGCCCGACCCCCCCTCTCTCTCTCTCTATTCCACTCCCCGTCCTTCCGACCGTTCTTTTTTCGACATTTTACCAAAATCAATGTATTAAGCCGGTGATTCCACCTTAATCTATATCATGGGTGTCGATCCCGGGGGGGGGGGGGATATATCCCCCCAATATTTCAGGTGGGGGGGGGGGGGGATTGCCTGTACAATCATCCCCCCCCCCCAATAATTCACCATCAAAACAAAAAATCAAGAGAAAAATTAATGATGAGAGCCCGATGAGAGTACTCGCAAGATGACCATCAATATACACATTTTGCTATCTCATTTTCATAATACATACATATACGAAGTAAATGAGACAACCGTATGTGAGACAAGAATAAATTGAATTCTCGCTCGATACGGCTTCATCAGGAATTGATGAATTTATTCAATTTGTTCAATCAACAGCATCATAGAAATGCAATGCGCCAAATGCGAAGACGCAGCGTTAAAAAGCAACGAGCTAAATGTTAAGCACGAAGCGCAAAAGTAGCAATCTGCAATGCACATCAGACAATCCTGGACAGTGTAAACATAGATGAACTCTGTGACGAATTCGTGATGAGATCGGAGACAAGGAGGAAGCTTCCGTGCTTTTGCGCGGGAGCGGGGAAACTGAATTCAGACAAGGATTTAGAGTCGAGAACGGTACAACGAATCGTCTTCTTTCTCTAATAGTTTAAAGAAACGTCAAAGCTTCCGCGCTTCGCGCGGGAGGGGTGAGGGGAAATGAATTAAGACAAGGATTAAGAGTTGAGAATAGTACAACGAATCGTTTTCTTTCTTAAATAATCTAATGAAACGTCAAAGCTTCCGCGCTTCGCGCGGGAGGGGGGGGGGGGGGGGGGGGGGGGGGAGGGGGGGCTGAATTCAGACAAGGATTAAGTCGAGAATGGTACAACGAATCTTTTTCTTTCTTTAATAATCTAATGAAACGTCAAAGCTTCCGCACTTCGCGCGGGAGCAGGAAAACTGAATTCAGACAAGGATTTAGAGTCGAGAACGGTACAACGAAACGATCGCCTTCTTTCTCTAATAATTCAATGAAACGTCAAAGCTTCCGCGCTTCGCGCGGGAGGGGGGAGGGAACTGAATTCAGACAAGCATTAAGAGTCGAGAATGGTACATCGAATCGTTTTCTTTCTTTAATAATCTAATAAAACCTCAAAGCTTCCGCACTTCGCGCGGGAGCGGGAAAACTGAATTCAGACAAGGATTTAGAGTCGAGAACGAGAATCGAACGCCTTCTTTCTCTAATAATTCAATGAAACGTCAAAGCTTCCGCGCTTCGCGCGGGAGCAGGAAAACTGAATTCAGACAAGGATTAAGAGTCGAGAATGGTACAACGAATCGTCTTCTTTCTCTAATAATTTAATGAAACGTCAAAGCTTCCGCGCTTTGCGTGGGAGGGGGGAGGAAACTGAATTTAGATAAGGGTTAAGAGTCGAGAATGGTACATCGAATCGTCTTCTTTCTTTAATAATCTAATGAAACGTCAGAGCTTCCGCGCTTCGCGGGGGAAGGGGGAGACTCCCCCTTCCTGCACCCAACCCTATAGGGAGCGCGCTTCGCGTGCTCACTACCGCCCCCCTAAAATGAAATCCTGGCTACGCGCTTGGGGAGGGGGAGCAACCTGCCACACGCTTCTACATCTTGGTTGCTTCGATCATAGACCCGTAGGTCTATGCTTTGATCCATTGCCGAAAATATTTTGGCACCTATTATCCCCCCAACCATGATACAAATCGACACCCTTGATCTATACTCTTTGTTTCGAAAGTTGTTATGCAGCAATAATCATAGCGCCTGATTGTGATTCTTTACAATTTTGATATAGGCCTATTTGGATGCCCCTGTGGATTGTATACGCACTGGAAATGTAGCTCCTAAAACACTTTTGAGAAAAATTGAATGTCAAATAGCGCTTACGGCCTTACAATGGTAGCTGCGACCAGACGCGGATCCAGGATATCTTAGGGTGGGGGGGGGGGGGGGGGGGGGGGCTCAATTTTGAATTTAATTTGCTGAAATTTGAAAATCGTGTCGGCCGATATTTCGCTCAGTGGGGGGGGGGGGGGGGGGGGGGGGGGTAGTGAGCACTAATTTTTTTTCTTTTTTTGCCCCCGGAAATTTGAACATCGCGCCGGCCGATATTTCGCTCAACACCCCCCCCCCCTCCACCCTTGAGCAAAAAAAAAACGAAAAACTCTGATCACAGTTTTTGTTTTTTGTTTATTTTCTTGGGGGGGGGGGGCTGGGGGGGGGGCAAGGCCTGGCTGTGACCATGAAAATCTCAGAATATGTAGTTGTGATATATAATTTTCCAAACGGGAATAGCCAATCGGTCGATTTTAGTTAAGAAACATCGTTTATGGCTCAATTAATATCTTGACCTTGAGAGTTTATTATTTACATTTTCATAACTTTACTGGACTCGAGTTCAACCGCGATCGACAACGATCACTGTATATTGTAGGATCGCGTATGCTTCCAATGTTCATTTGAACCAAATTCATGAAACCATACCAAAACTTTGTATAACCTCTAACAGTCTATATTCATTATTTGACTATTTATTTGTACATGTTTGACGTATTTTTTTCTTCTTTCATGTGGCTATCAACAGATTATGAAAATATCGATGATCATTAATTATTAATCTTTCTTGCAGAATTTACGACAAAGAGGACAAGGACGATTGAAAGGAAACACATGATGAAGCTCGCCTTCGATCCTCATTTAAATTCATCAACGATTATCTGTTTATCATTTTCTCATATACTTGGACACTTTCATGATGCCTGATTGCGGTTGATTTACTGATAAGCAGAATCTCTGCAGTTTTAATTCATTTTTTGTTCACTTCAAAAGAAAATAAATTTTGTAATTCCAATATTCTTTTATAGCCCCCGTATTTGCGTAACGGAAAGGGATAAATATGAATGGTCAACGTTTTAATGATCATGATATGGTGGGTATTTAAATATTAAAAAACGCCACTTCGATCCGCCCTAGCTGCATTTTTCAGTTTGAACATAGTCCCCGTACAAATTATATGGAACCTCATATTTAAATTAAAAGGAGTATTTATTGTTAACGTACATCCATGACAAATTAGTATAATTATTGAAGTTTGCTGATCGTTCGTCCGAGGAGTAAATTATAATAAATTGAAGTAGAAAACATAGTAAGTGCATTTTTGTGTTATCTTCTGTGAATTATGATAAACCATCAAGGATTGGGAGAGAGAGGGAGAGAGAGAGAGAGGGGGGGAGGAGAGAGAGAGAGAGAGAGAGAGAGAGAGAGAGAGAGGGAGAGCAACAGAAGCAAGGTGGAGAGTGGGATAGAACGCAAACCGAGAGCGAAAGAGGGAGAGAGAGAAAGTAAAGATAGGGGAGAGAGAAACATGAGAGAAAGAGGGAGAGAGAGAGAGAGAGAGAGAGAGCATGTACGTAAAGAGAGGGAGAGAGATGAAGAGAGAGGGAGAGTGAGGAAGGGAGAAAGAGTGCTATTTAGTTTTCATAGTTAAAATTGTTGTTATAATTAATATCGCCAATAATTCTGGGTCATTTTCCACCGCGCCGCGATACTCCCCTGCAACCATTAATATTAAAAAAGATGGAGAATATAATGCAAGAGTAGGAGAGAGAGAGAGAAAGAGAGAGAGAGAGAGAGAGAGAGAGAGAGAGAGAGAGAGAGAGAGAGAAAATGAAATGTTCGTGACAATCACCAATTATACCCTCCCAAAACTCAAGTGACCAGCACAATCTGAATTCCACATTACATATTAATTGCTCTTTCCAAATCTATCCACACAAATCCACTGTCATTATGTAATATTGTTTCGAAGCTTCTTTTGTTTTGTCATGAACATCCCAAATGATTGATCAGAGTTTGTACTATTATTTTTATCTGACAAAATGATGTTTTATTGGTCACATTCTTTTCACATACTTGATTTGACCACAGTGTGACAAGAGGAGCATTGGTGAATTATTCTCATGCACTGAAAGGAGCTGGGACCTAAGTGTCACCTCCATTACACAGTCAAGATGTAGCAGAGCGTGATCTTGCTGGTACCTTTTTCCTCATTTTATGTTGATAAATCCTTTCGTGATGAAGATAAACATTGTAGAGGCATAATGCATGTAGTTACAATTCCTTTTGATTCCTATTCAAAATTGTTCATCAGAGGTAAAATCATAAAGTATGAAGATGTTGCATGCATGTACGGTACATAAAGTTATTCAAAGTTATTTTCTCTCATAAAGTTACAGTTGGTGCAGATTGACCCATATTATTCCGTCTTCCTTTCATTATCATGAACATTCTTTCAATCCCTCTCTTTCTCTCCCTCTCTCTCTAAAGCAGGGCTCCCACTTAGCCGAGTTGGAGCCTCGAGTTGTGACGAGCTGGCGCGATCTTATGGCAAGCAGTTTTATCATTAAAACATATTTCTTGATATCACGAAATCGAATTCCTGATATCACGAAATCGAATTCTTGATATCAAGAATTACCATTGCTTTACAACATAAAATTATTTCTTAATAGCAGAATTGATTTATTGATATCAATTAATAATAAAACGGCTTGCCATAAGATCGCGCCAGCTCATCACAACTCGAGGTTCCAACTCGGCTAAGTGGGAGCCCTGCTTTACTCTTTCTCTCTCTTTTCTTTTTGCACTTCCAGTCTGTAGCTTCTGGACTCTTACTTACATTAATGGAAGTATCATATGGTATGGCAGATTATTAATTTCACCAACCATCAATGCAAATCCCAGTCAAGAATTGCTTCTTGTAATGGTTCACAGAAAACAGCTACATGGGTTAAAATGAAAACTTGAAACAAAGGTCTCATTTTATTGATATACAATGATTGTGAGCCTCACAATATGTTGCTAATTCAAGGATGTGAAAGCACTTTTACTCTTTTTTTCCTTTCAATTCCAGGCATCAATTGCATGCAACAAAAAGGAAACATGTTCATTCATTTTTTGACCTTTCTACTCTAACATCTTGTATATTTTTCAGGGCTCTGAATAACAAAATTTGGAATGATTCTCACAATAGAGATATTGACACTCGTTACATAAGTTTGCATGGTAGAAGAAAATCAAAATTACATATATATCTTTAACGTTTATTAGTAGCGCATTAATTCTGCTGTTGAAAGCACAGAGTTTCACTCTGTTTTAACTTTTCTGGCTTAATTATATTTGAAAGGAAGTGAAGTTAAATCAATTTCAATCATGTTATCAACTTATCACCATTTCAGGGGCTTCAAGAAAGGCCTGTAGTGTAGTTTCTTTTTTTCATGAGGTGCCTACACTTGTCCTTCCTGCCACAGCAACTGTCTCTGAATTTTGTGATGTGAGTTGGATCTTCGCATTAGCTCCCGACCTTGAGGTTATATCATTACTGCCAGATAGGTATGTATTAATGGAAGTTCACGGATATATCTGATATGTTGCCCATACATGTATATATGCACCTAATAATTGATTAAACTATAGAAGGGACATATCTGGCAGTACATGTTTCATCAAACTCGTATACAGTAAAGTAATATGGAACCCCATGTAGCACTAAGTAATTAAGGAATGAAAGTAAATAGCATGAATACTAAACAAGTCATTAGGCATATAGGCTAATGCAGATTTTTAACATGAAATACAATAATATAAATTATCCATTGTTTCAGCTTTTACTTTTAAGAAATAGGGGCATATCTCTCTTTATTATATAACAATCAAAAACACTTCATAAAAAGCTTCATAAAAATGTGGGAATGTTATGGTTCATCCTATAGTAGGATAATAAGCCAGATCATCATATCATAAATGCTTGTATATAACATATACACGTATGAATATTACACTTCTAAAATATGAAAAATCATGGAATTTGCTTGGTTTCCAGTGACCAATTTTAGATATCAATTTTTTCTTCTCCTCCTAGTTCAGAGGAATAAAGTATCACATGGAAACTACAGTTTTATGCTGTCACATCATTACACACATAAGGGTAGATATACCGTAAATACTCAGCAATGCATAAACAATATCTACCAAAAAATATATGCTGATTAAGCGATTTGACTCCCTATCCATCAAGATGACAAAATCCATTAATGAGCTTAATCTCAACTTCAATCTCTCAAATTACAGTCAGACTTTGATGCATGGATCATCATACCGTTTCATTTCTCTGCTGCTTTAGCTTGTTCACTCTCCTCTTACTCAGGGCTGACATCTTGGCTTTGTACCTGTCGAGATTCAATTTTTGTTCAAACTCAAAGTCTTCAAATCCTTGATGTGATCTTCCAGGGATTTCCACCAAACACTTGTGTTTTACCAGCAGTTCAGCAAGATTTGCAGTGTCAGATTCCCCGGCCTGGACTTCAGGTTTCTGTACAACTTTCCTCCTCCCCGTCGTCATCCTTCCCGTCGTCATCTTGGGGTCGAACTTTCTATTTATAGTCTTCCTCATTCCCACTACTTGACTGTAACGTGATACATTACTCTCATTTAGAATCCCTCCAGCTCTGTCAATGGACACCTTGTTGTCTTTATCCTTTCCTACGTTCTTCCCCTCACCACCATGTATGTTCTCTGTCCTATTCCACCTAAGCTGATGAGCTACCCTTTCTGATACTCCACCATTAACATCCATGATCAGATTGTGACCTTCGATTAGATATTTCCAGTGATGTTTTTCATAGAAGTGGACCAGATCTAGACGCCAGTGTTGGATCATGCGATTTCCATCTCCCTCTCGTACTGCATCATGGCGCACCATCTCCCCAAGCCCTAAGTGCAGTATAGCTTTAGAATACTCAAATCTTGTATCTGGATTAGTCTCCTTTCCCTTCTTCTTGTTCTCTCTTTCCTCTTGATGCTGCTGACGACACTTATCACTGCAAAACCACTTTCCTTTGGGAAGCTCTTGAAAATTGAACTGCAGGCACTCAAGATGAAACCATTTTCCCCTGTCACATCTTTTGTTGTGACAGAACACCATTTCTACATTGTCTCTGATTTGTTTACAGATGCAGAAAGGTCCAAGCTCCTCATCCTCATCATCCTCCTCGGCCTCATCCTCTAGCTCCTCGTCTTCCTCAGCAGGATGACCAAGCTGGTAGGGATGGAAAGATTTGTCCCGTACAGATTTACATGTTTCACTGAAATATACTGACTTGGCGTTAGGATCCTGGGGTAGATCTTTGGGGGGATCACTGGGCTTTGATATGCCCATGTACTCACACGCTGCAGCAACCACGTGTGCTTCTGTTGCAAATCTCAACATACTTGTGGCGTAGTTGAAACAGTTGGAGACTTTCGGTGTGACATGAGTGTGTCTATATCGGCTCTTAATGAAAGATAAGCTCCCACATGACTTTACACTTTTTGCATCAAACAGAAGTTTGTATGTGTCCTGGAAAAAACAAACCAAACAAAAAATGCAAAATCATGAATAAGTATGATAAGAAAAAATATACTGTTATGGTTGTTGTTGCTATATCCAAGACATTAATTTACAATGGGCTGGACTTGTTTTTAAGAGCCCTAAAGTACGATATTTATGGTCTACATGCATTACATGAGCTTCCTGCGTATACAAGTATTTATGTGTACACACATACATGTATACAACACAATCGTTCTGAAATCTAATAAGTTTTGAAAGTTATTCAAGATTATTAAGGTTTAATATCTGAATGACAATATGTCAGGACAACTACTCCTGTAAGGACACTTCTCAACCCCCCCCCCCCTCCAATAATTTTTTCTTCTGGACAGCTGTATTATACTCCTATAAATTCATTAATCTCAGACAATTCAGGGCTAATTGATTTTAGGTGGTGATTATACAGGGGATAGTTCATACCTAGTTGTCTGGGGAAATAATTGTCCCAGGAAAGCATACATCAGATTCAGAGGTGAAAGTAAGCACTAAAAAAAAAAAGTTTTTTGTCTTCTCCTCAACCCCAACCCCCCTGCCCCCCCGCCCCCCACCCACCCCCCCCCCCCTGAAAAAAGGGAAAATAAAGATAAAATCAGCGGGGGGATTCGGGGGAAGAAAACAAAATTGGGAAAAATATTTTAAAAATCAGGAAAAACTGGAAACCAATTTAAATCAGGTAATTATAAGGCCTGATACATGTCCATGTCCAAGGGTAATTGATCGCATAGTGTAATTCTCATACCCTTCAGTTTGATATTTACAAAATTCAATGGAACTTTTTATCTCCTTATAGAGGAACTGTCTGCAATCGGGGCTATTTGATTGAACAGGATGACTGTGGATTATGAACCAGGATCCAGTTTGACTATTTAGGTGACTTATACCCCATTCACAGTGGCCTCAAACACCGCGACAGCAGCGGGACTGTCCCGCTGCTGTCGCGGTGTTGTCTTCAGTGTGAAGGCTCGGACCCGTTATAAACTATCGCGGGATAACACCGCCTCGCGATAACGCCGCGACAAACTATCGCTAGGTTCGCCTAGCTACAGCAGCGGGACAGTCCCGCTGCTGTCGCGGTATTTACTCAGTGTGAAGGCTCTCCGCTATAACACCGCGACAAACACGTGTGATTTGTTTACTTACCTATCACTGACCTCTTTTCTCCAGCAATGGGGAACATAAAGTGAAATAGAAATAAAGTAACCAGTGGATTCAAATTGATTTTATTATTATGTAGATATTATAATTATCCAAATAAAAATATTTCACACTTCAAAAAATTAAAATATTCTGACTGGAAGCAATAAAAATGCTAGTTTTTTAAAAAGTAATATGATCGAGGATACAAAAAGCAACTTGACAAGCAATCGAAAACCCTGCGCTGAAGTATTTCCGGTCATATCGGGGTCACTCGCGGGTCATGAGCCATGCATACACGTGTTTGTTACGTAGGTAATAAAAATCACCCGCTGCAGCGTGAATGGGTACATGATATTTATCCCGCTGCTGCAGCGGGATAACTTTTCTACTGTGAATGCATTTGTAGCGGTGTTATGGCGGTGTCGCCGCTCCGCTACAACGCCGCTACAAATTTCAAAACCACTGTGAATGGGGTAATAGATGCTTAGAGAGCATGCTGCTTGGTACTAAGCAAGGATCTTAAGAATTTGCTTCCTTCCACACTTCAAGAACAAGAATAAATGGGAAATAGGTACCTCTAGGAAGAGTAAGCACTTATGCGACTCCTGTATGGATGGTAGTAACCCGCCGAGGCGATTCCACGGTGTATCTTCATTACTACGAGCACCGATGGCATCTCGGACCCTCTCACAAGACGGCTGGTCCCCGTACAGTATCACTGGTATCGGAGACTTGTTTCCTGGAACATGCTTGTGCAGATGTTCCAGAACGTCTATCATATCTGACACGTTTGTTACATCTTTTTGTAGGACTCCTAAAGGTACCTGTACATTTGGTGGAATATCAGAAAGGGTAGCTCATCAGCTCAGGTGGAATAGGACAGAGAACATACATTGTGGTGAGGGGAAGAAAGGGTAGCTCATCAGCTCAGGTGGAATAGGACAGAGAACATACATGGTGGTGAGGGGAAGAAAGGGTAGCTCATCAGCTTAGGTGGAGTAGGACAGAGAACATACATGATGGTGAGGGGAAGAAAGGGTAGCTCATCAGCTCAGGTGGAATAGGACAGAGAACATACATGGTGTTGAGTATCAGAAAGGGTAGCTCATCAGCTTAGGTGGAATAGGACAGAGAACATACATGGTGTTGAGGGGAAGAAAGGGTAGCTCATCAGCTCAGCTGGAATAGGACAGAGAACATACATGGTGGTGAGAGGAAGAACGTGGGAAAGGATCTTGCACTGCAATTCATGAATAAGGACCATTTAACTGATGAAGTACAAATATGTGTAAATAATTGATATATAATGTGCAATGATTAGATAAAACCTAATATCACCAAATTTAGGAAAAAAATAATCAGTATAAATGTAACACAATTTAGATATGTTAAGTAATCATCTTTTTGTGATAAATACTTAATTGCACATGCATTATTAATAAACAAGCATTCAAAGGACATTAGTGTGTGTATCGAGGAGGGGGGTGGGTGATTTCCATAACACTTTGAATATTTTTTGATAGTAACTTTGTAGGATGTTAAATCAAAATGCCATCAACCGTAGTTTATATATATATTGTTACCTCTTTAATAATTAGAATATATATTTACCATCACACTTTTTTTCTTAGTCTCTGCCTGATATGGATGCGGGATGTGTTCTGTGACGTCTATATCCTTGAAGCATGGAATATGCTTGGACAGTATCCGTTCAATCATCACTTCATACTCATACCTGTGTGTATAATGAAGGGTCTTTAACATGACAAGTTGTATTTAATCATGTATGATAGCAAAGCAAATTGTAACTTGTTACAAATTATTTTTAAATTCCTTATTTAATTCTTTTATAATAAAGACTGTTTAAGTATACAATAGCATTATTTAAACATATTTGTGGCTTACACCCAGTAAATAAGATCGATTGATCGATCTGTATTGAAAAACAAGTCAGAAAAAATCTTAGAACCAGCGGGACTTGAACCTGCATCTACTGCTTGCTGGGCAGCGACTCTACCACCAGGCCATCACTGGTCCATGGCACAGTCACGATGAATTGGAAACAAATACCCAAGCTCTCCTGATTCATTCTGACTTATTAATATTCATTAGTCCGCAATAGGACAATAACTTTATAAATGTAATGCTTTCTGGGAGAAATTTCAATTATTTAAACATATTTGTGGCTTACGCCCAGTAAATAAGATCAATTGATCGGATCTGTATTGAAAAAAAACTCAGATTTTTTTTGTTGATATTCCGTTAAAACAGTTATGATAAAAGAGAACTTCAGAGATATTTCCCATGACATTCAAATAAGTATTGTGTTTTATATACATGTATGTATATATATATCATACGTCTTCATTAGAGACATCCTTCCACAATCAAACCAAGGAGATATATATTTCTGGGCAAAGGTGAGAGGTCAACATTTCTAAAGAAAATGTTGACGAAAAATATTATTTGGGATCGAATGGCATAGAAATTTCCCTTTAAAAGCACTTCCATTTATTGAACAATTGTAAGCTACATAGGTAATTCAACCTGCTTTGTATAAGAGGCATGAACTGAAGTTTTCCTCATGCCTGTATTAATACACATGAGAGGGAGATGATTGAGAAAGAAAGAGAGAGAGAAAGATAGAGAGAAAACACAGGGAGGGAGAGAGAGAGATACAGAGAGGGATAGAGAAAGAGAAACAGAGAGAGAGAGAGAGAGAGAGGGGGGGGGGGGGAACCACTAAATATATTTACCTTAGCATGTCATTGTCTTCAGTAGTGGGGATGAAGATATCTTGAGATATGTTTGATAGCTCTTTCAAGGATGGAGCCTCATCACTAAGGTTGAAGCATGACACACGGTCTATAGCTGCATGAGACTGCACCAAGTTTAGCTGACCTGAATAAAACCGTGACCTTGAAGGCCACAGACTCACATTGTCAAATGTCAATGTAAATCCAAATGTTGTTGTGGTAGTGTCATCAATGTTGACACCTGTCAGGGAGGAACAGGTTCAAAACTAACTAATGTAAAATGTTATAGACCTGTGCTTCTGACATGTAACATTTTTCTGATTTAACTTGTATGTAGATGTAATTAAAGGCCGGCTGTATTAGTTTGGCCGAGAGGAATTAGACCACCCAGGGAAGGTCACTGACAGGTGGCTATCTCATCAACTCAGCTCTCAATTAACATAAGAAAAAGAGGATCATGGGGGACCGATGGTCACCGATTAGGCATTGTTTTCTATATAGAGGGAGCAAGTAGTACTGTGGGCCTTTAAAGAAGTATTTTCTTGAACCTGTAAACAAGCAGTTTTATTTTCATGCTCTCATTGTACGGTGTATTTCTATTTCTAAACATATGTCCTATACTGTATACACTAGGTTAGTATACACCAAGGGAAAATGTGCCAAACACAAAAACTATGAAGATGTTTTCATCCATTGTTTATTTCTGGAGATTTTCTAATAAAATGATTTCCAAGATATTTTACATTTTTCGTTCTCGATTCCAGATGTGAAATACTAAAAAAGACATTCTTTGTCAAATCATAGTTGTCAAAAGCTAGACTTTGATAAATGCATGCCCATCACTTTAGCAATCGAGTCAAATTTCAGCTAATCATACAATTCAAGAAATTACATCAAATAAAAATAGGTATCCTGTCATGATAGAAATGTTCTTACAATCGAAGGTTGAGCTATCAAGGTCAGGTTGGAGTGCATCGATGGCATGAGGACCTTCGTCTACTGGAGATGATACAAGGGGGGTCACTTCTTCAGGGGTTTCTTGAACTATATAGAACATGAAATAACAGCAGTGATTCATTGTCATTTAATAATCATAACATGCTGCAAAGTTTCACTTTATAGCATTTACCCTAAAATACACACATTTAGTATTTTCTCTCTCTCTCTCTGAAGTTTCATATGTTTAACCATCCAAGGCTCTGTATGATATGTTTGTTCTTGTAATTCAGAATCATGTAATCAATTTCTTTAACTTTCACAGTCACGGATGGGTCTCATACTATTTTAGTGGCTTTCGGAACAAAACTTATTTTGACTAATTAATTTCCTTTCCTACGTACCTTCCTCCCATCCACCTTCATCCTCCCATTCTTCAGCAGGAACCAGTCGTTTCTTTGCCCTTGTGGATCTCCTCTTAATATCTGCGATTTGCAGTTTCTGGTGATGAATGGTAGTGTCAAATTCACCCCTCAAAGTGTCTATGCAATTTGTGGTGGTCCCAATGTTGGTGCATAAACCCAGCCTAGACAGCCTCTCGAAAACCTGTATCAAGAAATTAAGAAAATACCCCTGAAATATATGAATGCAGCACTGACAAGCAGGGTCATGCAGGGTCAATGAGAGGGGAGCCACTATCAACCTAGCTAGGCTGCCCCCTCTTTTAGTAGACACTATACATTTCATAATGCTTACAATATCAGAAAATAATAGGGATTCGGTACTCAATCGCATGCACCCCCCCCCCCCCCCCTCCCCGGCTCCAGACAATGAAAGACACAACTCTTTCTCTTCTGCACTTTCTTGGGTCTGCAGAATATGGATATTTCAGGATCAATCACATTACTAATACATATGATATTTCATGCCATCTTTATGACCCCAATTGGTGGTCGGGGGGGGGGGGGGGGGGGGGGGGGGAGGAGGTACTTTTGGATTACTATTTCAAATTCCCCCAGATTGCCCTTTTTCATCTATAGTAAGTACGTACCCCTTCTACCTGTATTAATCAAGTGCTCTTTTCCATCTCTGATGAGTTCCCCTTTATTTTGACACAGTATGTCCCCTTTTCCTTTCTAATAAGTGCACCAAAATTATCGTAACGACTTATTTCTGTGATTTTCGCCCCCCAAAAAATGATTAATTCACCTGTCTCTTTGTTCCTGCAAACCACAACAACAATCCAATCAACTCCTGAATGAATTTGTGTTTTCTGGGATCACGGGTGTAGAGGAGCTGGGATGCTGCCATGGTGATTCTCACGTTGGTTTCTTTACTGGGCCCCTGTCCGTTATTGCTGATAGAACTTTCATCATCGTTGGGCAATTTTTCTTCAGACGTTGATTTGTTTTTTTCCATGAAAAGCTCTCATAACTCTTTGCTTTATTTGTGTCATTGATTTCGAAGATGGACTGATTAGATTTGATTTCAGTATTGATTTGTTGACATACTGAATTGATCATGACGTCATTGAAGGATCTTGAAGACTTCATTTTTTTCATCATTTGCTTATACCGCCCAGCTGCCAGGTAGGCCGCAGCTTGGGGGAGGAAGGTATCTTTCTGTGAGAAGAATAGAGAGATAACACACATACATGTTTTTATATATCTGTTGCTAATTATATGGAACATATGAATATGGGATTGGAATGACAAACAAGGGAAACGCTCTCGGCGGTCTCGCCTGCATTGCGCAATTCGATATGATAAAAAATTGAGGTTGGAACATTATTTATAGGCAGGGTGGCCCATTCGCAGGCCTAAAAAATGAAATCCTCTGAATATAATCACATTTTGAAGTGAATATTGACTGAGAATCATCAGAAGAATTATTTACTATTAATTGTACCACGATCGATAACTTAAATGAAATATGAACAAATTCATTTAAAAAAATATTATTTCTCATATTAAGTTGTGAAAACATAATCCAAATCTACTGACCTTTGACCTTGTGACCTGGAATTTGTGTCATATGATTTGTGATACTTGATAACCCTTGGGTACAAGTTTCATGGAATTTGAAAGGCTGATTGTCAACGAAATGGAGTTGAGTCTTTTGTCAACTCTGTTTGTTGCTATGACAGGCACCCAGTGAAAATGAATCGTTTGATGAAATTATGAAAATGCAAGCACTACTTTAAACAAACAGAACTTTGTCATTCCTTGCCCATTTTTCCTGATTGAGGTGTCATATGAGAGAGCAGAACCTCAACTTTCTAGAAATGTGATTTTCTCCTTAAAATTCAGATATCGTCTGCCAAATGACTTTTTGGTTTCCTCTCTTCAAATTTATTTTATTCACTCATGCGTGAAATATGCATCATATGAGTTGCATCAAATGAAAGAGGAGGTTCTAAGCTTTCCAAATATGTGTCATTTAGTAATTATTAATGTGATTAAGTTAATATTAAAACAACAATAATTCTCGGTTTTGTTTTTTCTGGGACGCACTGTACATGTAGATCTTGTGGGGAAAAATGCCCACTCTTACATTATTTTGTGGCCCTGCCCAGTCGCCCCCCACCCAATTTATCCTGGTGCAGCTATAAATGATATGCTTTTACTGTGAAATAAACAAATAGAAACTCTAAGTACTTACCCGTTTCTTGGGTGGGTCTCCGGGGGTCTCTGCCATGGGCTCCGTCTGAGTCCCTTGGGTATTTTGTTGGGGCGTTTGAGTAAGGTTTCTTCTCTTTTGAGGTGGAGAGGCTGGCGGAGAATGACATCGTTTAATCTTCTGCCCAAGGTAGGTGCTGCCATCACTTATATTCTGAAGGCAAGAGTGTGATTTCTCTATTTCTGTCTTTGATTGTGATATTTTGCCGATCAACTGGGAACAGATTTTGCATATGCGATACTGTATCTCTTTACCAGGGCTTACAACAATTCCCATTGATTTGAGTCCATCGACTGATGATACACCTTTTCCTCTGATTAAGGCCTTTAATGTTGGTCTTCTTAAATCCTCTCTAAACTCAGCTCCACAGTTGCAACAATGACCATCCATAATTGCATCAAAATATTGGTAAATCTGGCAGAAAGAAAGAAATTATATTGATTATTCTAGGCCCGGTCTTTAATTAAGCAAAGATAAATGTTCATGAGACATAAAACTTTTGACTAAGATTCTACATAAGTTGCACACATAGTATTGTTGTGTTTATAAGGAAAGATGTATTACAAGCATAAACCAATCATTTGGCAAAACATAAAGTCCTCTCCGAATTTTAGTCTATAGTCTATCTCCAAAACACTGATATATGGTTAACTATTCCTTAAGACTTGTATTGTAACTATATAGAATCAGAGTATCGTCCAGGGGTCATTCCATGTCAAATCACCCAAAAAATCTGAAAATCTTAACCCGACCATTTTTTATTTTGATGAAACTTAGTGTACTTGTTGAGTGTGATCTCACAGCACCAAATCCCAAATTTGAGGTTAATCGGGTGAGGGGTTTGGGAGATACTGCCCACCAAATTTTGAGATTTTTTCAAAAATGGGGGTGGCGAACCTACCTTTGAACCCTTGTATTTCGGAGGTCTAGTGGAGCCAGACGTAGTCTCAGTGGAACAACCGACGATTAGAGAGACTGAAGTTTTCGGTCTAAGAGAGTCATAGACCGAAAGCTTCAGTCTCTATAATCGTCGGTTGTTCCACTGAGACTACGTCTGGCTCCACTAGACCTCCGGTTATAGAGACTGAACGACGACTGCCTATGCCAGCCTGTGTTGAACTTATTCCGCTAGATTTTAGCCGCTAGGCCCCTCCCACAAACTTGCCACGGCCGTATTGTTATGCCCCCAAAATCCCCCAAAATGTCATTTTACCTCGTTCATTTCCAATTTTAAATTAGGCCTAGGCTATAATACATCGGTTTCACTTACTAACTTGATTGATATAATCCGTTTAATGGTCCCTTTTAAGGAAATTATCGGTCAAAATCGACATCCATGTTGAAAATCTTGCAAGCCGTGTTAAACTCTCGCTGCCGTCAATCTCATCCCTTCTAGTCTACGCCGAAGGCAAAATGATTATGAAGGAAAAACTGTGATAACGCCATTACGAACGTGTAGATGGCGCACAGTTTTTCCTTCATAATCATTTTGCCTTCGGCGTAGACTAGAAGGGATGAGATTGAGAGATTGAGAGATTGAGAGTTAAACAAAAAGCAATAGTTCGCTTCGTTTTAAGAACAAAGCGGCTGTATCAAAACAATTAAATTGTTGTTGAGGTTTTTTTTTTTTTTTTTTTTTCTTGCACCAATAAAGCCCACAATACTTGTAACTAATTTGACCATTTACTTTTTCTAACAATTCGGTGATCACCTCCAACATCACATGCTAGCTGGCACCCCCTCACCTATGCCGGAGTGACCTAGGTTAAAACCGAAAGTCTGCGAAATATACCTCAAAGACTGGTAAGATGGCATTTTAAAAAGGGTGGGGGTAAGTGCGAAGTACACATGTGCATACGTGAGGTGATATTTGAACGCGCACGTGCGCGTAAACACAAGTACGTACGTTTAGTTTTAGTTTATAGGCGTTTTTCATTCACAACTTGCTAGGCCGTCGTCTCTTTCCAAAATTATTAATTTATTGAATTTTCTCTCTAAAAAAAGTTATAGAGTCTAAAAAGAAAAAAAGAGGAAGGAAAGAGGATGGAAAGAGGATGGAAAGAGAAAGAATCCTAAAAATAGTCATTTATGACATGAAATTGTACATATATGTATATATATAAATAATTCATAAAATAGTGTGTGGCAAAAATAGTCAACTGTGACTGATTGCCAAACAAAAACAAATCAAGAAGAAGAAGAAGAAGACGGCAGCGAGAGTTTAACACGGCTTGCAAGATTTTCAACATGGATGTCGATTTTGACCGATAATTTCCTTAAAAGGGACCATTAAACGGATTATATCAATCAAGTTAGTAAGTGGAACCGATGTATTATAGCCTAGGCCTAATTTAAAATTGGAAATGAACGAGGTAAAATGACATTTTGGGGGATTTTGGGGGCATAACAATACGGCCGTGGCAAGTTTGTGGGAGGGGCCTAGCGGCTAAAATCTAGCGGAATAAGTTCAACACAGGCTGGCATAGGCAGTCGTTCAGTCTCTATAACCGGAGGTCTAGTGGAGCCAGACGTAGTCTCAGTGGAACAACCGACGATTATAGAGACTGAAGCTTTCGGTCTAAGAGAGTCAATGCTTATGCGTATTGACCTCTAGCACTGCATACATGCTGTGAGGCAGGGACCTAGAAGTCTATACACAAATACACACACCACACAATATCGCAATCATGTCGATGCAGCTGTAAGCAAAGTTTGACACTAGACTTACAATTTGAATTTTTAAATTATTCTTTTTAACATCAGTAAGTTTAAAAAAATGTATTTTACTGCTATTTAGGTGTCATCAATAGTCACTAAAGTACCGATTTTGAGTGAAATCAGTTGAGTTTTGTACAGTGGTTTTTGAAATGTTGAGAATCAAAAGCACAGCTTTTACTACACAGCCAGGATAGTGATGCTCCTATGTCTTGAATCTTGAATCTTGAATTTGTTGCACCCAAAAAGCTACGTTGACAGCTGTCCAGGGTGGAGTAATAGTGGTAGTGTGTGAGTGCGTGATGCGTGCAAGTAAAAGAAGCCAGACATTGTGCAGAAGAAGACATGTAAACTGGAGAGTACGAAGAAGTAGGGTGCATCTGGTGAGAACATTAATGTCGGCTTCATGGCTTCCCTCCCTACAGGGCCCTGGTGGGCATGCCCATCATGGCTATGATGGACGGGACTGCGGAGGTCTGAAAACCAGCAATCGAGCTGCAATGTGTGCTGCAAACTAAAAATATGCTGCAATCGTTAATCGTCGACTATAACCTAGAATAACATATGCATGTGATGTGGACCCTAGGCCTAGATCTAGGCATAATTTAAATAAATAATTATTGATCTTCTGAAGTAAAATATAAACTTACAGAACCATAAAATATACAGCCAGAATACCTTTAATGCACGGGCTTGCCTTAGCCTTGGATTTCACAATCCAGGAACAGAAGTGAATGAACGTTGTTGTTGTTGTTTAATGTTGGTAAATGTTTAGTGGCGTTCATTCAGTAATGAATATATACGCCATAAATATCTTCAATTTTATAAGAAAATCAGTTATAGTCTTCATAAGAAAACTGAGAATAAAGAATAAAGAATAAAGATAAAGTGAATGAACGAATGAACGAACGGTCGTTTTATCGAAAATGACAGCCAGAAATCGCGCGCGATCGAACGCACACGTGGACCGGACGTACAGCTGTTGATGTTGCTTGTTTTTGTTGCTGTTGTTGTTGTTGTTTAATTTAGGCAAACCAGTCAGTTTAAGACCATGAAAGGGCACTTGTCAAAGTAAAAGGGGGCACTTCTCAGATTTGAATAGGGCAATTATCAGAGGTGAATTATGGGGCACTTATCAAAAGTGAAAAGTGGCACTATCTCGACCGTACCTGAAAAGGGCACTAAATTGAAACAGCTAGGGCACTTATGAGAATTCATAAAAAATGGACACTGTCTTATTGTAAAGGAAAATGGGAACTTGTCGAAGGGACAGGGGCACGTGTTTAAATTATAGGGGCACTTGTCAAAGTAAAAAGGGCACTTTTGGGGTACTTGAGAAAGTGATGGGAACTGTGCCCTCTATCGCCCCCGGGAGGGCCGCCTCCACCAGGGGGGGGGGGGGGGGGGCATCACTCTCATACACAAGTGCTACCCACCCGTGTCCATCAACCTCTGAATATTGCACCTTTTTTTTAAATGGACCCTATAATGGCGTATCGCACCTTTTCTTAAATGAGCCTATGGCGTATGACTCGCACTTTTTCCGAAATGGACCCTAATGGCGTTTGTTAGAAAACGTCAAACTTTTGAACTTTTGCGACCATATTGCCTGAAAAACAATTTCAAGGAAAACGTCGACGACGCCGTTTAGCTGAAAAAGACGCACTATATACGTAAGCTGGTGGAAACTTAGATGCAAATATCCTCGAAAATATGCAGTTACAATGGAAAATGTTCAATATTTAGTAATATCATAGTACTGAGATGCCAGGAACTAAAAATGGCTTGACTTTGACTTGTAAAAGACATCAAATTAAAACAACAAATTAGGGGGCGAGCTGACCAAAAAAATGGGGGCGAGCTGACCAAGAATCCCAAAATCGGCCAAAAAAATCGGGAGGCGACATGACCAATTGTGGGCGACTTTGTAAGGGGGCGGGCTGACATTAGGCGAGCTGACATGGCTGTCATTTTCGATAATGTCTGTTCACTTCTGTTCGGATTGTGAAACCCAAGGCCAAGCCCGTGCTTCAAATACATGTTCTGGCTGTATATTTTCTGGTTCTGTAAGTTTATATTTTACTTCAGAACATCAATAAAGATAATTATTAATTTAAATTATGCCTAGGGTCTACATCACATGCATATGTTAATCTATTCTAGGTTAGGTCTATATCAAAATATGCTGCAATCGTCGACTAGTCGACGATTGCAGCATATTTTTAGTTTGCAGTGGCCGAACTCCAGGGAGCTCCGGCGCCTAAGGACAGGCGTCGGTGGAGGAGCTCCCATCCTAGCTGGCCTGGAGCTGAGCTGGAGTTAGCAGTGCAGTGACCGAGTCTCGATCCGGTCCCGATTGGGGTGTGCAGGTGGATCGCTATACACTGGGGTTTCCCCCTAATTTAATGCCAAGGCCCTGGCCTAGATCTAGATTCTAGATCTAATGTTATAGACCGAAAGCTTCAGTCTCTATAATCGTCGATTATAGAGACTGAAGCTTTCGGTCTAATGTTAGAGTCTATTATTACTTATTAGTAGGTCTAGGCCTAGTATTCTACTCTTTTAATCTAGAATAGATCTAACTCATGGAAGCTTCAGCGTCGGCGTCGCATCAGAGCTTCCTGGATCTGGCTTGGGATAGATCTAGCTCTAGATCTAGATCTAGGCCTAGACCTAGATCTACGACGATTTTTAATAATGCAATGGGTTATATTAAAGTACAAGTTGACTAGATCTAAGGCCGTGTGAGTCAAACAAAAGTTTACATCTAGAAAATTGGACAAAAAGAATTTCCATTTTCGGTTTAACTTAATAAAATTTGGAGTGGACTTTAAAAGATTATTAGACTATCATTAATTATTTTAAAAATCATCTAGATCTATGAACAGTAGATTATTATACATCTTAATGAAAGAGTGTTTTATCCCAAATCATTAGGTACCATTTTTGTGTGGTATGTGTTAATTAATGCTTGGATGAACAGTGCAAAAATCGACTTGTGCCAAGTGATGCCTACAGCATGTATTAGAGTAAAGTACCCGGTAATCGGTCAGCTCCGGTTTTCGGCCAATTGGTTGGATACATGGTACAATCACTTTAAAATACATCGCATAATAGCATAACACATATCCCACACATACCATACCATGCCAGTGTCACTGAAGAACCACATTTGCAATGAAAAATATATCCTAAAATATCACATTTTAGCGATGTAATCGGCGGTCCCGCTACCCAAATCTGAAAAATCGAGTTTCTTACGCGTGTATGTAAGAAATATGGGTACCATAAAATGAGCTTTATTTCAAGTATTTTTCAGATATAGAGCCCGATTTTGTGCTGGTCGCAAGCTCAAAAGTATCTCATCGCATGTATTAAATCAATGCAGCCGCACACCGCGACGCACACACGATATGTCTGTCTAATTCAGATTCCAACTTCCGATCACCGCTGTGCCTGTATTCGGCCAGGCGAGCACCCGGGAGCTCCGGGGTGGGATACTTGCTCCGCCCGCTTGTGCTATACATCAGCGCAGAAACGCACGGCGCGCGCGAGCGCTTCCTATTGACTTTGTACATGCGGCCGTAAACTGAAACGCTCGGCCGATAACCGGCTCCAAAACAGTGAAAATTGAAATGAATATTGTCATGGCAATTCGTGATTTTTTTTTGGGATTCTTTTTTTGTTTAAATAATAATAATATTTGCTTCATGATTTGAACAAGAAATGATAATAAATAGGAAGTAAAGAGTCCAATAAATAGGATTTTGTCTTAAGTGGCCGAAAACCGGGTACTTTACTCTATGTTGGATTAGCGGAGTGAGAGAATGAATTGAATGTATCAAATGAAATGCATTGCATATATGCTTTTTGTAGATCGCAAAGTCACACACGCACACACAAACGCGCATACATGTACATGTTCGTTGATATGTGTGGCATGATTAATGTTGTAAGCAGGGGCGTAGACAATGGGGGGGATGAGGGGGATGCATCCCCCCCACCTCACAAGGTGGGGGGGATGGCATGTACAATCATCCCCCCCAGGTTTTGGGGAATGATATTTGCTTACTTAATAAGTCATAATGATGATAATAATAGTAATAATAATAATGATAACAATTATAATATTAATAATAATAATAATTATGATGATGATAATAATAATCCTCATCATTATTGTAATTGTGTTTATTGTTATTAGCCGCATTCACACGGTGAAAGCCAATTCAGACGCTAAAAAAAAAGAAAATCTTACAAGTATTTTGTGGTTATCTTGTGGTTTGGAAACCACAAGATAACCACAAGATTAAACAGGCGCGGATCTACGGGGGGGGGGGGGGTTAGGGGGTTTAACCCGCCCCCCTTGGGCGGCCCAAAAAACAAACAAACAAAAAAGGAAAAAAATGAAGAAAAAAAAAGAAAAAAAGAAAGAAAAAAGAACGCACGCTGGAGAGAAACCCTTTCAAGTGCAAATATTGTGAGAAGATATTCAACTCATCTGGTAACTTAACCAAACACATGATAACTCTGGATATAACTGTGTATTTAACTGTTACTTGATTTAAAAAGACGTTATCATGCACTGCTTTTTATGGTCTCCATTGTGTTAATAGATGCCAGGAAAACATCACTTACGGGGTTCAAATAAACACCCAAAAAAAAATCGGCTCGCCGCTTTGCGGCTCGTGGACGATGCTCCGCATCGTCATTATTGGTCAACCCCCCCCCCCATTAGCAAAAAGCTAGATCCGCCCCTGAGTCATCCCCCCCAGGTGTACGAACCTGTCTACGCCACTGGTTGTAAGGGATGTTATTTGGATCTGCAAAAAACGATTTAATACCCAAATCCCAATTGTTTTATTACATCACATAGCTAGTCTAGAGATCTAGTCTAAGCAACTTTGCCGCAAGTCGATTTTTGTACTCTCGCAAACAATGCTTCCTGTTCATCCAAGTGTGAACACATACCACACAAAATGATATAATAGAGAGGTGTAAACTTTTTTTTGACTCACACTGTTGGGGCCATGAATTTGGTGCAAATGAACATATTGCAAGCATATATGCGATCCTACAATATTTAGTGATCCTTGTCGCGGTTGAGATTGAGTCTAAAGTTATGACGTTGTAAATATTAAACTCTTTGTGTTGTATAGCTCCCTCTCAAGGTCAAGATATTAATTAAGCCATGACACAATGTTTCTTAATTGACTAAAATCGACCGATTGGCTATTTCCGTTTGGAAATTATACATCGCAACTAGTCTACATGTTCTGAGATTTTCATGGTCGCAGCTACAATTGAATAGGCGTATTATATAAGCACTATTTGAAATTTTGATATTCAATTTTACTCCAAAGCAGCTAGTGTTTTGGGGGCTAAATTTTCTAGTGCTTATATTAATAGTTAAAGGGACTTGGTAAAATGTTAAAGTAGATATTCATTGATTTTAAAAACTAACTTTATTTTCATTATTGCAAAGTTGAAACTTTGATTCGACAAGGTAATCAAAATTCAATGCTTGGAAACATTCGAAGTAATGATTATTATAAATTACAAAACGCTTAAATATACCCCCGGCATAGCACCTGAATAGCTCTCCGAACGCTGCTGAGATGTGTGAGATCACAGTATGGACATGATTTGCACAAGCAGACGATGTCCCATGACATCTCACACATTTTCAGTGCCTGTGTTTTCATCTTCTCTTGAGTTCTTTCTCTTACTTCACTACCGCCAGGCTAATTGTATAATCTATTGCCTCACTCTAAACCCGCGCATAGTTTTATTTTGATGACAAATGCAGCGATGCAAAAAAAAAGGAATCTGTCGCTTGTAAACAAAATAAGACGCCATTGTATATTCAGCTGCACACACCGCTGTATGTTCGTCGTTTCAAGAGGGAACAAATGCCGTCCTTAATATCATTCCTGGGGGTTTTCAATTTGAAAGTCTGGTTTCTTTGATTGTTAATTAACCCCTATCCTGTGTATTTAAGCAAAAGATTTTAGTTATCAGAATCGGGTCATATCCCATTTTGAATGGTTTGACATGCCATTTTATTTATATACACTAAACTCATTACAATTTGACAAATAAAAGCTTTGCAATTATGTTCATTCTTTATGGGATGTCGTCTGCTTGGGCGGTATTGGTCCATATAGTGACGTCATTAAAACATCATTATTTTTCTGGTGAATCTCTCGTATATCCCAGCTGTTATGGAGGTGGTTGTATTTGTATTTTAATAAATCACCCGATATGTAGTTGACCTAAACCTTGTACGATGGGCATCTGTTAGCTTACCAGTTTCTAGTGATACATTAGTTGACATATTGTGATTTTCTTTGAATTTCACCTTTAACATTGTTATGAGAGAAAGTACCGGTAGTGCTAAGGTAGTGACTTCAATGCTAGATATACAATTAAAGATAATCTGAAAATTTGAATGAAAACGGTAAAACGGACCATTATTAATGATACAAATTGGGAAAAACTGATCTAATCGATTCCTTAATCCTCCCAACTATATTATTACAATTTATGTATTTTAGGAGAATGTAAATTGTCTTAAAGCAATAAATTGGCTCTACATACCATTCCAGACATAAAAGTGTTGAAAGATTTTGAATACTGTAACCTGTTTTATGTCTTTTTTTTCATGGAAAGACGGTTGGGAAAATTCAAAAATGGTTGGTAGAATTTACTGTTAATCACTGTTAGAGGGTGTTGCACCATGACACCTTCAAAGAAAACCATAGATATCTCTGTGGTTTGAGAATTTTTCCAGGATTTTTTGTATGTCAGAGGGTTAGTACAGTAGAAGGAAGAAAGGTGAATTCTAATCAGGGTACACACTTTGTCTCACTTGGGGTGAAGAAAAAAAGTTCTTTTGATTATTCTGAATTTTTGTTTGTGTGTTGTATACTTGATACTGGTAAAGTCTGTACAATTTCAGGGCTACAAGTGTCAAACTTTTTTTTTCCAACCATGAAACATGTCCTTAATGACAAAAATAGCGTCAAGTGTCACCTGATGACATTTTGCAGAATTTTTTTGTTATTGTTTCTTTGGGTGAATGTGAATGGCATAGTTTGATAACTTGATATGAAATCAGAATACAACTCAATATTTAGAGTGCAAAGCAGTTTTATTCATGAAAAAAAATAAATCAGTTTTGCATCTTTTCATACCACAAAATGATGGCCTGACAGCATGAAGTTACTGATTAAAAAGATCACAGAGCAGTTTGACCCTTTATACTGCACAGCTACACATGGCAAGGGTGCTTTTGCATACCAACTTCCAGAATAAAAGGATAAATGGTTTTTGAGATACCAGTATGTGGCGTCAAAAATTATTCGGAGAGGACAATTTCGGAGAGGACATTATTTTTGACATGCAGTTGGAACTGCCTGATACAAATATAATTAGTTATTTCATGGCATTAATGAAACTGGATCTATTTAAGGTTTATTAGAACATATTTTATCCTGTAAGCACCCATTTATGATCTGCATATAGATCTTCAATCACCCATCGTAGAGAAATTATGTTCTCCCTCACTTTAAGACTTGTACTGAAAACTGGAATCACATTGAACTTTACTATCAGAAGGTACATGTACCTGGACAATACTGTGATTCTATAGTTACAAGTTTTTAGGAATAGTTAACCATATATCAGTGTTTTGGAGATTAGACTAAAATTCGGAGAGGACTTTATTTTTTGACATACATGTATGATTGGTTTATGCTTGTAATCCATGATCTTTCCTTATAAACACAACAATACTATGTGTGCAATCTTATGTAGAATCTTAGTCCAAAGTTTTATGTCTCATGAACATTTATCTTTGCTTAAAGTTGATACTCTAAGACAATCCCAAATACTGAGATAATTACATAAATAGAAAGCTTTTAACCCCCATAATAACACCAAATTGTGTCCACCCGACAAAACAAGTTTAGAATAATGAATTTATTCGAGTAAACTCTACCAAAATATCTAAGTCTGAAACCCGGAAGTGCACGTAGAGTCGCGCCTCTATCCGTGACGTCACGAACGGGAGTCATGGGCTCAGCGAGAGTGAATGGCAGTGATATCCCTACGTAAATGCTATCCTGTCAGAGCTTAGATTTGTTGTTGTTAAGGAGTATATTTGATGGATTTTCTGTTTTCATTTGAATGAAGAATAACGAAGCAACATTTTCCAGTCGCTGATTTCATTTTATATCCTCATATTCACCTATTTGGTAGAGATTTAAGACGAGTTTACTGCTTAGGAATTAAAGTTAAATCGTGCACTTATGAATAGGCGGATGCATTATATTGTCATCAGATGTACATGAGCAGTTTTGTAAAACGAATAGGTCTAGAACTATGATAGTGCTTATCATAGATGTGTGTGACTGCCTCAAAAAAGGATACAGTACCAGTTAAACATTTTATGTTGTAAAATATCAAACTTGAACGAGATCATGCATGCAAGCGCGCTTCCTCTATGATATCTTTTGGCGAGTGATGCGGCTCTTGCAGGAACGTTCGTGGAGCGAGCAGAATCGGGAGGTAACACCAAGCCGCTGCTCTAGGCGCTGCTTGCTTGTGATGGAACGTACGTGCGCTAGTTATATGTTTATCGGCAATTGCAAGAGAATGAAAGCGACGTTGCCAGCTAAGAAAAACAACTAACAAAGACTTGCTCCTGACTACCGGTGTCAGAATTGGTAGATGAAGGATCTTCAGGGCCAAGGAAGGCGAAAGACATGGGAAAAAAGGAAGAAGAAACCATCGGGAGATCGCTGTTAGTGTATGGTAATGAACTGTGCATGGGTAGACAGCTACTGTTGGTAATGAACTGTGCATGGGTAGACAGCTACTGTTCACTCCGTGCCTGGGCCGATTTCAACACCAAAACAAAAATTACATGGTGAAAATATCGACTAATAGCACATCGTTGGCATGTATATGTCATAATTTTTAAAAAGGGAATTGATATTAATACTATGAAGTACTAGGGGAAGGTAAAGAATTGTACATAGAATTATGATTTATTAGACTTTTCAGCCTTTGAAACAAAAATATGCAGAAAATCGTATCACTCTGCACATGTTTGCTATGGAACATCCGGGTACGTGAATATACTCTCTCCCGGACGTGAGGTCATAAATAGTAGACCAGCGTCGTGACTGATTTTCTATGCAAAGAGAGGCGGATATTTTAGACATTTCAATTGAGGATTTCGAGTAGACAGAATTTTTTGTGATATACTAAGTAATTGAAAAACTTAAAAATAACATATACTTGCCGTAGGTAACAAATTAAGGGACATTTATTTGCTTAGAGTATCAACTTTAATTAAAGACCGGGCCTATAATAATCAATATAATTTCTTTCTTTCTTTCTGCCAGATTTACCAATATTTTGATGCAATTATGGATGGTCATTGTTGCAACTGTGGAGCTGAGTTAAGAACGGATTTAAAAAGACCAACATTAAATGCCATAATCAGGGGGAGAGGTGTATCTTCGGTCGATGGACTCAAATCAATGGGAATTGTTGTAAGCCCTGGTAAAGAGAGAAAGTATCGCATATGCAAAATCTGTTCCCAGTTGATCGGCAAAATATCACAATCAAAGACAGAAATAGAGGAATCACACTCTAGCCTTCAGAATATAAGTGATGGCAGCACCTACCTTGGGCAGAAGATTAAACGATGTCTTTCTCCGCCAGCCTCTCCACCTCAAAAGAGAAGAAATCTTACTCAAACGCCCCAACAAAATACCCAAGAGACCCAGACTGAGCCCATGGCAGAGACCCCCGGAGACCCACCCAAGAAACGGGTAAGTTAGAGTTTCTATTTGTTTATTTCACAGTAAAAGCATAACATTTATAGCTGCACCAGGATAAATTGGGTGGGGGGCAACTGGGCAGGGCCACAAAATAATGTAAGAGTGGGCATCTTTCCCCACATTTTTCCCCACAAGATCTACATGTACAGTGTTTCCAGAAAAAACAAAACCGAGAATTATCGTTGTTTTAATATTAACTTAATCACATTTATAATTATTAAGTGACACATATTTGGAAAGCTTAGAACCTCCTCTTTCATTTGATGCAACTCATATGATGCATATTTCACGCATGAGTGATTAAAATGAATTTGAAGAGAGGAAACAAAAAATTCATTTGGCGGACTGTATTTGAATTTTAAGGAGAAAATCACATTTCTAGAAAGTTGAGTTTCTGCTCTCTCATATGACACCTCAATCAGGAAAAATGAGCAAGGTATGACAAAGTTCTGTTTGTTTAAAGTAGTGCTTGCATTTTCATAATTTCACCAAACGAATTTGTTTTCACTGGGTGCCTGCCGTAGCAACAAACAGAGTTGACAAAAGAATAGTAAATAATTCTTCTGATGATTCTTAGTCAATATTCACTTCAAAATGTGATTATATTCAGAGGATTTCATTTTTGGGGGCCTGCTAATGGGCCACCCTGCCTATAAATAATGTTCCAACCTCAATTTTTTTATCATATCGAATTGCGTTTCCCTTGTTTGTCATTCCAATCCCATATTCATATGTTCCATATAATTAGCAACAGATATATAAAAACATATATGTATGTTATCTCTCTATTCTTCTCACAGAAATATACCAATACCTTCCTCCCCCAAGCTGCGGCCCACCTGGCAGCTGGGCGGTATAAGCAAATGATGAAAAAAATGAAGTCTTCAAGCTCCTTTAATAACATGATGATAAATTCAGTATGTCAACAAATCAATACTGAAATCAAATCTAATCAGTCAATCTTCGAAATCAATGACACCAATAAAGCAAAGAGTTATGAGAGCTTTTCATGGAGAAAAACAAATCAACGTCTGAAGAAAATTGCCCAACAATGATGAAAGTTCTATCAGCAATAACGGACAGCAGGGGGCCCAGTAAAGAAACCAATGTGAGAATCACCATGGCAGCATCCCAACTCCTCTACACCCGTGATCCAAGAAAACACAAATTCATTCAGGAGTTGATTGGATTGTTGATGTGGTTTGCAGGAACAAAGAGACAGGTGAATTAATCATTTTTGGGGGGCGAAAATCACAGAATTTAGTCGTTACGATAATTTTTGTGCACTTATTAGAAAGGAAAAGGGGACATACTGTGTCAAAGTAAAGGGGAACTCATCAGAGATGGAAAAGGACACTTAATTATTACAGGTGGAAGGGGTACGTACTTACTATAAATGAAAAGGGGCGCTCTGGGGGAATTTGAAATAGTATTCCAAAAGTACCCCCCCCCCCCCTGACCACCATTTGGGGTCATAAAGATGGCATGAAATATCATATGTATTAGTAATGCGATTGATCCTGAAATATCCTTATTCTGCAGACTCAAGAAAGTGCAGAAGAGAAAGAGTCGTGTCTTTCATTGTCTGGAGCTGCGGAAGTGGGGGGGGGGGGGGGGGGGATGCTTGCGATTGAGTACCGAATCCCTAGTATTTTCTGATATTGTAAGCATTATGGAATGTATAGCGTCTACTAAAAGAGGGGGCAGCCTAGCTAGGTTGATAGTGGCTCCCCTCTCATTGACCCTGCATGACCCTGCTTGACAGTGCTGCATTCATATATTTCAGGGATATTTTCTTAATTTCTTGATACAGATTTTCGAGAGGCTGTCTAGGCTGGGTTTATGCACCAACATTGGGACCACCACAAATTGCATAGACACTTTGAGGGGTGAATTTGACACTACCATTCATCACCAGAAACTGCAAATCGCAGATATTAAGAGGAGATCCACAAGGGCAAAGAAACGACTGGTTCCTGCTGAAGAATGGGAGGATGAAGGTGGATGGGAGGAAGGTACGTAGGAAAGGAAATTAATTAGTCAAAATAAGTTTTGTTCCGAAAGCCACTAAAATAGTATGAGACCCATCCGTGACTGTGAAAGTTAAAGAAATTGATTACATGATTCTGAATTACAAGAACAGACATATCATACAGAGCCTGGGATGGTTAAAAATATGAAACTTCAGAGAGAGAGAGAGAGAAAATACTAAATGTGTGTATTTTAGGGTAAATGCTATAAAGTGAAACTTTGCAGCATGTTATGATTATTAAATGACAATGAATCACTGCTGTTATTTTATGTTCTATATAGTTCAAGAAACCCCTGAAGAAGTGACCCCCCTTGTATCATCTCCAGTGGACGAAGGTCCTCATAACATCGATGCACTCCAACCTGACCCTGATAGCTCAACCTTCAATTGTAAGAACATTTCTATCATGGGAGTGTCGTGGTCGAGTGGTTTAAGGCGCTTGACTGTAGATGGGAAGGTTGAGGGTTCGAATCCCGACACGGCACTAATATCCTTTGGCAAGATATTTACCTGCACTTGCTACTCTCCACCCAGGTGTTAAATGGGTACCCGGTAGGATGTGAACGTTCATGTGGTTGAACGAGCAAGTGTGCGCCTGTAAAATGGCGACTGGCTGGAATGCTCCCCAGGGAGTGGAAAATGTGCACACATTGTGTGCGGGTAAGCTTGAATCCGATGACCGGGGTAATAATATATCTGTAAAGCGCTTGGGCACACCGTTGGATCGGTGTATTGCGCCTTATAAAAAAACGGATTACTATTATCATGACAGGATACCTATTTTTATTTGATGTAATTTCTTGAGTTGTATGATTAGCTGAAATTTGACTCGATTGCTAAACTGATGTGCGTGCATTTATCAAAGTCTAGCTTTTGACAACTATGATTTGACAAAGAATGTCTTTTTTAGTATTTCACATCTGGAATCGAGAACGAAAAATGTAAAATATCTTGGAAATCATTTTATTAGAAAATCTCCAGAAATAAACAATGGATGAAAACATCTTCATAGTTTTTGTGTTTGGCACATTTTCCCTTGGTGTATACTAACTAGTGTATACAGTATAGGACACATGTTTACAAATAGAAATACACTGCTTGTTTACAGGTTCAAGAAAATACTTCTTTAAAGGCCCATAGTACTACTTGCTCCCTCTATATATAGAAAATAATGCCTAATCGGTGACCATCAGTCCCCCATGATCCTCTTTTTCTTATGTTAATTGAGAGCTGAGTTGATGAGATAGCCACCTGTCAGTGACCTTCCTGGGTGGTCTAACTCCTCTCGGCCAAACTAATACAGCCGGCCTTTAATTTACATACAAGTTAAATCAGAAAAATGTTACATGTCAGAAGCACAGGTCTATATCATTTTAGATTAGTTTTGAACCTGTTCCTCCCTGACAGGTGCCAACATTGATGACACGACCACAACAACATTTGGATTTACATTGACATTTGACAATGTGAGTCTGTGGCCTTCAAGGACACCGTTTTATTCAGGTCAGCTAAACTTGGTGCGGTCTCATGCAGCTATAGACCGTGTGTCATGCTTCAACCTTAGTGATGAGGCTCCATCCTTGAAAGAGCTATCAAACATATCTCAAGATATCTTCATCCCCACTACTGAAGACAACGACATGCTAAGGTAAATATACTTAGTGGTCTCCCCCCCCCCTCCCTCCCCCCCCCCCCCCCCCCCTCTCTCTCTCTCTCTCTCTCTGTTTCTCTTTCTCTATCCCTCTCTGTATCTCTCTCTCTCTCCTCCCTGTGTTTTCTCTCTATCTTTCTCTCTCTTTCTCCCCCGATCATCTCCCTCTTTCTTTCCCGATCATCTCCCTCTCATGTGTATAAATACCGGTATGAGGAAAACTTCAGTTCATGCCTCTCATACAAAGCACGTTGAATTACCTATATAGCTTACAAGTGTTCAATAAATGGAAGTGCTTTTGAAGGGGAATTTCTATGCCATTGGATCCCAAATAATATTTTTTGTCAAAATTTGTTTTAGAAATGTTGACCTCTTGCCTTTACCCAGAAATATATATCTCCTTGGTTTGATTGTGGAAGGGTACCGTATCTCTGATGAAGACATATGATATATATACATACATGTATATAAAACACAATACTTATTTGAATTTCATGGGAAATATCTCTGAAGTTCTTTTTTATCATAACTGTTTTAATGGAATATCATTACTGCTATTGTATACTTAAACAATCTTTGTTATAAAAGAGATTTTAAAATAATTTGTAACAATTTACAATTTGCTTTGCTATCATACATGATTAAATACAACTTGTCATGTTAATGACCCTTCATTATACACACAGGTATGAGTATGAAGTGATGATTGAACGGATACTGTCCAAGCATATCCCATGCTTCAAGGATATAGACGTCACAGAACACATCCCGCATCCTTATCAGGCAGAGACAAAGAAAAAAAGTGTGATGGTAAATATATATTCCAATTGTTAAAGGATTAAGAATATATATATATATATATATATATATATATATATAAATATATAAACTACGGTTGGTGGCATCTTGATTTGGCATCCTACAAAGTTACTATCAAAAAATTTCAGAGTGTTATGAAAATCACCCACCCCTCCCCCCCCCCCCACCCCCTCTCCCCCCATCCCCGAAACACACACTAATGTCCTTTGAATGCTTGTTTATTAATAATGCATGTGCAATTAAGTATTTATCCCAAAAGTGTTATGGAAATCACCCACCCCCTCCCCGATAATAATAATAATAATAATGGTGGCTTCTTATATAGCGCACATGTCCGTCACGTTGTGACGCTCCTGGCGCTGCCCAAATTATTACCCTGGCTTTAGCAAGGCAGCCACTGCGATACACACACTAATATCTTTTGAATGCTTGTTTATTAATAATGCATGTCCAATTAAGTATTTATCCCCCAAAAGATGATTACTTCACATCTAAATTGTGTTGCATGCATACAGTACTGATTATTATTTTTTCTTAAATTTGGTGATATTAAGCAAATAACTACCGTTGGTGAAGGTGATGGGACAAACTATCACTTCCGAGGCGATCTGAATGTAGCTATCTTTCAGAAGCAAAGCTGAGGAAAGATTCACTGCGTATACATTCAGATCGCCGAGGAAGTGATAGTTTGCCATCGCCTGAAACCAAAAGGTGATTATTTGCTTTTTATAAGATGATGACGTGGATCCTAATCAAATGATTAGTTGAAAGCGTACACGTGACCAGGCATTTATTTTGCCTAACGCGTAATCACGCGTAATTTGGGTAATGACCTGTCATTATCAAAATCATGTTAGAAAACATCATTTTATAAAACAAATAAAACATAATCTTATAAAACAAATAATACACATTGTTTTGTTCGGGCATTAGTAAAATTACCCACACTTGCTATCGCCTCAGGCGTGTTAGACTGTTCCAAAGGTACCTCGTGTGGTTAATTCTTACTAATGCCCTCACTGATGTGTATTATTTGTATAATATTCCACATCGGAAACATTTCACTTCTTCCATCATTTTAGAGCAACAAGTCATCAATTAACAGCTAGCAAACGGTGTACGATACATACAGTGCATGCAGTATGGTGGTGTGACCATATAGTTCGCGCCTGACCAAAGTTCGCGTACTAACACTAAAAGCGCTTAAAGAGGAGAGTAAAATGCAGCGTATACAATTAAAGTGCGTTGCACTGTGTAGATAGGACTTCTATCTTCAGTGAAAGTAAGTTGCACTGTGTAGATAGTAGCTTATCTACACAGTGTAATGAACTTTTTGCTTCTCCCAGCAATGATGGGCGAACTATCTGTCATCACATGATTTAATTATGACCAATCGTAGAGCAAGGTTCTTAGTATGTGGAATATAATAGGTTTTATCTACAGTGATTTCCAAGCATATGATCTAAATCATATAGATAGTAATTATTGCACATTATATATCAATTATTTACACATATTTGTACTTCATCCATTGAATGAAATGGTCACACCTTGTATTCATGATCCTTTTCCACGTTCTTCCTCTCACCACCAAGTATGTTCTCTGTCCTATTCCACCTAAGCTGATGAGCTGCCCTTTCTTCCTCTCACCACCAAGTATGTTCTCTGTCCTATTCCACCTAAGCTGATGAGCTGCCCTTTCTTCCTCTCACCACCAAGTATGTTCTCTGTCCTATTCCACCTGAGCTGATGAGCTACCCTTTCTTCCTCTCACCACCAAGTATGTTCTCTGTCCTATTCCACCTAAGCTGATGAGCTGCCCTTTCTTCCTCTCACCACCAAGTATGTTCTCTGTCCTATTCCACCTGAGCTGATGAGCTACCCTTTCTTCCTCTCACCACCAAGTATGTTCTCTGTCCTATTCCACCTAAGCTGATGAGCTACCCTTTCTTCCTCTCACCACCAAGTATGTTCTCTGTCCTATTCCACCTGAGCTGATGAGCTACCCTTTCTGATACTCCACCACCATGTATGTTCTCTGTCCTATTCCACCTGAGCTGATGAGCTATCCTTTCTTCCTCTCACCACCATGTATGTTCTCTGTCCTATTCCACCTAAGCTGATGAGCTACCCTTTCTTCCTCTCACCACCATGTATGTTCTCTGTCCTATTCCACCTAAGCTGATGAGCTACCCTTTCTTCCCCTCACCACCATGTATGTTCTCTGTCCTATTCCACCTAAGCTGATGAGCTACCCTTTCTGATACTCCACCAAACGTACAGGTACCTTTAGGAGTCCTGCAAAAAGATGTAACAAATGTGTCAGATATGATAGACGTTCTGACACATCTGCACAAGCATGTTCCAGGACACGAGTCTCCGATACCAGTGATATTGTACGGGGATCAGCCGTCTTGTGAGAGGGTCCGAGATGCCATCGGTGTTCGTAGTAATGAAGATACACCGTGGAATCGCCTCGGCGGGTTACTACCATCCATACAGGAGTCGCATAAGTGCTTACTTTTCCTAGAGGTACCTATTTCCTATTTGTTCTTGTTCTTGAAGTGTGGAGGAAGCAAATTCTCTGAACTTTTCTAGGTCCTTAAGATCCTTGCTTAGTACCAAGCAGCATGCTCTCTAAGCATCTATGTCACCTAAATAGTCAAACTGGATCCTGGTTCATAATCCACAGTCATCCTGTACAATCAACTAGCCCTGATTGCAGACAGTACTTCTGTAAGGAGATAAAAAGTTCCATTGAATTTCGTAACTATCAAACTGAAGGGTACGAGAATTACACAATACGATCAATTATCCTTGGACATGGACATACATGTATGCTTCCCTGGGACAATTATTTCCCAGATAACTATCCCCAGCACCACTTAAGATCAATAAGCCCTGAATTGTCTGAAGGTAATGAATTCATAGCAGTATACAGCTGTCCAGAAGAAAAGTTGATTGGAGGAAGGGAGTTGAGAAGTGTCCTTACAGGATTAGTTGTCCTCAGGGGCGGATCCAGCCAGCGGCAAGGGAGGGTGTGTGGGGGGGGGGGGGGGGGGGGGGGGGGGGGGGGGGGGTAAGGAGCACTAGTTTTTTTTCCTCTACAAATTTGTGAATAAATATTTAGCGCTGAATCAACACCACCCACCTTGGACCAGGGGGAGGGGGTCCGTCTTCTTTTTTTATTTTTTTATTTTTAATTTGCCTGTTTTTGGGGCTCCTAGATCCGCCTCTTGTTGTCCTGACATATTGTCATTCAGATATTAAACCTTTATAATATTGAATAACTTTCAAATCTTATATGTATTGTGTACAAATATAGTCACAGGAAGCTCATGTAATGCATGTAGACAATAGATATCCTACTTTAGGGCTCTTCAAAACAAGTCCAGCCCTGTGTAAATTCATGTCTTGGATATAGCAACAACAACAATAACAGTATATTTTTTCACATCATATTCATGATTTTTTTTTTTTTTTTTTTTTCTTCTCCAGGACACATACAAACTTCTGTTTGATGCAAAAAGTGTAAAGTCATGTGGGAGTCTATCTTTCATCAAGAGCCGATATAAACACACTCATGTCACACCGAAAGTCTCCTACTGTTTCAACTACGCCACAAGTATGTTGAGATTTGCAACAGAAGCACACGTGGTTGCTGCAGCGTGTGAGTACATGGGCATATCAAAGCCCAGTGATCCCCCAAAGATCTACCCCAGGATCCCAAGGCCAAGTCAGTATATTTCAGTGAAATATGTAAATCTGTACTGGACAAATCTTTCCATCCCTACCAGCCTGGTCATCCTGCCGAGGAAGACGAGGAAGAGTTAGAGGCCGAGGAGGATGAGGATGAGGAGCTTGGACCTTTCTGCATCTGTAAACAAACAAGAGAAGACGTAGAAATGGTGTTCTGTCACAACAAAAGATGTGACAGGGGGAAATGGTTTCATCTTGAGTGTCTGCAGTTCAATTTTGAAGAGCTTCCGAAGGAAAGTGGTTTTGCAGTGATAAGTGTCGTCAGCAGCATCAAGAGGAAAGAGAGAACAAGAAGAAGGGAAAGGAGACTAATCCAGATACAAGATTTGAGTATTCTAAAGCTATACTGCACTTAGGGCTTGGGGAGATGGTGCGCCATGATGCAGTACGAGAGGGAGATGGAAATCGCATGATCCTACACTGGCGTCTAGATATGATCCACTTCTATGAAAAACATCACTGGAAATATCTAATCGAAGGTCACAATCTGATCATGGATGTTAATGGTGGAGTATCAGAAAGGGTAGCTCATCAGCTTAGGTGGAATAGGACAGAGAACATACATGGTGGTGAGGGGAAGAACGTAGGAAAGGATAAAGACAACAAGGTGTCCATTGACAGAGCTGGAGGGATTCTAAATGAGAGTAATGTATCACGTTACAGTCAAGTAGTGGGAATGAGGAAGACTATAAATAGAAAGTTCGACCCCAAGATGACGACGGGGAGGATGACGATGGGGAGGAGGAAAGTTGTACAGAAACCTGAAGTCCAGGCCGGGGAATCTGACACTGCAAATCTTGCTAAACTGCTGGTAAAACACAAGTGTTTGGTGGAAATCCCTGGAAGATCACATCAAGGATTTGAAGACTTTGAGTTTGAACAAAAATTGAATCTGAACAAGTACAAAGCCAAGATGTCAGCCATGAGTAAGAGGAGAGTGAACAAGCTAAAGCAGCAGAGAAATGAAACGGTATGATGATCCATGCATCAAAGTCTGACTGTAATTTGAGAGATTGAAGTTGAGATTAAGCTCATTACTGGATTTTGTCATCTTGATGGATAGGGAGTCAAATCGCTTAATCAGCATATATTTTTGGTAGATATGTTATGCATTGCTGAGTATTTACGGTATATCTACCCTTCAGGGCTCAAATTAATTTTTTGTCCACGGGGGCTCTTCCCCCAAAAAAAGAGCCCCCGTGAACCTTCTCACGGGGCTCTTTTAGTACTGACGGGGGCTATTTTTTATACAAATATCCATTGAATTGGTACCTATGATACTCCTCAATTATTTGCTATTTCATCATTATCATTCCAATCAGCATTTTCCCTCTTACAAATTTACAAGCTACATAGCTGTTACTGGCCTGTGTATATAATATATACGCATACAACACTGATCTTTATGATGTCTTTAACGTGACATATCTTCTTCTCCCTTGCAAACGAGAAAGAAAACAAGGTCTTTAAAAGGGATTAAGCGACAAATAATGGTTGTGATTCAAATTGATGCGAATATTTGTTTGAATAAGCACTGCTAGTCACCCGAATCTTCTTTGTAAAAACAACTTTTACAAATCTCAGCCATGCTTACTGAGTTGAGACGTTCCATTCAATGTAAAATACTCTTTAAAGAATACACTTCTCCTAATCTGAAAGTGATCTTACAACACAGTGGCAGATTTGCATGGCTGAGATTGTAAAAGTCGTTTTTACAAAGAAGATTCTGGTGAAAAGCATTGCTTATTCAAAAAAATCCTTGCATCAATTTGAATCACAATGATTATTTGTCGCATGATCCTTTTATTAAATAACCTTGTTTTCTTTTTTGTTTGCAGGGGGAAAAGAAGCTATGTCACGTTAAGAAATCATAAAGATCAGTTGTATTATGCGTATATACATTATGATACCAGAACAAATGTTGATTATCAGAATGTCATTTTGGAATACCTCTATACAAATACCACATTGTCTTTAGCCCGTATCAGTATTAGTATCATGCAATATAAAGCTATATTCTTATTTAATTCAGTATAATGCTTTTCCTCAAAAATAGTTTTGCCATTTTGTTAGGGTTGAGACGCTAAGAAATGGTTTCAAATGTACATTACACGAACCCTGAACCATTGCAAAATGATGGTGGCTCTCTCTCTCTCTCTCTCTCTCTTTACTTTAATCATGCATTATCAAATACATATAAAGCAGCAACCAAAAACTTAGGGTTATCTGAGATAGGTGAAAGAAAGAGTTAAAAAGAAAGTCATGCTAAAACGGCGCTTTCACTCCCCCCCCCCATGAAAAAAATAAAATAGATCAGTAGTCTCTCTCCAGCATCCCCCACCCCCCCCCCCCCCCCCCCCCCCCCCCCCCCCGCTTTAATATCACATTTTCACTTGGCAGCCCAAGGGGGCCGGGGGTGGGAGGAGGGGGTTAAACCCCTAACCCCCACCCGTAGATCTGCCCATGTTACCATATCATTCCACGACATCTTGGTCTTCCTCTTCTTCCCAATAGGGACTTTTAGATTGCGTGGACGTGGACGTGTTACGTCCTTTTAAGGCACTGGCAGTCACATGTGACGTCCTTTTAAGCACTGGCACTGCCTTAAAGGAGGTCACACGTTTCAGTCCACGTTCCCATCGTGCAAATCTAAAGGTCCCTAATATTGATTTACTGGTCGAGGTTCATTATTTGCTAGTCATTGAAATCACCAGATTTTAGCGGGTTAACGCTTTCACAACGAAAAACTTCTCCATGACCATGTTTCTGCCCTTGCGCGATCGCCTCCAGCTCCAGCAGACATAGCGCGGCAGCGTGCACACGTACCGCTACTAAGGGCGCAGTAGGCCTATAACCACTGCTGACGGCGGCACTGCACTGTGAGCTGAATCGGTAATAATACTCATAAAACAAGAAATCTTGCACGCTAATCTAAGTTCCATTTCATTTGAAAATTGAAAACTCAATATTGTGTTAAAGTTATAACAGAAAAGAAAATCTTTATTTTATAATTCCACGGGGGCGATTTTTAATTTTGCAATCGCCCCCGTGAGCAACCTGACGGGGGCGATTATGTAGCTCACGGGGGCGAATCGCCCACCGCCCCCGTGTATTTTGAGCGCTGCTACCCTTATGTGTGTAATGATGTGACAGCATAAAACTGTAGTTGCCATGTGATACTTTATTCCTGTGAACTAGGAGAAGAAAAAATTGATATAAAAAATTGGGCACTGGAAATCAAGCTAAATCCATGATTTTTCATATTTTAGAAGTGTAATGTTCATACGTGTATATGTTATATACAAGCATTTATGATACTAATTAGAAGGTACCTTTGTAATAGCCTACTTTGTAATAACATGGTATGTTACTTTTTATCAATATCAAAATGTATACCTACAGAAATCTGGCTTATTATCCTACTAGGATGAAACATAACATTTCCACATTTTTATGAAGCTTTTTATAAGTGTTTTTGATTGTTATATAATCAAGAGAGATATGCCCCTATTTCTTAAAAGTAAAAGCTGAAACAATGGATAATTAATATTATTGTATTTCATGTTAAAAATCTACATTAGCCTATATGCCTAATGACTTGTTTAGTATTCATGCTATTTACTTTCATTCCTTAATTACTTAGTGCTACATGGGGTTCCATATTACTTCACTGTACATTATAAGAGTTATGTACTGCCACTAGATATGTCCCTTCTATAGTTTAATCAATTAGGTGCATATATATATATATATATATACAGGCGCGTACGCAGGATTTTTTCAAGGGGGGGTTTTAACATTTATAAATCGGTCCGAAAATTTCGCAACGACTCAGCCAGCCGCTGAATAAGCGGGGGGGGGGGGGGGGGGGGGGGGGGGGGGGGGTGGGGGGGTAAGAGGACACATTTTTTTTTTTTTGGTCCAAAAAAATCGCAACGACTCAGCCGACCGCTGAATAAGCGGGGGGGGGGGGGGGGGGGGGGTAAGAGGACACTTTTTTTTTTTTTTTTTTGGTCTCGAAATTTGGAAATTTGACATTTGCTCCGTTGGGGGGGGGGGGGTAAGGTCACCTTTTTTAGGTCGGCCATGGGAATAATTTTTTTTTTTTTTTTTTTTTTTTTAATAATTAAAAAAAAAAAAAAAAAAAAAAAATCCAAAAGGGGGGGGTTTTAGGTTTTTTTTAGGGGGGTTTACACACAAAAAATTTCCAAAGGGGGGGGGTTTAACCCCCCAAACCCCCACCCCCCTGCGTACGCGCCTGTATATATATGGGCAACATATAAGATATATCCATGAACTTCCATTAATACATACGTCACAAAAGTCATGAACAGTTTCTGTGGCAGTAAGGACAAATGTAGGCACCTCATGAAAAATAGAAACTACACTACAGGCCTTTTTTCAAGCCCTGAAATGGTGATAACATGGTTGAAATTGGTTTACCTTCATCATGCACTTCTTTAACAAATATAATTAAGCCAGACAATGTTAAAATGAGTGAAACTCTGTGCTTTCAACAGCAGAATTAATGCACTACTAATAAACGTGAAAGATATATGTAATTTTGATTTTCTTCTGCCATGTAAACTTATGTAACGAGTTTCAATATCTCTATCGTGAGGATCATTCCAAATTTTGTTATCCAGAGCCCTGAAAAATATACAAGATGCTTGAGTTGAAAGGTCAAAAAATGAATGAACATGCATCCTTTTTGTTGCATGCAATTGATGCCTTGAATTGAAAGGAAAAAAAAGAGTAAAAGTGCTTTCACATCCTTGAATTAGCAACATATTGTGAGGTTCACAATCATTGTATTTCAATAAAAATGAGACCTTTGTTTCAAGTTTTCATTTTAACCCATGTAGCTGTTTTCTGTGAACCATTACAAGAAGCAATTCTTGGCTGGGATTTGAACCCCTAACACTTGGAATGAGGGTTGATCAAATTAATAAACTGCCATACCATATGATACTTCCATTAATGTAAGTAAGAGTCCAGAAGCTACAGACTGGAAGTGCAAAAAGAAGAGAGAGAGAGAGAAACAGAAAGAGAGAGAGAGAGAGAGAAAGAAAAAGAGTGAGAGGGAGAGAGAGAAAGAGAGAG